TGAGCAGCCAAACTAGGCTCTGCGATACCGACTGCGCGGAAGACGGCGTCGTGAAGGTCCTTGCGATCAAGGACAGCTTCGCCAGTCGCCTTCCACTGCGAAATACGAGCCAGAATCGCAGACACGGCGCGCTCTTCAGCGTCATGAGGATTGGCGCTAGTGCCCGCTACAACGTCATTCAGCGAAACAACGGACGAGGCGGCGGAGGACGAGGCAGAGCCAATGGAGGCCGGGGTTGAGGGAACTGGCGCGGGTGGCGAGCCAGTTGCAGCCAAAGAGCCACTGTCCGGCACACGGGCTTCAATGCCCATGAGGAGTCGCAGCTGCTGTGGAGTGAGCTGACGAAGCGAGAAGAGCAGCGGCTGGACTTGGATGTCGGGATTGACAGCCGCGTACGCAGCCTGACGGTTGGGCAGCTGGTGCAACGGCACCAGCACTGTGAGCACCGAGCCTCGAGCACTCGCGATGCCGAGAAGCAGCGACGTCAGGCTGGACACATGTTCATTAGTCTTGTCATAATGGAACACTGTGCAGCCAGCCTTCGCCCCGCTTGACTGTGTCCAACTGGGAGACATGGGAGGAGAGTCAAAGTCTCTTTCAGCTTGCTGCGATGAGAGGACGATGCTCTCAACGACAACCGAAAGCGAGTGGCTCAATCCCGAGCCTGACTTGCCCACTAACAAAAAAGAAACAATCCAGAAAAGGGGTGAGCATTCAGGGGAGGAGTGGGGAGCATTCAGGGGAGGAGTGGGGAGGAGGGGAAACACGGGACGCGCAAAACTCATCGAACAACAAAAAAGAGCAACATACTCGCAAGCACAGCAACAGGCTCGTTCGACCGCAGCTGCAGAAAAGTGGCGGTAGAGTCAGAAGAAGCTCCAACACGCCCAAGAATGTCTGCAATGAGAGATTATTCAAGCGTCAGCTACAAACAACAAAAAAAGGGGAGGCAAATAACGAAATAAAAACTCTGATTCTCTTACTGCTGTCATTGTAAGCAGGAATGTCGCGCGGAGGAGACTTGACAATGGTCGCGCTCGAAGTGGAGTACAGCAGAGGGTTCCAGCTGCTCGGCTGATCGGCAGCGAGAACGGGCTTTTGGCCAGCTGCGAAACCAAGAGCGAACGGCTCGGGCACGGGCTCGGTCCGGCCCGTGAGATCGGTGGCTGACGTGGCCCGTCGAGAGGAGAAGCCAGACGTCGACTCGTGGAGCTCTTCAGGAAAACCCGGGTTGGAGAGCTGGCTCGAATATGTTCGCTTGGCGCGAGAGCGCAGAGCTGCCGCAGGCGGAGCACTCCAGATATCATAATTAGCTGCAACGGACGCCGAACCAGCCGACGAACTGCCGGATAATTGTTGTTGTTGTTGTTGCTGCTGCTGCTGCTGCTGCTGTTGCTGCTGTTGGGGATTCACCAATTGCGGTTGGGACAGGTGGCGCCGTGCCGACATGCCAAACATCAACTCGGATTGAACATGCGCCAAAGAGCCGTCCGATGATTGCACGATGGAGCGGGGTGCCTGATTGTACTGGTTGGTGGAAGAAGATTGCTCCAAGTCGAGCCAGCTCAACTCGGACGAGTGTGCAGGTCGATCAAATCCGGGGGTCAGGTCGAGATTGAGCAGGCTTGGAAGAGAGCCTGGGCCTTGGTGTTGATGTGCCAGGGATTTGGCTCCCACCGCAAGGGAATGACGCGAACGCAATCCCGCGTTGCTCAACCCTGTTGTAGCAGTAGGCGCCCAGGTGGCGTCGCTGAGGCTTGCAGCGCTTCCTCCGCCCGAGCTTAGAGTTTCGCTTCCTGCTCGAGCCAAGTAGCTCGAGGAAGATCCCCCAAGCCCCGATAGTATGGGTGTCGACTGAGCAAACGAAGATGCCGCAAGCGGGAAATCAGCCCAAACCGGTGGCGACACGTCGGTATTCTGGAAACTGGACGAGGTCAGTGCAGCCGACGACATGAACGGACTCGATCCTGTCGAATTTGGTCGTCCGTAGCGAGTGTTGCCCAGCGCCGAAAGAGGCTGAGGCTGTTGCAACGCGGGTGAGTGTTGATGAAATTGGGAAGGGGATTGCTGTTGTTGTTGTTGTTGTTGCTGCTGCTGCTGCTGCTGCTGCAGGTTCATTTGGAAAATTTGCTGTTGAAGAAGCTGCACTTGCTGCTGTTGCAGGTACTGGGATTGCGATGGCGAGAGCGGCGGAGGGGTTGCTGGGCCGCCACGCTGGTGCCCCTGTTGCTGCTGTTGCTGTTGCTGCTGTTGTTGTTGTTGGACGGCCAGCGCACGGGGTAGGGCCTGTTGAGCAGGAAATCGTCCACCGCGCTGGGGGGACGTGCTGCCAAAGCCAGCAAAGCTTTCTGGTCGTGCAGCTTGGAGCTGCCGTGCTGATGATGGCGAGGAATTGTGATAATGTTGGAGTTGCTGCTGCTGTTGCTGCTGCTGTTGCTGCCAGTCATGCCAGTGCTGCTGCTGCTGTTGCTGATGAGGTGGGGTCGCGTGTCCAGGCGAGTGGGGTGGAAGATCGGAGAAGTTGAACGACGACCCAGATCCCTGCCGTGCTGGAGAGCCCGATTGCGAGAATCGAGATTGACTCTGCGCGTGCTGGTGGGCAAGCAGTTGCTCATAGGGGATGTTTGGCATGTTTTGGAGTGTCGGGGACAAGAGTGGCGACCCGTCAGGCAGCTCAACACCGGCGTCAAGGGTTGTTGAGGCAGAAGACGAGTTGCTGTTCGAATCGCCGCCAGCATGCGACGGCTGCGCCTCCATCCCTAGACGAGCTGCTGCTGCTCGAGCGACCATCACCATTGGGTCGACTACATCATGCACAGCATTGGTGCGACCCATGAGGGTGACTGGGGGCATTGTTGCACGAGGGCCAGCAGTACGCTGCTGCTGCTGCTGCTGCTGCTGCTGCAGTTGGAGTTGTAGAGCTGCCGTGTCTGGGCTACTGCCGCTGGACATGTTGGTTCGTCGAGACCCAGCCGCACCGCCTCGCTGTGCCGCCATTCCGCGACTGCCTGGTGTGGGTAGTTGGAGGGGTGCCAGTGGCCGATCGCCGTGGACAGAGTCCATGAGCTCGATAACACGCGGAGCCAATCCAACAGAGAGACAGCCGGGAGACGCGCCTGGATCGACAATAAAAATCCCCGGCCGGGTGGTCAGAAAGTCGCGCAGGCGAATCTCGAGCGCGGGCGGGACTGGCAAATTGCTCCCAATCACGGACAGACGCACGTTGCTTCGGGCGCGATAGAGCAACAGGATGATTTCAGCCTCATACGCCAACTCGTGGTCGCGCGTGGAGGGGCCGACTGTGGGAGCAGGCAGTTGCGGCGAGTGTTGTAGCTGTTGAGGTGATGGCTGTTGTTGTTGTTGTAGTTGTGGTTGTTGTTGATAAGGGGATTGTTGCGCTCCATGTGGAGACACTTGCGACAGGATTTGTTGTTGTTGTTGATGTTGTTGTTGTTGCTGCTGTGCGTGAGGGCTACCATAATTCAGGGTGTGCAAGGAGCCGGTTGAACCAAGGCCCGAATGGTTGCGTCGCAACGGGGATGAAGGCACCTGCTGCTGCTGCTGTTGTTGCTGCTGCAAATGTTGCTGCAGCTGTTGTTGTTGCTGTTGCGCATAAATAGAATTAAATGGTGCATGAACATGGCTGGGATGTGCGTTGAGCGGTGGAGTCGCCATGCTTCGCAATGGCGCCGTCGCGTTCAACGCCGCAACGGTCGCGTGTCCGTTCGCGCCGTGTTGCATGACTGAATTGTTTTTGGGTGTTCTTTTCTTCACAGGACCTTGGCGAGCGAGCAATGAAGGTTTGTCGACCGAGCAAAGTGGGGAGTGCCGCTATCTGCGGTGATGCAAGTTCAGCGATCTTGAGCCTGGTGCCAACGAGAGCAAGACAATCTGCACAATCTATCGTGCTCCAGGCAAGCAAGCAGGAAGCGTCACGCCAGGGGGGCAAGTGGGAGAAGGAAGGGGTGGCGATTGATTCACACAGACAGACGGACAGACACGAATCTGTGTTTCCAAGTCATACGAAAAAACCCAACGATGCAAGCGTGAGTGACAGTTGCTTTTCAATTGGGGGGGGAGTGTTGGTGCTTGTGTGGATGTCTGATGAGTTGGGTGGAGATGGGATCCAATGAACAAATCTACGTCGCTCGTAAGCGTCATCCACAGTCAGTCGTATCAAACCCCCTTCCCCTTTCCAGCCACGCGCTGAAGCAAAGAGAAGTGCAAGCGCACAAAGCCGACTACTAGAGTGCGACCCAAGCAGCAGCAGCAGCAGAAGAGAAGGAGCGAATCCCAAAAAAAAAAAAAAAAAAAAAAAGGTGCCAAAAGTGACAAGAAAACAGCAGCACACGGTGGTAAGGCGACCGTATCGCTGATGCTGTTAAAACGCGTGTTTTTCTGATACGGTTTGCTTGCTTTTTTTTTTTTTTTTTTTTTTTTTTTTTTGGATGCGATGCCGCTCGCTTTCACAAGCCAAGAGTCCGTCCACCACCCCGTCTTCCTCCCCGGCTCCCCTTGTTTTCCGTCAGGATGGTCCTTGTTCTTTGCTTTCGGACTTGCCGCTCCGAATTGGTGCTGCACACGAGCCCAGGGCCCCAATGGCGAGCGTTGGGTCATCAAGCCGAAAGGGAAAAACAACGAAAAATAATAATAATAAATAAATAATAACATAAATGAAGGGCTGTGTTCGGCGCGCTGTTGCTGTGCTGCCAAGTCGCGCCGCCTCGCCTGCCACAGTACAAGCCATGGGCAAGCGCACCGACAAGGACAGGGCGAACCAGCAGCGGCAGCGCAGCCGCAGCATCCAAACACCCGAGATTGATGCGCATTTGTGATTATTGGTGATTTTTTGTTCTTTGGCTTGTTTCGCTGGCCACTCAGCTGTTTCGGTCTCACTCGCAGTCACAGTCGCTCTCAGCAGATAAGGACGAATGAGCGTGTCGTTAGCACGGGGGAAAATGAGAGACGGAAGAGCAGAGCTGCTTTTGGAAGGGGGAAAATGAAGAAGAACAGGGCGTGAAAAAAAAAAAAAAAAAAAACAAGTCAATAGACTCATAGTCAAAGAAAAGAAAAAAAGAAAAAAAGAAAAAAAAAAAAGAAGGTCAATCAATAAACTCACAATAACAAACAATGGAGAACTGAGACTGAGTTTGGAAGATGATCAGAACTGAATAAACAATAGTTGATTCGGTCATCATTCTGAGACGATCAAAAAAAAGCCCGTTGCATTGGCTTCATCAGGAAAAAACAAGCAAAAGCAGTTCTTGATCTGTTGCTCAGTCACTCAGTTGACTGTTCTGGACAAGCCTGGCTGTTCCTCCTCACTTTGTATTGTTCAGGTGCTCGGTTGCTGCTCTGGTTGCTTCTCGAAAGATCCTTCTTGCTTTGAGATTGTTTTGTTATTCGAGCACACACACACACACACACACACACACACACACACACACACACACACACACACACACACACACACACACAAACACAAAGAGTCGAAATCCTCATCCGACGGCACTTCAGAGTCGCAAACATCTACCATTCATCATCGGTCTTAATCGATAAAATCGCTATGGAACGCGGAATTGATTTGCGATCCGTTCCAGGAGTCAAGCTGCGACTGCATGCTAGCGTTCACGACAATCGAGTTGGCAAAGGGAGATAGCTGCTCCTTGACGACACTGTGATGATGGGTTAGCGGTGAAACCGCTGCAGCCGCCCCGAGTTCAACAAGTTGTGACTGCGGCTGCTGCTTTTGTTGCTCCATGAAAGAGCTCACGAAACCCGAGTCCAGATTCGGATGCGACTGCTCCTTGACGCTACTGTGATGATGCTCCATCCTGGGATTCTGGGGCATTGCAGCATGAACATGCGCGCTGCGCCGATCGACAGATTGGCCCATCGCTTTCAGAATGTCGCCAAAGGTTGGTCGGTTCACTTGATTGGACTCGAGGCAATTAAGCGCCAAGTTCGTCACTACAGTGACTGAAAGTTTATCTGGCGCGCTCCATATGATCGAACCATCCAACTCGGAATCGAGGTGACCGTCCTTTTTGAGAGCACGTTTCCCCGCGCCAGCCAGTTCAATGCCAGGTTGCTTTCCTGTCAGCAGCTCAAGCAAAACCATGCCGTACGAGTACACATCGGTTTTGATTGAAACTTTGCCTTCATCACGGTACTGTGGGCAAATGTACGGGCGCGTTACTCGAATCGTCTGTGTCTGGAGGTAGCTCTGTGTCGCCGTCTCAGCTGGCGGAGAGCGCGCTAGTCCAAAGCCGGCAACCTTCGCTTGAAAATGCTCATTCAGCAGCACACTGGATGTTTTGAGATCCAAATGGAAAAGCGGTTGACCTGGAACAGCAGTCTGCACAAAGTGCATCGCCCTCGCGATATCGATGGCAATACTTGCCCGCTGTGTCCAGTTTAAAGTGGGGGCGCCATGTTTTTGGTCGAGCGAATCCCGAACAGACCCATTTGCCATCAGCTCGTACACCAAGCAGCATTCGTTGCCTTCTTGAGCATAGCACATGATAGTCACAATGTTGCGATGGCGGTAACGAGACAGGGCCTCGAGTTCCGCCTTAAACTGAGCCACGCCTTGCAGGGAATCCGCTGCCAACCGCTTTACAGCGACTTTCTCGCCACCCCAGATGCCAGAGTAGACACTGCCAAAGCTGCCGCCACCGATGCGCTGGGAATCGGCAAAGTTGCCTGTGGCCTGAAAAAGCTGTTGCACTTCAACTCGAGGAATAGTGGTGGCAATTGACGGAGCCGGCATGAGATCCATTGTCGAGGCATGGCTCTCAGGCAATATCGGCGCATCTACGGGACGTGAGGAAGGACTCAGAATATCCAGCGCTTGACGCTGCAGCTCAGTTGGCTCCTCGACAGGTAACAAGCTGCGTTGCAAAAGTGGCTGAATGAAGGCGAGCCACTCATCGCGAACGAGGATTTGTTGCGAGCGATCACAGCTCAGCTCCTTGTTTGGAAGGACGGCGGCAAGCACGGTGAAATGAACATCAAACAGACATGGATCGGGCACATCTACTGCACACTGTGTGCACCGCAGGTAGGTTTGCCAAGTTACCCCAGTGTACCAGTGAGCGGTCAAATCTTCGACAATGCCAACAAGAACGTCGAGCAAAGCGCCTGGAGAAGCACCGCGCACGGCAATAACCAGATCAAGCACATCTTCTTGTGCGCGAGGATGGATCTGAACGAGAGCTCGATGATGACTTCTGCTGACGAGCACGCAATCTCGCCAAGCAGTCATGTTGAACTTGAGCTGATGCAGCCGGGCAATAACTCGCGAGAAAAAGCCAGTGGGCATGAAGGCCGTCCGCATCACGAGCGTGGCCTCATGTTGTTCGCTCTCATCGAGTTTGGGAGACCACACATTACTGTCAGGTTGTCCAACGGGCAAAAGCGAAGGGACAAGGTATCGAGCTGCCGGTGTTCCTGCGTCAGCGAGAGGATACAGCAGTTCATATCGCTCAAGTAAAACGAGAAGCTGATCACACACAGCCGGATCCAAGGTCTTCCAGACATGTTCAAGCAGATCTGCGCGAGCCAGAATGCCCGTCTTCGCCCACTCGTGTTTCAGAGTTATCACGCCACCAAACACGGTTTTCATAAACCACTGTGGATTGATAATGACGAGATCTTGATCATGGGCACTCAAAGGCAACGAAGGTTTGGCCACAGAAGCGGCGTCATCAGCTTGCGCGGTGCGATGAAACACGACCCGCCCGAGACCCCGCAACAGTCGCATGAAGTTGTCAACTCCAATAGGAGAGAGCCCACAACGCTCCCCGCCAAGTTCGACAACGTCACTCCATCGCAAGAGCGGCGGCTTCTTTTCAGCTTCCAACTTGGTCGCGCGATCACGCAGCACATCTTGGAACTGCGGGTAGCGCCCGTCGACATACGAATTATAGAATGGCAGGTCTCGACCGGCCAGGAGCATTGACGCTTTGAGTTCCGGCATGATTGGTGCGTTTGCAGCTGCGCTCGCGTTCATGTAAACAATCGAGTGGATGCTGAATGAGCGATGCGCTTCTCGCAAAAACCCAAGCAAATCGTGAAGATTCTCTCGTTGCTCGTGTTGGCGCTGCGGCGTGTAGGATTTGTCGTCAATGTGGGTGCCTACAAGAGTGACAGCGGCGTTTGGAACTCGCGCGAGCAGGCTGCGTAGCCAGAAAGCCAAGCGCGAAGTGCGAGAAATAGTGTCGCGAACGTCAAAAAGGGCGAGGTAGATGGTCCATTCGTCAAGGAAGAACTGATGGGAAGCGAGGTCCAGCTCTTGACCAGCAAAGTCCCAAATATTCAGAATCATGGGCTCTTTATCGCGAAGAGTTACGGAGGAGATGTCGACTACGTCGGTTGAGGTGGGGGTGATTGAGCTGCTTCCCCAGAAAAACTTGGATATTGAATTGCGCTCACGCTGACGAATGAATCACTTACATTTCACAAGATGGACGAGCACTCTGCAACGCTATTTCTTCATCATATCCGATCTGGTTATTACGCAGCCTAACAATACTCGTCGTAAGCACAGTTTAGCAGTGGCATTCAATCCAAACCAAAGTACATACTCGAGCACGTTCAAAGCTTCGTTTTTCTGAAGTGCTTCAGCAATTGCCAGTGCTCCAATATCGCCAATCTGATTATCATTCATTCTGCCCATCCCCTTCATCAGTAAGCACCTTTGAATGCCCTCTACCGGATGGCCACCACACATATGCATCAGTTGAAGTGAGACGCTTTACATGAGCCGAGTCAACGTCGTGTTCACTTTGAGTGTCTCAGCAATCGCCCGCGCTCCAACATCGCTAATCTGATTGCTGGACAGACTGTAATTTCTCGCATCGTTGAGCACCTATCTAAATGCCCATCTGCTGAACCATCTCCGCCCCATGCATCAGAAAACACGAGACGCCTTACCAAAGGTCCCGAACCGTCGTGTTTACCAAAAGCGCCTCAGCAATCGCCTGCAAGCCAGCATCGCCAATTTTGTTGTGGCTCAAACTATCCATCCCCTCCATCAGTGAGCATTCTGAACGCCCTCTGCCTCTGTTGAATCATCCAAGCACGTCCATCCGTCAAAGTGAACTGCCTTACTCGAGTTGAATCACTCCTGTGTTCACTTTGAGCGCCAGTGCAATCGCTTCCGCACCAGCACCGTCGATAGAATTCTGGCACAGACTGTCCATCTCCTCCATCGGTAAATACCCTTTGCTGGATCACCCACTCACACTCATCAGCAACTGTGAGATGACTTACATGAGCTCGGTCACCGCTGTGTTCACTTTGAGTCCTTCGGCAAACCTCCGCGCTCCAGCGTTTTCAAGATAATTCCAACTCATACTACCCGTTCCCCCCCCCCCGTGAGCGCTGAATGCCCGCTGCTGAAATCACCTACTCGTATGCATCAGGCAACCTGAGATGCCTTACTCGAGCTTGGTCACCGTCGTGTTCACTTTGAGTGCTTCAGCAACTCCCCGCACGTTATCTTTGCAAATAGAGCTCCAACTCAAACTGTCACCCAACTGGTCAATACACGCGCCGTCATACTGTTGCCATTCATTTAGCTTCCTGTTACCTGAGCTCCCCACTCGCGCTCTCGACGTCGTCATAAAGCGTGTGCTGCTTCACGATATTAAAATCCATGGTTGACTGTCATTCCAAGCAACCCAGCAAACAAGCAAAACAGAGTGAATTAGTGCGAGTGGACGTTTTCAAGCACATTCTCAGGTTTGTCCCTCAACCGTCACACACAACATCCAAGCGAATCCCCAACCACACACCGGTTTGGACGACGCCATCAGCAGAGTACAAACGCACAGCAACGAGCTCGACGCCAACCGATGATTGTAAAAAAGAAAGAAAAAACAAAAACAGACTGAATCCCTTGTTTATCATCACATCCCGCCGACAAAGCCGGGCTTTATCGCACCACTTGTCACACAATACCCCTAGTTTGTGATACCAAGCGTCTAATTTTCAGCTTGAGGATATCAGAGGGCTTTTCAGAGGTTTCGATCAATTCGCCCAGTTGCTGCTGCACTTGATCTGTTGCTCAGTTGCTCAGTCGGCTGGTCGGAGCAACAAAATCAACGCAACAGCATCGAGCTTACAGCATGATGATGATGACCAAGCATGTATCCCAAAGCGTTGAAACTGAGACTTTTTGGTCAGTCTTCTTTTGGCTTTGGTTGCAGTCGTCCACTTCTTCCCTTCCCTTCCCTTCCCTTCCCTTCGATCTTGTCAACACAATCCAAATCCAAATCCCAATTTCAAATCATGATATTTGACGTTGCGGCAGTGGACGTGTTTCTGTTCCTGTTCTTGTTCGAGTTTATGCGACGGCGCAGCGCCCAGATCGCTGCATGGGTAAGCGCGGTGGTTCAGTCAAGCCAGTGGAGTTAGGGGGGGGGGGTGTCCAATGCTCACTCTATGGACGCTTCTTGGACACAACAGGTGCTTGATAAAGTGCAGCCACAGAGCGAGAGCGCGAGTGAGCGCGAGACGAGCGAGCTGCAGCGACAGGTGGACGAGCTGACCGAGCAGCAACGACCGCTCTCAATGCAGGTAAACCCGGGGCGGGGAGGGACAGACGACCTGTTGTGTCTTCAACAACGTTGCAAGTGATAAAAGCGATTTGCACGAGCAATGGAGGAAACCGATTGTCCAATTGAGAACGACTTGCATTGACTCACGTTTGACCCTCCCTTTGCTTGTTGACAGGACGACTTTGCCAAGTACATGAAAATCGATCGACAGCTGATTAAACTGAAAAAAGAGCTGCAAACACGTCGTATGTGGTAATATTGAACGTTGGGAAAAAAAAAAGTCAACGTGTTTCGTGCTCGCTTACTTGCACCCAACGTTGCTTGAATTCATAGGTGCTGCTGCCTCGACTGCAGTCAAGTACAACTCCAAGAAGCTGACTTCAGTTGTCTGGTGGGCCGCGGTAACTTGACTTTTCGTCATTCTTTGCTTGTCTTGTTCGTCTCCTCCGAAACTAAATCCCGAAACCCTGCAACCACAGTTGGTATTCCAAGGCTTGTTGATGTACCGGTACCGAGGGACTGTCATCTTTTCGTTGCCATCCTCCTCGGTTTATCCTCTGGAGCGGCTCATGGCGTACCGCTCTGGTGGCGAACTAGGTGTGTTTTCAAAGTTTGTCAATTTTGTTTTGTTTTTCCTCGCCGTCGTTTCGCCTTGTTTTTGTTGCTCGAATCCTCTAACCTGATGTACTTGACGACGATTGATGTTCCCGTGTCTTTCAACTTGGCGTACAGGCTCAATCAGTGGAGTGATCTGGATTCTCGTTTGCCGGCGAGTAGTCTCCGTCGTTCTCGACCAAATCTAATCAAAGCGAGCGGTTCCAAAGCCAGTCACCAGTTGCAACTTTGTGATAGACAAACAGCAGCACAAATGGTTTTGCGGGAACAATGTATTGTGCAATGAAAACAAGAACATTAATTTTACAGCGCCAGTTTCAAAAGTCGTGTCAACTCCTGGGCTTGTGGGGTACTGTGTGACCAGATTACAATAACTTTGGCATTTGTTTGTTGATCTGTGTGAATACAATCCAAACGCCCTGCCTTCTACAAATCGTCCAACCGCTCAATCTCTTCCAGTTCGACAAGCACCTCGGCCACCGGCATGTCCATGTCAGCGGCAATCGCCTCTTGCAGCCGCCGAGAAATGATCAAGAACAAGGCGAGATAGTCGCCGTCAATCAGGTGCACGGGAGCAGCTCCAGCAACGTGCGGTTGCTCGCCGCCCACCGTAAAATCAAGCAACGGGCGTGCAAGCGAGCCATCAACGCCAAGAGATGGAGGTGCCTCCGACAGTGAACTCGAAGCAAGGTCAAGCTCGTCAGACATTACCAACGAATGCGTGCTTTGCGGCTGAGACGGAGCAGCAGCAGCCGCAGCAGCAGCAGCATCTGATCCCGCGCGTCTCCGGACCAATGGCCAACTGGCCTCTGGCGACGAGCTGGTCGTGGGCTGACGAGCCGCGGCTACATGTTGGAGCAGACTCGTCAACCGCAGTACGGCAAGCTTGTCCGGGGTCAAGCGCAATGCACCGGCTCGTTCCAGGTTCAGATGGGCCGCGGACGCCACATTTGGCACCGGAGGCATAAACCCGACACCACGCGCCACCATCGCGCGATGCAACCGCCGAACCAGCCGGAATTGAGCGTCGCTCAACCGTCGAATAACACCAACTGCACCACTCGCGCAAACAAACACGGCGATCGTGGACAATGGAGTCGACACGGCTGGATGCAGCCCTCCGGTCGTCGTGCGCGCAATAACGTCCACAAACGAGACAATCGGATCGACGGATTGCCGGATGCGCCAAGGCAGAGCATTTCCAGCCGAGCGCACAACTCTTGAGAGCGAAAGAGCATCGGAGGAATCGCTGGAGGGCTGATTTTCGCCTGTGGCAGTCGTCGTCGGAGTGGGATTGGCTGGCATGCCACGCGGACGCCAGGGAACGCCCAGATTGTTGAGCAACCACCCAAACGCATTGACGGGCGCCGAGGTCGAGAGCCACCCGACCGCCCGAGACGCCACCGACGGCGTGATTGCCGTGTCGGTCCTTTCGCTGGCCAATTCACCCCAGGCACTCATCGGAATCGTCATGGAAAGCAGTTGCAGCTGTGGGGACAAATCAATGACCGACGGAGGAGCAGCAGCAGCAGCAGTGACGTCGGAAAGCAGGGCATTTTGCGCGTGGTTGTACGAGAGGCATTCGTGACGAACGGCAGCCAACTCGCCATTCGCACCGGCCAAGATGATGGTGTCCAGAGCCGCTAAAAACCACACAGACGCGATCGTCCAACCGGAAGGAGAGTTGCGAATGCTGGCAAGAAGCTCAAACCGCCGCTGAATCGGATGGCACGCCAAAACCAGCACCCCCATGACTGCGTCAACGACGAGCAACCGAGCTTCATGCGGGTGACCGGCGTTGGCAGGGCTGACCTGGACAATGCAGGTGGCGGAAGAGTACTCACACACCAATTCGAGGGCCTCCTCTTCTGCCACCGATCGGACATCGTCACCGACGCCGTCGTGCGGGAACACACGGCAATGTTGGTACAGACGCAGCTTATTGCCCAGAGCAATCAATAAATGTCCCATAAACTCTAGAGCACACAACACCGTGCCTTGCAGCTCGAGCTGCGCTTCAACCGCGACGGAGATCAATGGAGCGGAGAGACTGCCTCCTGGCCCAATGCTTTGGCTGGCGAGCGAGCGAGTGTCGCTCGACTGCAGGTTGAGCATGGATGCGTGATTGGGTTCGGCAGACGCTGCAGTCACGCTCAAGAGTTGGAGGCGGGTTTTCGCCTCGTGGAGTGCGTTCGGTTGTTGAGCATCACCAACGCGCTGGTCGACAAGCACCAAGCGATGCACGACTTCGCGTGCTCGAGATGGAAGCGCCTGAAACGGGCCATCCGCTTGCGTCAGGGCATGATCGGCCACCAGCAGCTCGGGCGCGACAGTCAACGACAGCACCCCGTTTGCGGAAGCTGTTTGCTCGACTAGCTGCCACGCAGAATCCACAAAAGGTTGAGCGCTTGCTTCATCGCCTGTCGAGCTCGTTGGGGCAAAGGAAACGCCAGCTCCGCTGTCGACAGGCTCGGGCGATGATGCCAGACGCGTCACTGGAGCCGAATCAAGCGTGCAGTTGACGAGCTCGTGCGCGGCACGATCTGTTGGCAAGCGGACGGAGCCTTGAACAGTTGCAGTCTCGGTATCAACCACACAAATACGCTGCGCTTGCGTCACGTTATCCGAGCCCGGAGCAAGCAGAACAGTGACGCACCAACGAGCGCGCTCGAGCGCGTACTCCCCGAGCCCACGCCCTTGCTCGAGCTCTGGCAGTGGCTGCGGGAGTCCAGTAATGGCCAAGGGGGTCGCGCCGAGCAGCAGCTTTTCGGCGTGCAGCTGCTTGCCGTCCAGCTGAGCAAACGTTGCCACAGAGATTCGACCTTGGGCGGCAAGCAGCAGAGTGGATTGACGAAAGAGGGCGCTGGAAAAGCAGCAAGATTTCTCGGCCAGGGCAATGTTGAGAGGCAAAACCTGCGTTTGGCTGTCGGTTTTGCCTGGAAGAACGAGAGCGGGCTTGTCACAGCACACCAAGAGACCCACGGGGGGTCTTCCGGCTTCTACAGACTCGCCATGGTCGTTGTCTGCAGGGCCGGCCAGCGGGAACACTTCCAAAGTCAGCGGCGACGAGCCGACCAGAACAGCACGCCGCTCGGCAAACTCGAGCTCGCACTTTGTGCCGGCAACAACGCTGCGTGGCACCAAGGTGAATTGCACCAAGTGTCCGTCTGCAAGGCCGACAAAAAGCTTGATGCGACCTTCAATTGCATGCAGAGCGAGCGAACGGACAACAACGTCGCCCGCAAACCGATGCTGCGCCACCAGCTCCATTCCAGGCAGTTGAAACACCAGCACATCCATGGTTTTCCACAGGCTAATTGCAACCAGCGTCGTTGCTTTTGGTGCAACTGATTGAGATTGTGGCAGTGTGGCTTCTGCGGTCGTAGCTCCACCCGCGGGGACCCTGGACGAGGTCGGATCTGCTGCTGCTGCTGCTGCTGCTGCTGCTGCTGCTGCTGCTGAGCTCGTACTCGTCGTCACAACCACCGCAGGCGATTGAGGGCGTGAAACCGACCCGAACAATGCTCCAAAGCCCTTCTCGGGCGCCTTTAACAACTCGACGGGGCACTCGTAGGCTGCCATTGCCGAAAGATCGTGCGGAAATTTGGCCGAGGTTCGGCTTGTCAGGCTTGCCATTCCCACAGAATCGATCGTGAGCTGCAGCACACAGACTTCTTGCGTGGAAAGCACCACAATCACATGAGCTCCGGAGGTAATACACCTCAGGATGTCGCCACCGCGTGGAGGCTCCCAGATGGAATTGCTCGCCGCAGCAGGAGCTGGTCTCCTGGCATGTGGCGCGCTACTTGTCGTGGCCGAAGCCTGCATCTGGTCAATGTGGACATGCGGCGAAGATCCAGAGGCAGCTGAGCCAAGCAGTCCAAACTCACCGCCAGAGTTGGAGCGACGATGGCGGCTTGCAGAGTTGGAATTGGCTTCCATGGACCGAGAGCGAGCGTGCATCTGGGCCGCATCAGACGACAATGACTCGGTACTGCAGCCATCACAGCCACCGTTCGAATCGCACGAGGCACACGCCGGACATGAAGGGACCAGAGGGAACAGCCGAACAGATTTCGGAGTCGCCTGAACAAGCCAAGATGTTTGTGGCGGTCCTTCCACTGCTGCAGGAAGAGACGCTTCAGACGCAAGAGAGCGAGCGGGTGTCAGAGGACCAATGTACACGGTGGAAGTGCTGGAGGCCAGCCCGGGAAGCGACACCTCGACCATCTCTTCATCCAAGAGCATGACTCGTGTTTGGCCACCCAGAAAGCTGAGAACCACCAAGTCGTGGACGGCATTCAACGGAAGAAGACTGGGAGTGATGGCAGCACGACGCGACGCCGCCTCAGAGGAATTGGTCAAACGCGAAAGTAGTTTGGCGAGCGCCTCTGCGCGCTGATGATTGTGGCCTGGCTTGTGAACCTGCTGTCGAACATGCCAGATGCCGCTCAAGCCAAGCATATCGATGCTGGCATGCTCTATCAACGAGACGCCAGAGCGAAGCAGTCCGATGGCACCAGTGTGGCCGCTGCCTGCAGCAATCGTGGCGAGCAGTGGCGTATCGCGGGTTCGCCTGAAGAATGCACTGGTGCTTGACGGCACGCCCATGTTGCCATGGCTTTGAGGGTGGGGGCCTTCTCGTGAGGGCAGCGCTGAAAAGGCAAACGCGTTGTGACACGGACCCAGCGATTTGAAGGCTTGAATGACCCGTAAAAAGCTTCCAGCCTTCAGCGCCCTCGACTGGAGCTGGTGCTGTCGTGAGAGAATCATGAGCGATGGCAAGCTGCGAACCGTAGTCGCAAATGGAAGCGAGGGAAATAATGAAAACACAGAGGAGGCGATGGAGATGGTGTCGGCTGTCGCAGCAGCAGGTCGGGCGCCCTCGTCTCGAAGATTCGAAGGGTGCTGCTGCCCATGACTATTTCCTTGGGTTGATGAAGGCAGATTCAAAGCGGAAGAAGCCGCCACTGGCTGCGGCCCCAAACCATCGACGTCCATTGCTAACGCGCGCTCAAAGGAGAACCGACGGGAAACAACTCCAGGAGCCACGGTCGTTGTTTCTGCACCAGCATGCACGTGAGGAAACGAGGGGCCATGGGCATCCGAATCCCGCGCCAGTCGACGGGCAATCAAGCGCGTCAGATCAATCTCCAACAACTGAGAATCGCCACTTGACGACCCGACAAAAATCACCAGCTGGTTTGGCCATGGCTTGGTGAGGGCGTTCGGAACCGTCTTTTGTGGGACCTCTCGCTGGATTCGACGACGATAGAACAGGCGAAAGGGCCACCACCGACGCCATCGTGCGGCTGCAGGCGGGATTGGGGGTGCGAGCAGCATCTGCTCTTGGATGGGCGAAATGCTCGACGACGATCGAGCGACACCCGACGGCTCTTGCAGAGTCTCTTGCAAGCGCACACGCTGACGATTGGCACGACGCTGATCTAGCGTGAGCGCTGCGGGGGTAGAAAGTAAAACTGCGAGCGAATTGGCAGCAGGGAGCGCGCTGCGGGCAGGCACAAGCTCAAGAAAGGTTGTGTAGCGCACAGCATGTGCTTTACCCGAGCGTTGCTTGCGGCGGACCTTGACGAGCACCAACCGGCCGCTCTCATACCCGACGACGTGATGCTCGTCGTCGACAATCGCGACGCAAACTGGATTGTTGCTCACTTCACTGACATCCAAGACCTGAGGCGGTTGCTGCAAGGGCAAGGCGGGTGTGGCGCTTGTCGCCAACTCGTCCACAATGTAATCCTTGTGGTAATCTTCGTCGGCGTCGTCGGCATCGCCAGCAGCGCCTGCTTCTGCGTCGTGCCGAGTTGCGCCATCGTCGCTCAACGTCACCACAACGGAATGCTGCGATGAAGAAGAGGCCACCAAACCACCACCGCTGGGGTGACTCGGTGGTGGCTGCGCTTCGATGGGGACGAATAGATCGGAGGACGAGCTGGGGACAAACGTGGAGGCCCGAAGCAGCCCACCGTCGTAATGAGTCATGGTAAACGCCGCCACGCAATCAACACCATCCAAATGAGGTGCAGAGAATACCAACGACGCAAGAAAGCGACGGATTGCTTTGGGCGATGTTTCCATGAACGAGCTGGCGTCTTCTCGCTGCTGGATGGAGGAACCGGCTTCAATGGAAGGGCCGGCGGCAGTGCCGGGCGCGGCGTCGTCGTTGCTGTCGTCCACGGTCACAACAATGGCGCCAGACGAGCCTGAAGGCCCGACAGCAGACGACTCTGCATTGGATCGATTCGGAGCAGCCTCCACCGCAGAACTGGGGCCTCGCAATGTTGTGCTTAAAAGATCAAAAGACACGCGCCTTGTCGAGCGTTCGTCGTCAGTCCCACCAAGAGCCGTAGCGCGGGCTTGCAAACGAGCAAACACACTGGCCATGTTGGTTGCGAGGGCGGCAGCTGTCTGGGTCATCCAGTCGAGCCCACCTTCAAACAACCCCGCCAGCCAAGCAGAAGGGGCGCCAGCGGTCGCTGAAGTCGAAAGAACGGGCTGCAAGAGCCGTGCAGCGGTGGCCAGTATTGGCGGGGCAATCGTGGTTGCTGCCGAGTGCTGCCGTGACACGAGTGTCGTCACGGAGGGGTCGGAACAAGCTGCAGCGCTCACCAGTTTCAACTCCCCTTGCTCAATGTCGAGTTCAAACATTAGCACGTGGGCGTGGTGCCTGGCATCTTGTGTGAGCATGGCGAAATATACTTGCGACGACGGCGCCGTTGGGGACGTGGACAGCAGGGCGCCCAGCACTTGCCGTTCGGGGTGGGTGTTCTGATGATCGTCCAACAGGGCGGAGCTGCGTCGGATTGGACGCGGTGGTCCCCCTGCAGAATGCGCACCACCACCGGTGGGTTCGGCTGGGGCCGAGCCGGCAGGGATGACGTTGGTTTCGACCTTGTCTTCGCTCTCGTCGTCATTGTCGCTGTCCTCCGGTGTCTCGGCGTCGTCATTGTTCTCCTCTCGGAGAGATTCGGCTGCAGTACTCTGAGGGTCTTCAGACGACTCGCCGTCCTGTCGTCCAGCGGCGGAAGGCGAGCAAACAAAGGCAAAATCCAGCAGTGACAGCGGCAGATCTGTGGTGAAGGTCAGACAGGACACGGTCGTGGTGCCAACCATGCCAACTTGAGGCCCACAGTACCGCAGACTTTCAAGCTGCAGTCTGGCGACATGAAGCGTCGAGTGGACAAACGCAAAGGCGACGTACTGGCCAGTGTAGTGGACGCGGCTGCGCTGCTGCAGCATGGCAATAAAGGGCGCATCGGGCTCAGAGGTGGAGGAAGATGCGGTGGGCAACTCTGAATGGTGGTGAGCAGCGTTTCTTTCGGTAGTATGCGCAGAGTCTGCTTCGGAGGGCGAGGCAGCGGCTGGCGGTGGTGCGTCGGGTCTGTGGGCTGGTCCCGAGAATGAAACGGGGCCAACGTCCAGGCCAGAAGTGCTGAGCGCACCGGCAACGTACGGTCGCAGCCAGGCCGTCCATAGACATGCCAATCCGTTTGTGGCGGGATCCCAGCAGAGCAGGAAGGCGTCCAGCCACGGCGAAACGGCCCACAGCAGGTCGACCGGAATGCCCGGCCAGCGCACGACCTCGATCGTGTGTAAGAATGTGTTATTGACGGACGCCTCGCTGAGTAATCGCAACCTTGCGCTGTACTTTGCGTCCAAGTTGACGTGCGAATGTTGCTCGTCCTCGTCGTCGTCGTCGTCGTCGTTGTCGTCGTTGTGCTCGCTCACGTGGTGGTGGTTGGCTTGATCCGGCTGCTCCGATGAGCCATCTGTGGAATAAGGGTGCCGATGCTTCTGGTGAGGTGCTTGAGACGCGTTCGACCCAGCAGTAGAAGTAGTAGTAGAAGTAGCAGTAGTAGTAGTAGTAGTAGTAGTTGTGCTGCTGGTGCCTGTCAGCTCGCACTCGTAAATCAGGACGTGCGTGCCGCGATTGACAACGAGATTGGAGGCGAACGGCGAGCTGAGTCTGCAGTGCAGCGCGCCCACCGTCGCCGCAGACGGAAGCACATGGCGAATGTAGAGCGGGAGTGTGGTCTGGCTGGGCTTGGTGGCATTGGCTGTGGCTGCAGCTGCTCCAGGCGAGAGGGGCCGCTGCGTGGCGGGAAAGTACTGATGACCAACGCTCAGGCCCGATGGCGATGCTGCAGACGCTGGGGCTGCCGTCGTCATCATCATCGGCGGCGCAGGAGGGGTGGATGTGCCGGGTGGTCCACCCTGGAAGTGCATCGGTGGCTGAGGTGGTTGATGTGCTGCGGATGCGAGCTGGGCAGCAAACCCCGCAGCGCCCGCGCCAGCAGCCGACATGGATCGCTCAAGCCGAGCCGGTGCCTTTGTGAATGAATAAAATAGAACTGACATCCATAAAGGCAGCTATTCTAGCCAAATTGTTTGCACAGTCCCAAACTGCACTTCCTCAGCGCGCGCGGCTACGTCTCAGATTCTCAGCGTTGGTTGGTTTTTGGTTGTTGCTGTGGGTGCCTGTGAGTGTTCCTGCGACACCCGTCCCCCTCATTTGACGTTGTTGTTGTTGCTGTTTGCAAGTCCGTGTGACGACGATCGACCAGGACAGGCAGGGCAAGTGATTTTTTTGTTTCTCTCCCTTCTTTTGGTTTTGATGTCTCGTCAATGAAGATCCGATTCCTTTCTATTGGTTTTTTTCTTTGTTTTAATTTCTGCTTTTCTGTTCAAACAATTCACTCAAAACCAAAAAAACAATCTCAGAACACGAAAGATTTTCCTTTTTTTTTTTTTTTTTTTTTTTTTTTTTTTTTTTTCTCTTTCATTCTTCTTTATTCTTTTTTTTTTTTTTTTTTTTTTTGAATAGCTTTTCCATTGCATTTCACTTCACATTTTTCACATTCTCCCTCAACTTCTCTCTTCCCGTTCCCTTCACTTTCACTTTCTCCTTCACTTTTCCCTTTCTCTCTTTCTTCAGTCTTTTTCTCCTTCATTTTGTACGGCTGCTGCGTTTGGTCCTCTTCTCTTCTCTTCTCTTCTCTTCCTATCCCCTTTCAATTCCTCTCGTTCTACTTTCATTCTATTTAAAATTCTTTTTTTTTTTTTTTGAATTTTGACAATGTCCTTCCACAGCAGCGACAGTAGTCGTTCATCTGATTCCACAGCAGCAGCAGCAGCAGCGACAGTACTGATTTGCAACCGACGTCGTCTGCAGCGATCGTCGTCACTGAACCGGACGACGAGGACGAGGACAACAACAACGACGAAGATGACGAAGAAGCGTCAGTGGCAGTGGCAGAGGATGATGAGACGGAGGGTGGTGAGGACGAGGATGATGACCAGCAGCAGCAGCAGCAGCTCAATGGTGATCAACCGCTCCATGCGACGACGACGACGACGACGACGACCACGACGGGCGACCGACTGGCAGTCCCATCGGAAGAGACAGAGCCAGCAGCAGCACTACCACAAGGAGAAGGAGCACCACTACTACTACGAGGAGAAAGAGCAAGCAGCAGACCGCCGTCGTTCGTACTGCCGCCCATCGAAGGCCTCTCCATCTACCAGGACATGGAGGCAGCCTTCGAGCGCGCATTGCAACGCGTGCGTGCATCGCAGCGTCCCATTCTACAAGCGACGGCAACCCACACGACAGCTGCAACAGCAACTGCGGTCGCCCAAGCAGGAGCAGCAGCGCAAACCGCTCAAACCGCTTCTCCTGCTACCACTGCTACTCCTGCTACTGCTACTGCTACCCCAGCTGCTGCTACTGCAATCTCGGCATCCTCCATCACGAGCGCTCAAAGCCAAAGCCAGTTGGACGCACACACGCCGCCAAGTCCGCCCGACTCGACGCGCGTCTCCACCTCGCGCGAGGACGACGGCGGCGGCGGCGATGCAGAGCTCAAGCAACAACCCACTCGAAAGCTGTCGAATGCTACTACACCCGTGGAAACATCATCAGCCCTTGGTCCGGCAGCGCCGGCGCTCATTCGGCGGTCGGGGTCGTCCCAGTCTGGCCTTGCTGCACTCGCTGTCGTGTCGCCACTCACTTCGCCCGCTCTGGCACGCGCGCTGATTGGCGTCGCACCGCGAGCCACACAGTCATCGCTGTCCCTGACCGCCCCTCCCGAACGCTCAGAACCGCGGCTTTCTGCGCTCGAGATTTTGCAAAGCTCGCAGGCATCCATTTCCTCGCGGCCAACCTCCCCTACGTCTCCACGGCGCCCGGGCTTTGGACGAAAGTCGGTTTCCTTCAACAACCTCGCCGTGCACGCCATTACGACTGATGCTGATGAACGCGACTTTGCCTCCAAGAGCCCGCGCCAGTCCGTGTCTCCTTCGCTCGGCTCCCTTTCGTTTCCTTCGCCATCTGTCGCAACCACCGCCGCCGTCTCGCCGCCTGTATCCCCCTTGCCTTTCCACTCCCAATCACAGCAAAAGAGCGCCGTTTTGACCAACGACACTGCCGCCGCTCCTGATTCCAAGCAACCGCACGCAGAGGCCATCACAATCCTCGCGGCTGACGGCTCGGCACCACCGGCCGCGCACGCTCTGGCTGCTGCCGAAACAAAAGCCTCTCGAACAACACGGACTCGTGCCACCAGTGTAGGGGCGGTCAAACCCTTGATGCTGTCTCCAGCCATGATGGGCACGAAAAAGACGCTGACGCTCTCGCGTGCCGAACGCACCGTGCTTCCCACCTTTGCGCCCGCGGCATCTCGTGCCGAGCGCTGGCGATCGCTACCAACCCCACGGCAGTCGCTCACGCCAACGCCCGACGGCCAGCAATCACCCAGTGCCTCGCCCTTAGCGTTGAGCAACCATAACCATGACATCCCGGACTTTGCTCGCCGTGGCTCTTTGCTGCTTCCATGGAATCCTCGTGTTATTGCCGATGCCAAGCGCCAGGTGGACACGTTGCAGCGAACCGTGGCAAGTACCCGTGTCAATGTGAATGACGCGCGATTCCGGATGCGTGAGACCACAGTCTTGGCCCTCGCATGTGTCGACCTCGATCCCAATCGCAAACGAGCCGAGATTAGTATCCCATGGAGTCGCAAATCGTCCTCCGCCGCTGGATCCCCAACGCCGTCCTCCAGTGCCCTGCCGCCCTTGTCTGCGTCTGCCGCAGGTCTTCCCGGGTCTTCTTCTGCTTCCTCTTCTTCTTCTTCGTCTGCCACATCTGCGTCGCGACTCTCACGACGAGCGAAAGCAGGGTTGAGCGTCATCACCAACTCGTTCAACTTTAGTCCGTCTTCCTCCAGCACGACAAACGCAGCCTCCTCTTCTTCTTCTTCTTCTTCCAGCAGCAATTCAACCGGTGGCAGCCCCAAAATCTCGCGTGTTCGCTCCGCCTCAGTGTCTGCGACCTCGCTTCGCACCCCTTCGCCCGTGTCCCTTCCTCCTCCTCGGAAACAGCAACTCGCCGCAACGTCGCAGCCTCCACAACTCAACCGCCTGTCATCCTCTCCGTACTTTGTCCTGCAATCGCAGCAGCAGCAGCAGCAGCAGCAGCAGCGTCGTCCCCCGGCTAGTGAATCTCAGCTTCCCGATATTCGCAATACACCAGGTGCCAATCACTCTGAATCGGCAGGCGTCGTCTAGCGGTGATTCGGCGTCCAGCAGCATTGCTCACGGATTGGAAGAAGCACTCGCTGGTGGTTTCGAGCCACGTTCAATGACATTGTTAGATGGCTGGAGAGTTCGAGTTGTCTCTATTTCGTTACGGTTTTGATCGTTTTGTCTTTTTTTGAAATTTATTTGTACTTTTTTTATTTTTTGGAATGATTCTTCTGATTTCAACGATGGTTTGTCGACAAAAACCTGCTCACTTGGAAACGGCATCGGAGGCCACAATGGCGGCACCACAGCCCGGAGGAGAGGCAAAGATGAGGCCATTGGCAATGCCCTTGCGCTCAAAGTACAGCCGCTTCACATTGGCGACAAACGCGTCAACCTTGTCAGAGGGAACGAGGGAGACGCAGCACCCTCCCCAGCCAGCTCCTGTCAAGCGCGAGCCCAGAGCACCTTGTTGGCTGCACCAAATTCACAATGATGAAAACCCAACAGAAAAAAAGGGAGGAGAGGGGGGGGGGGTTGAGCAAATAAACAAAAACAAGGCAGGTTAGACACGCAAAGCCCTAGCACTGCCACCCCCCACCAGCGAAAACGTACCGACAAATGGAGGTCAGGTCATCCAGCTCCTCGCAGCTGCACTCGTAGAGGTCGCGACAGCTGGTGTGGCTGTCATTCATCAACTGCCCCAGTTTCTGCTCAAGCGAAAAAGGTGCCCAAAATCGAAGTTAGGCACAAATTACACACGGCCGTAGTACGCCAGAGTGCGTGCAACTCGTACAGCAAGAGCAGTGGTGGCGTCTGGAGCTGTGTCACACACAGTCTTAAACTGTGCGGTGCGCGACGCCTCTTGGAGAACGTGCGACACGCGTTGGAACAAGCGGAAGGAGCGAGCTTCAACGGTCGAAGCACTCATAAACGAGGAGACAATCTCAGACTCCTACAACACGAATAGGCGCAATTCATCGTTAGTTCGCTGGGGCTCCGGCAAGCACGCACGGTACTACTACGTACAGGGAGACCAAACAGACCAGACAGCTCGGTCAAAGAGTAATCATGCGGATGGAAATGCTTGGATACAAGCGCAAGCATCGCATCAAAGCTGGCATTGAGAGCATTCTGGGCGCGCAGAATGGTCCTGGCCTCTTGCCAGTTCTGCACACCACCAAGCTTGGCCAGCAACAGCGCAGACAAGCGGCATTCCACGACGCGCAGGTTAAAGTTGGTCGCAGCCGTAACCTGCTTTTCCGAAACCACGCTCGAGTCAGCGACAACGAACGCCGCTCCATCGGGCAGCTTGACGGGGAAGGCACGCAAGGGGCCAAACTCAATGTTCATTGCAGCTCCTTGGTTGGCCATGAACGAGATGGACTGGTCCATGCTGGCAAGAAGGAGTCAAACGTCAGGGACTCGAACTGCAATGTCAGACAAACTTATGAAAGAACTCACCCGCCTCCTTCCGTGCCGATGTATCGCTCGCATTTGGTGCAAATTTCGGCAAACTCAAGCTGAAACAACGGCCGTGAGTTCAATGTTGCTTGGCAAGTTCAAATCCAAGCTTTTAACCTTCTCAGTCACGGGCATGGAATTGCGCGTACCTTGGTGAGCACTTTATCATGGCCACGAGCAACAGCCAGTGCAATACAGCAGACAAGTGCCGAAGACGAGGACAACCCAGCGCCCTGACGAAAGCGAACACAACATCGGTTTGTAAGCGATTAAATCACGAAACGCTCATAGAAACCTGCTTTCAGATTGCACCTACCGCAGGAATCACACCGTCGACCATGAGATACAGGGAACGGGGGCTGGTGAGCCCAAGAGCCTCCGTGATTCCCTGCAAAGATGAGAATGTGAATGAAAATGAGTTCTGCAGAGCTTTTATGCTCTCTCTCTCTCTTTTCCCCAACACCCTCCATGTTTTTCGACATACCTTGTATCCTGCCATGGCATAGTTGCCCCAATGATGCTTCTTGGTGTCAATCACGATATTGGCACCATCGAACGAGAATTTCGCATGTTTCGGGTTGGTGTTTGCGATCGTGCACTGCGTGCCAGGAGTCTTGGCGATCGCCACGGCCACCACAATGTCCTGCGCAATGGCCATAGGCAGAACGCCATAACCACTGTAGTCGACATGCTCGCCTGAGCCAAACAAACAAAAACACATCAGAAATTTGCCAGCGAATTTGCCGTCAGTGAAACTGTGCAGACAGATATGGCTGTTTCCCCTCGAGAGAACAGAGCACAGTCACTCGACGAAATGCCTATGCGAGTCTTCTCCCTATCGACCTTTGGGTCATTCACGACCTTGACGTTTGGTGACCAAAATTGCACGGCTTGCCACCAAAGAGCAAAAAACCCATCCCCGACAGCAAAGTTGCAACGCGTTCAACCCCAAGTGGGGCTTACCAATGAGATTGACGCGACCTGGCGCGCGGGCGTAAAAGTCAGGCACGGCGCCGTCAAAGGCCGATGCGAACGCCGTGCGAATTTGATCGTAGCGGCCCTTCCTACTCGTAGTTGTTGCGAAACACAGACCGAGTGAGTTGGACAGCGTTCAGTGTGCACAGTTAGATTGTCGTGGGATACACGAGTCAACAGCGTCAACAAGGGCAAGTGAGTGAGACAAGGGCAAGTGACAGGTGTTCCAAACTGAAGGTCACTCAACTGAGCGGAAAGCGCATCGCTCGAGTAAACATCGCCAAGCGAATGGACAGTCGGAACAGGAATGGACATTCTTGAGGAAGAAGAAGGGAGAGAGAGAGAGAGAGAGAGAGAGAGGCTGATGGGGAGGGCGGGAACGCTCTGGACAGCGAGAGGATTGAATTCGTAAGAAACTGAGACTGAAATGCCTGATTTGAGCAAAAAATGAAACCACAAATGAAAACAATATCATGAACAGGAGAACAGATGGCTAACGTGGAACGGAGGAAATGCACTGATTAACAATAAGACCCCAAAAACAAACAAACCCTAAGTAAATCAAAGAATGACGCCGCAGCAAGCAAGCAAGCAAGCGAACGAACGAACAAACACACAGCTATCAAACACGAGGGCGCAACACTCGGCTCGAGAATGAGACACTGGGGGCTTCGGGTTCGCTTCCAGCGATGGCCAAAGCAGACACAGAGGTGCTTTGCGCAGACGAGCTCGGTGCGGCCTTCGTCGAGGCTTGCAGACGGTACAAGATAGAAAGCTCATCGTCTTCGTCTTCGTCGTCGTCGTCGTCGCTGTCTTGCTCATCGTCGTGTGACTGCTCGTCGTCGTCGGCAAGAATATTTTCATCGCGAACAAACTCGTCGCCCTCCGTTCGGCGCTGTCGTTTCGAAGGCAGCTCAGTGTCAGAGCGCACATGAACGCACGTGTAGTTAACTTTGATTTGGATGTCTGGCATGGCGATCGGGCGTGCCAAGTTGGGCTGGGGAGAGCTCGCGCTCGGACTCGAATCGCCGCTCGCCTCATCACTCTCCCCATCATGCGGGCTGCTTTCAAGCACCATATCTTGACGCTGCGCATCGCTTGAGGAGTGCGCATCAGGCCATTCACTGTCAGACGAGGCAGACAAAGAGTAGACTTCAAATTGCGGCTCGAGCAAGGATTGGGGGACCTGCAGCACCTGTGCGATGCGAGACAAGATCGACGTCATATCGTGCAGGCTACTGCGGTTGATGTATTTGTCGAGCTCTCGGTAATTCGATCCGCGAGCGAGGAAGTTTGCGTGTTTTGGCAATGCTACGTGCTGTGAGGTTGAAGTAAGGCAACAGCAACAACAACAAGCAACAACAACGAAGAGAAAATCCGATACAAACCCAGCAAGCGACGGTCAGTGCATGCTCAAAAAAAAGGGATATAAAAAATCCCTTGTCGAAAAACCACGATCCAACTGCAGTTCAACGGTCTTACCTGATCCAGCGGTCCGACCACAGCAGTGCTGCAAATCTCGCAAAAGGGTGGTTGCTGGGCACGACGCTTGTATGGCCGTGGTCGATTGGCAGAGTTCGCAACAGTAGCGGCGACTTGGGTGGCAGCCGCGCGTGGTGCTTGCGTTTGGTTGTGCGTCCGCACGGCACGGCCTTGAGTGCTCATCATGGTCGCCCGCGCGCCTCGGGCTTGCAGGATGGCAGGTGTCGGGCTGTTGGAGAGCGCGATGGCTGCGGGCTGCAACGAAGGCACCAAGGGGGAGCCGACACGACCGTTCGCTGCTCGGGCATTGAGCGGTGGCGTGGGAATGGTGAATTCGCCTCCTGGCGACACCATTCCCGAGGACGTCACCAGCATGGATGGTCGGTGCTGGTGCGTGGGGGTGAGAGGATTGGGCGCGGATGGAGTGGTGGGAGTTGTTCTTCCTGCGCCTCGAGGTGGCGTTGTCGCAGCGTCGCGACCAAGCGCAGGCGAAAACTGCAACATCAGCCGCGGGCGAGGCGCGCCAGACCCACTTTGGGGGTTTTCCCGCAGAAATTCCTCGGCCATTGGCTGGCCACCGTGTTCAGGCTTGAGAATTCCTGGATCCTGTCCAGGAGCCTTCTTTGGCGTTGGAGTGGCATTGGAAGGGTCGTTTCGAACATTGGCAATGTTGTTCATCTGCATAAGCCGTGCTGGCACTGTCCGAAATTGAAACGGCAAATTCGGTCCCTCAAGCGGAGCCTTGCGGGTCAGGGCTGCCGATACCATTGATGTCGGGTGGCTTGTGGTCGACAGGGTATGTCGCGTCGGCAAGCCCATGGTGTCTCTCGACTCGCGGCTCACATCCATCGAAGCAGACGGCAATTGCGTGGGCTGAAGCCGCGCTCGAGTGTCTTCAGGAAGCCGGCCGGGATGCGTTGCGGCGCTTCGACGAGCGTCTTCGCGCTGTTTGAGTGTTGTGTTGATGGGGCCCTGGACTGGCTGGTCAAACTCGAGAATGGTGGGCAGGTATTTACCGCTCTTGTCTTCAATCTTGACAAAGTGCTTGGCGAAGGATACCAAATCCAAGCCCGAATGGGGCTTTCCTGGAATGCTAGAGCCAGCAGCAGCTGCGTGCCGTGACAGTTCCGAGTTTGTGTGGCCTCGCAGGGATTGTTCTAACACTTCGGTGCAAACTCGGGCCATATCTGCGCGATTTTGTTTTCAACGAAAGTGAGCGAACGGGGAAATGCAGTCCACAAAAGGTCAATCAGATAACAGCAGATGAACACTGCACTTACACCCAGCATCCAGAATTTTGACTCCCCATGCGTGTGCTTGACGAATAATGTCGCTGGCAGAGGAAGCGGGCGCTGGCGGTGCTGAAGCCGCCTGTGGCTTGCTGTCGTTGGCAAGCAGCACGTTTATTCGACCCTAAAGTTGTGCAGAAAGAAGCGCGTGAGCATTCTCCATTTTCGGCATCGATGCCTTTCGGGCAAAAGAGAGAGAGCGGTTTACCTTTGACAGCGATGAGCCCAATTGAGTAGCTGGAAGGATGGACGCAGGACTAGTTTCGCTACACCAATGTGGAAGGTGAGTGGGAACGTCAGTGGAAGGAGAAGGCAGCAACGAGTGAGAAACGGGCAACGGCAAGCAAAAAAAAAAAAAAACAAGAAGCAAAACGCTCACCTCGGAAAATGGCGCTGTTGGACAAATGGGCGACCCACGCCACTCCGCTTGGTGGAAGCAGTGAAGGACGTCAACGAACTGGGCAAAGGCGATCCGGCCGTGTCCAGCAGCGGGGTGCTAAATGGCTGGGTCGCCGAATTTGCAGGACGGTTGGCGGATCCGACCGCAGCAGCATGCCCTTGAGCGGCGCTTGCAGCGGCTGCTGCAGCATAGATGGACGATGCGATGATGGTGCTATTGGCTACGCTTGCATGCCGTGGCTGCGCACCGTCAAGGACGCTCGTTGTCTCAGAATTAGCCACGCGACCAGCCGACGTAGATCCGTCTTTGGGCTGGTGGATGATGAGATGCGTGACATCCTGCGCCCAGAAAGGGTTGACGTTCTGTTTGTTGTTGTTGTTTTTGATTCAAAAATACAAAGTTTCAAAGTGTTTCTCAGCGAATAATTCAAAAACTAAATCGAAAAAACAAAAACAATGCATTTTTTTGACAGGTTTTGTGATTTTTTTTCCCGCCAAATTGTTCAACTTTTTTTTTTTTTCTTTTTCTTTTGCTTTTGCATTTGCATTGTGTTCGTCTTTTGGATTTTCGACTTTGTTCGTGTTTCCGTCGTTCGTTTCTTTGACTTTTTGGCTTCAAAGACAAGCAAAAAACGTCCGTTCTCACTGTTTGCTTACCAAGCCGAGCTCGCGGAGACCGTCGATAATGACGGACTGCTGCTGCTGAGCGCATTGCAGGTGGATGACTGGCCGGTCGCAGCCAAAGATTCGCTGCACCGTCTTGCGTTTCCGCTCCGTTGCAGTCGATGCGGTGGCAGTCGGTGTGCCGCTAGTCGACTGACTCGTTGTGGCGGCGGTGGCAGTGGTGGTGGTGGTGGTGGTGGTCGTGGACGGAGGCGGCAGGGGTCTGCTGGGCGGCTTTGGCAGATTGTGGAAGTGAGCCGTGGACGAGACGACGGCCGTGGAGCCAGGCGTCCGCGCAACAGACCCCGACGGCGATGCATGGCTGGTCGCCAATGCTGCTCGGGCGGGAGGAGAAGGAGCGGGAGGAGAGTCAGGAGGCAACCGATCGCCGCTCTCTGCCGAATGGCTCTCCATTGACAAAAAAAAGCCGTCGCTTCCCCGCTTTTGAGCACAAAACGCACACTGCTCGAAAAGTTAAGACTAAAACGAAAATGTAGACTAAAACGAAATGTAAAAAGAATGGCAGGACGGTGAACGAGAGAGACTGTTTATCAACATCGCACAACTAGCAACATGTAGTCTTGTGCAAGGGACCAACCTGCAGGACAAGTTGACTCGGGGATCTGAGAACGACAGAACAGAAAAAAAAATACGAAACAAAAAAAACAGCCACTGTACAACTGTACAACACACTCTTAGGCCTGGTCGGCGGTGAGCGAGACATGCTCGTGCAGGCCGTTGGTCCGTTCGATCAGACCCATGACGTGCAGACACAGTTCGTCTTGGAAGGGCAGCGCAACAACTTGCACACCGACTGGAAGCCCTGCAGTCCCTGCAGAGGCCTCGACGGCAAGGTCGGTGAAGGCGTCGCGGTGGACACTCGTGTAGCACTGCTCGTCGGCACGAACGTGCGTGACAGGAACACTGCCGGCAGGCACATGCAGCAGGTTGAACAGGTTGGCGTAGCAATGCGCCGGGATCAGCCGAGCTGTTGTCAGATGCGGAAGCGCGGGCAGGGGCATCGTGGGGCAGATGAGGGCGTCAAGATTCGCCGCTTGCCATGCATGGACAAAGGCGTTCTTGTACGTTTTGGCCTTGTGGATGTACTCCTTGTACTCGAAGGCGTTCTTGACGCCGGTCGCACGCACCAGGCCGGCCAGACGCCACATGCCTTGGCGCTCAGCAGAGTCCGCGAGCTCGGTTCGCGCTGCGGTCGACATGATGCTGCCTTGGTAGAGCGGCTCGTACGCGTCGTTGAGCGCCTCGCCCTGAAGACCGCGAATGTACGCCTCCAGCCCGCGATCGCAGCTGAGCAAGCCCATGAGCGTCATCGCGCCGTCTTGCAGGTTGGGTGGCTCAAAGAACACGAGCTCGTGGCCCGCCTCCGTCAGCGAAGCAACAACCTCCTGGACTGCACGCGCACAAGCGGGACTGCTTTCAAAGAGCGCCGTCGTCGTAAAGTAGCCAATCCGCAGCTTGCGGGGACGCAGTGGCGTGGGCACCTCAGCGGCCGGCCGCGCGAGCAGCATGCCCGCGCTGGCTCCGCCAAAGAGCGAGCTGCCAATGTGGGGGATGCTGGAGCTGCGAGGGCGCGGTGAGGGGTCGGTCAGGTTGAACCCGCCGGCGGCCGCGAGGCTGCCAAAAGCGCTGCCGCAGTTCAACGAGCTGGTTCGAGACCGAGCGCCAGACTCGACGTCAATGGCCATGCTGGGGTAGGGCGACTTTTCGCGCTCATCGTCTTCGCGTGAGGGCGCAATGCTTGAAGCTGAGCTGAGCGACGACGGCGTCATGGCACAGGTCGCAGCCAGCAGCGGGCCGCAGGTGACAAACGGCAACGCTGGCACTGCTGATTGTGCGGTCGTCGCCTTGGGCATGGCGGCAAAACGGTAGATGGCGTCGTTGAACGGCATTCGAGGCACATACGGATCGCGGTTCCAGAGGGCGTCCACCCACCAGCACTTCATGATGATGGTCAGATCTTCGACGCACCGCCCCATCGGCCCAGCGACGGGCAGAATTGCCTGCTGGCCGTACTGCGGCGACATGCCATTCGTCAGGCCGACCGTTGACATGCGTTGGGGTGTGGGTTTGAATCCGTAGATACCGCACCAGTTGGAGGGCACTCTGTTGCATGGCGGAAGCAAATGCCAAGAATGGTGAGACATACTGCCACAGTGGGTTTTGCAGCATGGAAGACAACAAGACAGAGACGTGTGTGGCCTACCGAATACTGCCACCAACGTCGGTTCCCAACCCGAGCGGCGAGGCTGCGCATGCCAGAAGCACACCTTCACCTCCAGAGCTGCCGCCACTGTGTCGATTGAACAGCCCACAAAAAAACAAAAGAGTTAGTCGCGCAACAAATTCGCCACAATCAAAACCAGACGCTACACGACTCCAAAATGACTTACGCGACACGACTCGTGTTGTACGGGTTCAACGCAGTCCCCCAAATATCGTTTCGGGTCTCGGTCACCATGAGCATTTGAGGGACGTTGGACCGAACGAATGGAATACCGCCAGCAGTACGAATGAGGTGGACGAGAAGGCCGTCTTCTGCAGACTGGTTTTCGGCAAAAAAAAAAATCATCAATCTCAATTCGAACGAGGAAGCGAGAGGCTGGAAAGGACTGGGGCTCCTTACCGGATGAAAGCACTTGGCAGCCATGCCGCAAGTCGAGTCAGCACCCTTCTGGTCAAACTGGTCCTTGACCGAAATTGGAATGCCATGCAGAGGCCCCTTCAGCTGCCCGGTGGAGGCAAAGTACGCATCGGCTTCTTTCGCCTCCTCGATGGCCTCGTGGAAGAACTCTTCAGCGTTGCTGTTAAAGCGCTCTCCGCAAAGTCTGCACGCACGGAGGATGGTCAGTTCAGTTCAGTTCAATGGAAAAACGTTGCCAGGTTTTTTATGCACACTTACTTTGCGCGCTGGCAGTACGTGCGTACAATCTGCTCGGAGGTAAACCGGTGCGATTGGATGCCTTGGACAAGCTCGTGCACGGGCAGCGAAATGATGAGCGCTTGCAACTCTGGGTCGACATTGCACTCAAACGGAACAAGTCGGCGTGCATCTCGCTCAGCTCGCTTGCGCTGACATATGCCTCGCATGTACGCGTGTCGCCTCTCGGCATCTGCCTCGAGTCTGCGGTGAGCAACGGGCACAGGGTGAGCAAAAACACTTCTGGAATACTGCGGTTTTGCCTCAGAAACACCTCCCCCCTTTTTATTACTACTAAAGTCGTGTACTTACTTGTTCCTGTGATAGCTAGTCGCAACGGTGGTGCAGATTGCGGCTATGGCTGCAGCGGCACTGATCGCTGCAGCAACCGGAGTTTGTTTGATCTTGGCGGCTGCGGTTGCGGCGGCGCTCAGCATGATTGTTTGTTCTTGTCTTGCAGTACCTCAACCTTCAAGATCTGTCCATAGTTACGCATTACGCACCAGTAAGTTTCATGAAGGGGTGCGTGCGGACTTGTTTTGGGTTTTGGCTGCGAGACAGCCACATTTTGCCCCCTGTCCCCCCCCCCCTTGGTTTTAATCTTCTGAGTTTATATTTTTGTGTTTGCGCTTTGAATATGACTCATTGCACTTGTCCACAGCAGTGAAAACGAATGACGAAAGGCTCTTTTTTCGTTCCTTTTCAAAAGCCGAAAACCCGATCCTCGGCCAAAACAAAATACAAATAAAAATACAAAAAAAGTCTGCAAAGTCCAAACGCCGAAAAAGTCAAACTTTTGCCGTTTTGAATTTGAAGTTTTGCGGCACATATTTGAACGAGAACACCGAAGCAGCATTGTCGGAGATACTCAAGGACGAGTGCAGCATGGCAGTGGGGGAAGGTGCGCAAAACGAGACGACTCTGTGATTGTTGGAAAAGGTCCTGCTCAGAAGGGAGAGTTGTTTTTTTGTTCTCCTTCCAGCCATTTGTCATCAATTTTTCACATTGGCTGCGCATTCGGCAATTCGCGGTTTTGAGGTGTTTTGGGTTTCGCTGTTTGTTTTTTGAAAATTGTTGTGGGTATTTGCAGACAACGAGCGCAGCGGGAGAGCCAGAGAGCGGGGACAGAAGCGAAGAGCGAGAAGCGAGGGAGGAGGAAATAAGAGGGTGAGGTGGCTGCCGTTTCATCACCGTCGCAACCCCGCGCTTTTTTCAAGCCCTCACCTCTAAAAATGTACTGAAGCACGACGCTCAGTAGAAAAATTGAACGGCACAAGTTGAACAAAAAAGGGAGACTGATGACCGACGCTCCATAGTGGGGCGATGATGCATGAGAGGCGAGGGAAAGGGGACGCAACCTTTTTCCAACTTCTCGCCCACATTCACAGCCACCGTTCCCAGCTCCTCCTCGACATGTTCGCCAAAATGCAACACCAATGCAAAAGAACGCGAATTTTTGCTATTGATGACCGAAACGCAAATACAAAAACACACCAACACGCCCAAAGTCGTTGTTGGGCGGAGATGAGGAACGATGGGACGAACTGATTGGGCTCGCTCTGGTGCCCACCGCCGATCCGCGTCCCGCCAGCCATCCCGCTGCCGCCCCAGTCCCTCCATCTGCCACTCGGGGGGGGGGGCAAACAATTGCCAAGCGCCCAGCAGAACAGCGTCAGACAGAAAGCAGCGACACGTACAAAACACTGGAAAAAAAAAAAACGCACTTCGATATTTCGGATTTTGTGTGCCGCGACTCGGCAAAGAACAAATAAAAATTAAAAAAATAAAAATAAAAAATAAAAAATAAAAAAATAAAAAAGACTGCAGCGTTTTGGATTGGAAAAATCCAGTCTTTTTTGTTTTTTTGAATTTCGTTTTATTCCTCTCTTTCTCTTTCGCTCATTCTATCGCTGTTGTACTGCGTTTGTCATACTCTCACTGGAAAAATACTCACAATGGTAAAGCATGCATTTCAGGAGCCCTGGAGGCGGTCGGCAGAGCTCTGTGATGTCAAATTGCACAAAAAATTGCAGTTGGTTGTTCCGCCTGTTGCTTGCTTGGGCTTCTGTCCGCGGGCGTGCTTCAGATCGATTCGTCTGTGTTTGCCACGGGAGTCGGCCTGGAAGGCAGCGGGTGGAAGAGTGAGATACGGTCGCCTTCGCTGTTTCACTGGGCTGTCAAAAACACAAAACCGTTGAATACGTTTCAAACCGCCAAAACTTGAGCCGTCAGTATTTTCCGCTCTTGTACAACGAGTCGAACACCGACGCCGGTCCCTTTCAGTCAGGCTTGCGACGCTGGGATGAAACTACATGCATTGTTCCTCGCGACGGGACGAAACTCGAACGAGCGGCAAAACAAAAGAAAAAATCAAAAAAACGTCAAAAAAATTTGAAACCGTTTCAAAAACCAAAAAAGCCGCGTTGATTTTTGAAACGCTCGCTTTATCCACCTCTCCTCGAGTAACAACCCCAGTGCAGAGACAGTTCAAATGACTAACATTACCCCCCTTTTTTTTTCGACACACTTTTAGGATGCTCGCTCGCCGCTTTCCGCGCTCGGTTCGCATCTCAACCAAATGTCGATGAGCGCTTCGATGCAGATCGACCCCATCAAGTTTCCACCAGCACCGATGGCCGGATCGCGCATTCGAGCTCCGACCACAGTTGTCAAGAAGGAAGCGACAATCATTGCTCCTCAGCAGGACACTGAGACGCTCACGCACCTGATGCAAGCGATCGAGGAAAATGCAAGTTGCTGACTCTCTGTTCCTCGTCATGAATCGTTATGAAACATGCCCAAAGCTCATTGTCGTGTGGTGATATCTGCAAATGACGATTCTTAGATTGCGTCCGCGCCCATCTCGCCAGGCAAGCGCCGCGCAAGCACCTCGGAAGCACAGCCTGCGCCGGACATGAAGCGCCCGGCGGCTGCAACTGTCAAAGGCCGCGTCGTGAACGCTGGCACAACCAGCGCCGTCCGCCCGGCAACTGTCGCGACGGCCCGTCCTGCACCAAAGGCGGTGGCTGCAAGCGCTCCCCGCACTGGAACGACTACCACGGCCGCCAGCGTCTCGGCAAGCTCTGCCGCCGTCAAGGCACGCATTGCAAGCACGGCCACCTTGCGCAAGCCCGTTGGGCCTGCTCCGACTTCGGCGTCGGCGATTGCCGCACGCAAGGCCGCTGCTGCATCTCAAACGGCTGTCCAGCCGCAGCAGCAGCCAACCTCGTTCATTGCTCCGGCACCGAGTGCTGCCGAGGTTGCCGCGTCCGTTCCCGGCAATCGAGCTGCGTGGGATTACAAGGGTCGATTGGAAGACATGGAATCCTTCGCCATGTCGCTGCGCGAGTCGCAGGCAACGTCCAAGACAGAAGTCGCCACCATGGAAGCAGCAGTAGCGGGCACTCAAGAGCAGATGGCAGAGCTGGACAAGGTCCGTCAGGGCCTTGAGGAGCGCCTTCAAGCCAAGGAGCGTGAGGTCAGCGAAGCAGCCACCCGCATCCGCGAGCTCGAGTCGGCCACCCGTCTGCGTGATGTCGAGTATGAAACGGCCACTGCAGCCATGCGATCCAAGTACACGCTCGAGAGCGACATGCTGCAAACGCAACTCTCGTCGCTCCAGCGCGAGAAGGAGGCTGTTCAGCGCTCGCATCGCGAGGCTCTTGATGAGGTAGGGAGAAAAGATAGCATTGTTACGTTTGGTCATGTTTGCGCGATTCTAACGTCTTCTTCTTCAAATTGTGACAATCAATCACGAAACAGGCTTGCACTCTCAAGTCACAATTGACCCGCACTCAAAACGACCTTGCCGTCGCCGAATCCAAGCTGAAGTCGATCTCAGCCAGCTTGGAAGAGACGCAGCGACTGCTCGAGCGCCGCGACGATGAACTGCGTGTCGCTAAGGGAGAAATCAACTCGCTCCGCTCCACCATTGCCAAGCTGTCGAGCGAGGCCATTGAAGCCCAGACCGAGCTCCGCATCACTCGCGAGTCGCTCCACCGCGCCGAGGCAGATGGCTCCAGCAAAGCCCGCACCATCGAGGAGCTCCAGGCCATGATTGCCGCTCACCAAGAAACGATTCGCCAGTGCGAAGAGAAAATCCGCGAAGACGAGGCTATTCGGCGCCGTCTGCACAACACGGTGCAAGAGCTGAAAGGCAACATTCGAGTGTTCTGCCGCGTTCGTCCCATCCTGCCCCACGACCGCGCTGCGCCAGGTGCAAAGAACGGCGGACTCGCAAAGATGGACTTCCCCGACCGTGAAAGCAAGACCATTGTCCTGTTTGACGGAGCGCAGGAGAGCTACGACGGCAAGACGTCGACCAAGGCACACGAGTTTTCGTTCGACAAGGTGTTTTCGCCCAGCACGTCCCAAGCAGCCGTGTTTGACGAAATGTCCCAGCTTGTCCAAAGCGCTCTCGACGGCTACAATGTTTGCATTTTTGCCTATGGCCAAACCGGCTCTGGCAAGACGTACACGATGGAGGGACCGGCCCTGCCATCTTCCACCTCGCGCATGGATGACTCGGCGGGCTCCGCCGCCCAGAAGGAGTCGTGCGGCATGATTCCTCGCGCAGTCGCTCAAATTTTCCAGACCGCTCAGCGCCTGACTGAAAAGGGCTGGGCCTACGAAATGGAGGCCAGCTATCTCGAGATTTACAACGAGCTAATCAACGATCTGCTCGGCAACGGCGATTTGACCAAGAAGCACGACATTAAGATCCGCCCCGACAAGCCCGACGAGATTTACGTCTCCGACACGGTGTCGGTAAAGGTGGAGAACGAGATGCAAGTGTTTTCGCTGCTCAACCGCGCCTCGCAAAACCGCGCTGTGGCCGAGACTCAGTGCAACTCGCGCTCGAGCCGCAGCCACTCGGTCTTCCGTCTCAAGCTGACCGGCCGCAACTCCATCACTGGCGAGTTCTCGGAAGGCATCCTCAACCTCGTCGATCTTGCTGGCTCTGAGCGCCTGAGCAGCTCTGGCGCGCAAGGAGACCGTCTCAAGGAAACGCAGGCCATCAACAAGTCGCTGTCGCACCTCGGCAACGTCATCATGGCCCTTGCAAACAAGCAGCAGCACGTGCCGTACCGAGACTCCAAGCTCACCCACCTGCTGCAAAACAGCCTGGGTGGAAACAGCAAGACGCTCATGTTTGTGAATATTTCGCCGCGCGAGGAGTCGCTCTCCGAGACGATCTGCTCCCTGCGCTTTGCGACCAAAGTGAATGGATGCAATATCGGAACTGCGCAAAAGCGCAAGTAAAATTTTGCAAAGGCGCCTGTTCAGGCCTTGCCGACAGAGACAAGTCCGAACAAGGGCTGACGACAAACGTTGATGAATGTAGAATGAATGTCGAGTTGATGTGTTTGAAAAGTTGATGAAGTGGTGTTGCGAGATAAAAGATTGTGCCTGGTTTGAATCACGAAGAAACAAAAAAAAAAAAAACAATTCAATCTTAAACACTGGTTTAATCGTTTCGATAAAGCAAATGCGAATGACGAGGAAATCGAAGAGTTACACGGGGAGCTTTGATCCCGTGAATTTGTCCACAACCTGTGAAGGAGCAAAAGGACGAACGAGAGTGAGCATAAAGCGGGAAATTTTGTTGAAATCATTACGAATGGCAGTACCTGTGCAATCCCAGGCAGGTTCAAGAGCTGGCCAACAACGGGCATTTGCCGCAAGAAGTTGATCACGATTGGGAAAAAGTCGCTGGAAAGGAAAAGAAAAAAGCAAAAACAAAAAACAAACAAACGATGAAGTCAACAAGAAGCAAAGCCACTGGTCCACAACAAGCGCGGAATGATCAACTTACCCAAATAGATTAATAAAGCCAAAGATTTCGACACACATGCCAATGACGGGCCAGCCGCACAGAACGACGAAAATCCCGCCCAAGAAGCAGGTGGTGCCCTTCGCCTTGTGTCGCTGGAAGAAGAAGCGTATTGTGCGATCCCAGCCAATAAGAAGCCCAACACCACTCAAAAATAACAACTGCAAAGCAGAAGGGTAGAGTGCAAGAAAGGTGAGATTCAAGAGTGTATCAAAGCGCGAAGCAACGCAACGCTCTCCAAAAGGCAGATCGTACATTGCCCATAGCCAGTAATCCCGTGTCAAAGAGCATCAGGATGCCCAGCAGCAAAAAGAAGATGCCAAAGCCCGTGAGGCCAATGCCGATTTCTGCCAAAGCGAGGGAAGGGTAGGAGTTCAAAAGTGAGTCTCAATGTAGTCAAAAGCGTGCCTCCGTGACCCCGACGCCGATTCAATAATTCGCGAGATTTCAAATGGTCGGTGTCTTTTCATAAACCGATGTCATCGAACGAGCGAACGGAAAAAGTGCCACCAACTTCGGGCGACGTGGACCATTGACGTGGTAAGAATACGAATGGCTTGTCACTCAGTCCATCTCGCTCGTCCTCGTCCTCGTCCATCCCGCGCGCAACTTGACCTCCCGTTGCGACTGTTGCTTGCAGTTGTCACTCGGAACGCAAGCGATTCCGGCTTGTGGAAGCAGGGGGGAGGGGGTGCAATCCCTGTCCGTCTTGTTGCTTTCCTCCCATCTTCGTTCAACGAACTGTGGCTGGACCAGCGTTTCGGTTGCGTTTTTTGCGGCGTTGTCTTGCGCTTGATGTTGCATTTGGTTGGACAGATGCTTACTCTGACTGTCGGTGACGTTCGCTGCGAGCAGATCGAAGCAAGCCAAAAAGTGAGAAGAACAGTTCAAAATTCAAAAATAAAAAAAAAAAAAAAGGCTTACGGAAAACCATTGCAAAGACTGAACTTCCTTCTCGAAATCAAAGAAAGGTGCAACTGAGAAAACCTTCAACGGAATTCAAAAAAGTCATGTATTAACAGTGGATAATGATGAACAAGCAAAGCGAGAATGCAAACGAACGAAAAAGAGCTCAAAAGGAAAAATAAACAAAAGCAAAAGGGAAAAAAAAAAAAACACCAAACATTATTTCAACAGGAGGTTTCACCAAACAAGTCGTCAGTAGAAGAGGGCGGATCTTGCTCGGAATTCATGGACTGCGGAGACGGCATGGCGGCAGACTTGGCGCTCTTTTGTTGAAAAGCGCGGCGAGCTTCAGCGCCGCCGTGGGGCCGCTGCTCGCTTGCAATGGGCACATTGTTTGTACTCAATGCAGGAGACGCGGCGAGCAAGGTGGTGTCTACAGTGCCTGCTAGCAACGGGGGTGCCGCCGTGGGTGGGGAAAATCGAACACCAGCCTCGGCTGCAGTGACAAAGCCGCCATTGGAACTTGCACTCGCGGAAGGAGCCAAGCTGTGCAAGCGGTCAAGTTCCGTCTTTAATTGGCTGTTTTGAAGCTCGAGGTGCTGGATGCGCTGAGCCATAGCGATTGCCGAATAATCCAAGTCTACTGTCATGCCGTTCAAGCCCAGGTTGGCTGGGGGCTTTGATCGGCGCGCAAAGGATGGGACGGTCGACAAGGCAACATGGATGGTGCCTGCGGAATCGGAAGAAGAGGACCGCGACAACGAAGAGCGCGACAAGGTCGAATCTTGCCCCGCAATGGTGGGCGAAGTCGCATTCGAGCGCTCGAATAAGGACCATGCTGGAGGGCCTCTGCGCGGGCTCCCAGACGATTGGAGCGGCACCCCGCGCTCAACGTCAATATGCGAGTTTGTCGGTGGGGGCGCTTTGGCAGATGGACTGCTGGCATTCCTGCCAGAAGGCGGATCCGACGGGAGTGGAGAGGCAACGGGCGAGTACTGCGGCTGCTGTTGCTGTTGCTGTTGCTGTTGCTGCAAGTGTACGGCGAGCTGCCCAGTCGCGGCAGAAAGCGAACCTGTGAGTCGCGTGGGTGGCTTGGTGGCCGGCTGCAGAATGGGCACATTGCTCTGCGAGTTGGAGCGGCGATAGGCAGTGCGTTGCTTGCCCTCTTGCGCTTGGGCCCGAGCCTGGAGCTGGATCTCTTGTTGCTCGCGCTCCTTGTCTCGAAGGGCATTCAAAATGGCGTCAATGGGCAACTGGTCCTCACTGAGCATGCCGTCGGCGTCGGACGAGTCCAACGCGCGAATTTGAAGCCTCTGGCTGGCAAGACGATTCATGCCCACTCCTTGGCCCTCGGCTCCGAGAATCTCATCGTCGGTATCGTCGTCATCGTCGTCGTTCAGATCTTCTTGTGCGGCAACCCGGGCAACGATGGCCTGCAGCTGGGCTAGCGAGGACTGACTGGCAGCCAGCGTAAAGGGTACATGCGACGCTCCAGCAATGGAAAGACGCGACACAGAGGAGCTGTTTCGACGGATCTTGCCAGCCCGACCGCCACTGGGTGGAGGTCCATCGAGCGAGGCGCGCGCCGGGTCGGAATCGTCCTGCTGAACTGCCGACACTTGGCCGTTCGAATTGTGCGACGATTCCTGTTTGGACGAAACAAAGTGCGGCACGTTCAAGGACGCAGTCTGCATGTCCGAATTCTCAATCATCGTCACGTAGTGGATGTTTTCGTCCTCGCCAGACTGCTGCTGTGCGGCCAGCTGCTGGGCCAGGTGCTGCTGGTGCACATGCTGTTGGTGCTGCTGCTCAAGCAAAAGCTCCTCTTGCAGTCGTTGAAGCGTGCGCTGACGAAGGCGTTGCTGTCGTTGCCGCTTCATCACATTGAGCAGATTGTTCTCCTGTGCCTGTGACAACACGACGTTTCCTTTGCCGCGATAGACCATCCGCAGCTTGGGACCAAAGATCAAGACAACCACGACTGGCACGGTGAAGAAGATTTGCAGGGATTGCAGCACAAACTGGACGTCTGGCTCCAGCGAGGCAGCGATGAGCAGGACCTCAATCACGACCGTCACAAACATAAAGTTGTACACGGATAGCACGACGTGACGAGATTCATTCCAGGCCGAAGGTGCCTTGCGCACCGTCCACGCGAGAAACACGCCGATGCCCATGAACAGCAACTCGAACAAGAGAAGCGAATACAGCCACCAGTTTCGGGAGCAACCGTTGTACTGGATTGTGTCGCCACGGATCAGATAGGACTGTTACCAACAACAGGCGCAAAGGGGAGAGGAGGAGAGTCGAGAGAACCAGTTAGTCAACACAACAAATGGCATCATCCACCATCTCATCAATCAAAGTGCAAAAAAACCAACCTCTGGGCGGGACGGATCCACAATCGTAAACACAATCAAGTAGCCGACAAAGAAGGCAAGAAACTGCGCGAATATTTTGAAGAGGGCGCGCGTGGTCACCGTCGCCCGTCGATCCACTTTGACGCGGTAGACGCGGGCAACTTGGTAGGTCTTGCAGAACAGCGCGGTAAACATGATGGCAAATCCGAGGTGCTGCGTCCACACGCGTGCGCTGCACAATTCGTCGCTGACATGCTCGGCTGCCACGACAAACACGGAGGCCAGCTCGATCACGGCGCCGACAAGAATAATTCGCAAGAACAGAGGATTGCCGGAAAGGACCACTTTCATGTCGCGGAACGCATAGACGAGGTAGAAGGTCAGCAAGCACATGGCAATGAGCAGCGCTGCGATGGTCTGGAACGCGATGCGCAGCTGTGTGTTGTAGTCGTAGACGGTGGTGCAGGATCGCGTGGAGGAGATGATCGTGCCGACTGGACAGGCAGCGACACAGGCACCGCCGTAGCTCAAATCACGACAGCGACTGCACTTGGAGGGGCCTGCTCCAAAGCACCCGTGGTCGCAGTTGGGATCGCAAAGGACACACTCCAATACAATCGTTGATACGGGTGAAGGAGTTGGTGTACTGCCTGTGAGGCTGGATGTCACCGACGAGAAGCGGCCACCTGGTGGTAGCGGCGGAGGCTGGGCAGTGTACTCGCGCAGGAAGGTGAAATTGGGGCACTCGCGCACACACGTGCCGTTGAAGACCATTTGAGCGCAGGATGAGCATGCGTCGGGGCCCGGCCCGCTGCATTGTGTCGCGGACTGGCACATGGACGAGCAAGCGTAGTCGCGAGGCAGGACGGAAAGGTCGTCATAGAACGTGAGGGTCGACGGATTGTCGGCTGACATGGAGCCGTTTGGCGCGACAAACTCAATGCCAAAGTTGTTGGTATCGAGAAGATCATAGGGCAGCGGCGTGATCAGTCCGCGCAGAACAAAGGCGTGCGAATTGTTCGTGGCGACCCAGTTGAAAAATTCGTACACGGCAATGCGGTCTCCGTTCGCGTCGAAGGAAATGAGGCCCGTCACGCCCTCAAAGTGCGTTTGACGCAGCATGTCCAAAATCAAGGCGCCGTCAACCGAGCCAACCACGGTAGCGTTTGGCGTAACGATTTGTCGGTTTCGAATGATGGCATCAAACACTCGGGCGTACATGAAAACGGCGTCGTAGGCAAATGACGAATAGTCGCCGGGCGTGGCTCCGATGCCCAGCGAGCTGTTGGTGATTGACAGATTTCGCCACGTTTCGAGAAACTCGTCGTAGAGCGGACCATCGCCCTGGCGCGGGCGGAATCCAATGAGGCCGCGCATGGCATTGTACAAGGCCACAATGTCGCTCTCTTGCCCAAGCCGGCGTTTGAACTTGCACTCCAGGTCGATCTGGGAGCACGACACGCTGGGCATGGCCCCAGATCCGGTGAGGTTGACTTGCGCATCGCAGTTCAGGGAACTCGAGTAGCACGGTTGGCAGATGGTCGCAACGTCGCTCGCCGCCAGATTGGAGCAGTAATCTGCATCTGGGCGCATTGGCAGCACGCCCTCGCACACGACCCAAGCGTACCTGTGAAGGGGAAGAGAGAGAGTGAGTGAGTGAGTAAAATACTGAGCGACATCAACAAAAACCACAAAAACAAAAAAAGGGCAAACAGCTCAAAGTGCAACGACACAGGACTAAACAAGAAACACTCACTCTGGCCCAAACAGTCCCTGTTGCATGGCCTCGGCAAAAATGAGCAGGGCGTCTTCCACGAGGCCAAAGTACAGGAAAATGCGTGCACCAGAGTCCTTGAGGATTTGGATTTGCCGAGTGGGACGAACGCCAGAGCCCGTGCTGTAGTCTTGGCGTGCGAGAACGGACATGCCGAATTGGTTGGCCGTGGTGACAACCTGGTCTGCGCCGGCGCGACCATAAATGTCATCGGTGGCAATAATGGCAAACTGCGTCCATCCCAAGCTGTGGACAAGCTGGACCATGACGGCTCCTTGAAGCGCATCGGACGGCACGTTTCGCACAAAGAACGGAAAGTCGGCTTGGTTGCTCAGCTCGGGCGCCGTGGACGAGAAGCTCAGCTGCGGGATGCCAAAGTTGAGCAACACGAGCTGCGAAGCCTTGGACACGGACGAGGCGATTGCACCAAGGACCGCGTCTGCACCAAAATTGGCAGCCAGGTCGAGCGCCTCGGCGATGCCCTCGGCCTGCGAGAGTCGCGTGTCGCGGGTCGCGAGCACAATTTCATGCTTGGGCAGCAGAATCCCGTCCGACCGTATCCGCGCAATGGCGAGGTCGATGGCGACGCCAAAGTCGCGCGCAACCTGGGACAGTTGGCCAGTCACAGCGTTGAGAAACCCGATGCGTATGATATTCCACGGCTTTGGCTGGTTTCCATTGTCATCGGGCGTGCAGGCGTCCTGGGGCTCGACGACGGCGGCAGCTGCGAATGTATTGAGATTGAGATTGTCATCATTGTCAATCGTGGTGGTCTGAGCGTCTTGGATACTGCTCAGACACACGCTGCAGCAGTCGCAGGCTGAGCCGGTTGCTCCGTCCATAGCAGCAGCAGCAGCACTCCCATCCATGCCTGTCCATTGATTGAGGCTGGTGGCGGTAGTCGTAATAGTAGTAGTAGTAGTAGTAGTAGTAGTAGTAGTAGTAGTAGTAGTAGTAGTGCTGCTGATGCTGGGCTGCATTGGCAACGCCGGCTGCTGCTGCTGCTGCGAGTCTCAATAACAATGTCGCTGTCGGCGCTCACTTGCGCGGCGGCCGCTGCTTCCGTGCTGACTGCGCCGGCGTCTATTGGCGCAAGTTCTTGTGCTTGTGTTTGTGCTTGTGCTTGTGGTGGTGCTTGTGGTGGTGCGAGTGGTGGTGGTGGTGCTGCTTCAGCCAGCGTCGTAGTGCTGCTGCTCGCAATAATAATACCAGGGCCGCTGTCGCTGTCGCTGTCTGCCCTGCGCGGTTGCCGCTGCGACTGCCGTCGTAATGGAGCACTTGCATCGACCCCAGCATGCCCCACGAGCACCAGGACAAGCGCCAGCAGCACCAGTGCCAGCAGGGGTGGCGTTGCGAGGGCTGTCGCACGAATTCGCATTGTGCTACCAACCCCACAGCACAGCTTGCACCAACTAGGATGTAAAAAAGCAAAGTTGTATGGCAATGCCGTCCAAAAAGATAGAGGGCTTTTTGTTTGTTTTGTTTGGCTTGATGAGAAACGGTTGTTGCTTGAAGATGACTCTCAAAGTGCGGAAGGGTAAGCGGAAGAGAAAGAGAGAGAGATAAAGAGAGGATGCGGAATAAGAGGTCTTTGAAGGGGAAACGATGAGTGAGCTTTGCGAGTGTATAGTGGAGAGACATGTATTGCATAGGATGCTCTGTTGTTACAACAGGAGTGGAAAAGCGAAAAGGCTCAGATTTCAACCAGACGTTGGCTTTGTGTTCCTGCAGAATTTTGAATGGCAGAGCGACGTTGAGGTGCATTTGCTGAACATTCAGGCGATTAGAAACGCTTGGAGAGATGGAGTAACAGGACGTCGCTCAGCTCTTGAAGACGGTTGCTGGAAAGCGAGTTGCAGCACGAAAATTTGAATGGAACAACATTGGAGATCACAAACTGCATGGTTTTCTGAGTTGATTTTGTTTGTTTGTTTTTTCTGAGCGTTTCCATTTTTTATTTGTTTGCTCAGAACCTTCACTCCTTTTTTGTTTGTTCTGTGTCTTGTCAGTTTCATCACGTTCGCTGTGTGTGGGGATGGATTATCTGGGCAGCAGGTTTAAGATTGTCAAGTCCCGCTTGATGTGGGGCCAGAGCGAGCCGACGCCAGTGACGTTGTCGCCCGTCTCTGCGCCTGCATCGAGCTTTTATGCGCGGCGTGCAGTCGCAGTGGAAGCGGACGACGACGAGGACGCGGATGAGGATTTGATGGCATCGCCGCCAGCGCGGGCGAGAGTGACGACCAAGCGCCGAGCAGCTCGCGATTCCGACCACGACGATGATGATAACGATGGTGATGATGATGATCACTATCGTAACGGCGAAGAGGAGGACGGCGGCGATCGAAGCGAGGACGACGACGACGACAACAACGGCAGTCGTTTGAAACGGCGCGCCGCCAATTTGAAAAGTGCGCGCCAGAATCGCACTGCCGTCCGCGGATCCGCTGCGACCAAGAGCGGGAGTGCGACGAGCGTAGCCACGGGACGCAAGGGCGCGCGGGCTGCGGCGGCCAAGACGCCCAGGACGACCAGCCGAGCCAAGGCAGCCGTTGTTGCTGCAAACTCTGACCAAGATGACCAAGATGATGAGCATGATGACGATGAAGATCAAGAACAAGTGCGTCAGGCAAAGACCAAGACGGCTCAGGCTCGGAGCACTGTCGCCGCCGCCGCCCGCCGCCGCGCGCCCGCAAGTCAAACGCGTTGCTCAGGAACGGAACGACATGCCGGCAGCTGCTGCTCGTGCAGCACGCGTTGGTCGCGCAGCCGATCGTGGTCGTGGTGCGTTTGCAATGGACCAAGATGATGATGATGATGATGAGGATGAGGATGAGGACGAGGAGGACCAAGCTCTCCCAGCTCGCAAGCCCGCTGCACGCATCACGGCGTCCGCCAAGGCCACCGCCGCCAAGACAGCTGCAAAGGCCCCCGCTAAGGCTTTGGCAGCATCGTCGCCACGAGCGGGCAAGGCCAAGGCCAAGGCCACCACCGGCACCCCGTACGAAATCGCCTGCACAGCCAACCAAGCGCCTGTCGTTCCTCCGAGCTCCACTGCCATGCTGGTCACTGTCGGAACCGTGCTGACCGATTTTGCCAAGAAAGAGTATCAATTGACACGTCTGCTCGGCGTTGGCGGCCATGGCGCCGTCTACGAAGGTGAGATTCGTGGGTATGCCAAAAAAAAAAAAAAGCAAAATTGATTGCCAATGTACTTACAATGCATCTTCTTGTCATTTGTTATTTTGGCCTGTTCAAAACGTTTAGCCAAGCCGAAGGACGGCACAGGATCTGTAGCGATCAAAATCGAGCCCATCCACACAAAGAAAGCCAATCCTCTTGACTCGGAGAGCAAGATTTACCAAACTCTGGGCAAGCAGGACAACAGTAAGGCGGTATTTTTGGAGCATTGTGATTGTATCCTATTTTTTGCAGGGGCAGCGCTTTGAGTTGTCTTGCAATCTACTCATGTGTGCTTTTTTTTTTGCTTTTTTTTTGCGGGTGCTAGTCGACAAGTTTGTCAAGTCGCAGCGAGGCGTCTCGTCGGTCGGCATGCCGCTCTATCACTCCTACGGCAAGTTCACGACCTCGAAGGGCCAGCCAAGTCAGTTCATCGTCGTGGCACTGATGGGACCGAGCATTCAGCAGCTGTTTGAGCTGACCGGCGCCTTCACCCGGCCTACCCTGGACTACATTGCCAACGCTGTGGTATGGCCCGACCAGCGAGCAGAGTTGTGTTGGCCCCAGTCATGCTGGATTGAAGATGTTGACACTGACCGCTGCATGTTGTCGCATTTGAATGGCAGATCCTCGCGTTGCAATATGTGCACTCGTTTGGTTTTGTGTTTGCCGACATCAAGGCGTCCAACCTCATGCTCGGCGCCCCCGGCTCAAGCAACGCGCAGGATGTGTACCTCGTCGACTTTGGCATCGCCGAGCGCTACATGTTTGGCGGAAAGCACGTCGTCTATGACAACAAGAAGAAGGCTGCGTTCGACGGCACTCTCGAGTATGCCTCCACCGATGTGCACGAAGGCTACAGTAAGTTGCTGCTAGTCGTGTTTCTGGAGAGTCGACAAAGATCAAAGGCTTGATTGCTGACTCTGTGGACAGTCTGCTCGCGCCGAAGCGATTTGCAGTCGCTCGGATTTTTGCTCGTCAAACTCGAGCTTGGCGCGCTCCCTTGGGCCAAGCAAACACAAAAGAACGCAGTTCTTGCTGCCAAGCAAGCTCTTTTGGCTGATCCGCGCAGTTTCAAATGCTCAGGTGAGAAGGGAATGAGAGAAGTTCAATGTTGCATTTCTGCATCGGTTTATCTCCTCTGACTTTTTGATGGAATGCAGCTGCCTTGACACGCTTCTTTGCGTTGGTGGAGAAGATCAAGTACACGGAGGAGCCGAACTACAAGGAGCTGCGCGATCTCTTCCCTGTCGACAAAAAGGCTGTTTTGGACTGGCAGTAGCAGATTAGCTGTTTTTTTTTGTGTGTGTGTTTCCCTCTCTCTCTCTCTCTCTCCCCCCCCCCACACACACACACACCGCCTCGTCGATCTAGTTGCTGAATGTTCGTTTGTTGAGATTGTTGCTCGCTGTCCATTGCATGACTTCAAGTCAAAAATTCGCTCAGTCCAATGTTACGCAACGGCTGTTTCGCTGTTTCACTTTTTCGCTGTTTCGCTGTTTCACTATTTCGGTGTTTTGCTTAATCAGCACAGTCCTTTTTCATCCCTTTCTTTCGCTTTCTCACTCTCTCTTTCTCTCTTTCTCTCTTTCTGTTTCATTTCTAGCATCAGAGTCTGTGTGTGTGTTGATACGCAATGACAGGGCAGCGCTGGAGGGACATGTTCACCATTCCCTTTGTGTCGGCTCCCAATCTTGAACACAGCCTATTGCCCATCCATCTCATAAAACTTAGTCCTCCCACGACCTTCCATTTCACCAACTCTACCAATGCAAGGCGCTTCTCAGTGGCGACGATGGCTCAGCAGATTGCCTTCCTCGATGGATTATTCGCCAACGAGCCGCTGGTCGAGTCGGGCGCTCCCAGTACGCCACAATTCGAGTTGTTCGACGGCAACGATGGAACTGCCTCTTCCTTGAACGAGCTGGACTGGCTGTTCGGCGATGATTCGGACGAAGTGACCCACAACGACGACGACGACGCGAATCCCGACGACAACGAGGATGCTGACAATGCGAATCCCGATGATGACGCAACGCCCTCCTTCACACATGCTCCAACAGTCGCCGCGTTGCCGAATCAACCCCAGCCTGCAGATCACCTGCAACCACCTGTACCAAGTGCCATGACTCGTTCGGTAGCATCTATCTTGGTCGATCGATTCGTCGGATGGCTCAGGCCAAGTCCGGACGATCGCCTAATCTGGATGCTGATGCCGCCTCGTCTGCAACTACCATTCCGGATCCCGCATCGCCCACAGCGACCCAACTCACCCCATCTTCTGATCCCGTGGAAGACCCGTTCGGTTGGGCTTCCGTCGAATTTGAAGACATGGTCTTTGCGGAATCCGACGATGAAGAGAGCAGCAGCACGGCTGTCGCCGTCCCCAAGACTTTCAAAGAAGCGCTTCGATCTGGCAACAGTGAGGCCGCAATTGAATTCCTCGCGACTGGCGCAGCATCGCTCAAGCCCAGCTCGAGCCTGTTTGGGGCTTGTGTGCATCCGTTGGAGGAGGTGGCCAAGGTTGGCTCGACACAACTGCTCCTGCGCCTGATTGCGTTTGGTTGCCACTCGGCGAGGGCCGGTGCTGCTCCTTTGGCCCAAGCTGCGCTCGAGCCGATTCGGGCAGACGATCGAATTGGTCGGCGCGAGGTCGGTCGCTTTCTCAACAAAGTTGGCTTGCAGAGTCTAGTGGCGTGGTGCGCTCGATGGGGCCAAACAGAAACCGTGCGCGCGTTGCTCAGAGTGGTGCCATTTGACCAGGCCGTGCGGCCTTCCACGTTTCGCAGCCGAACTGTTTTGCAGACGGCCGTCGTCAAGTCCAACCTGGCGTTGGTGCAAGTGCTTGCCAGTCATTCCGAGCTGTTTGCGCACTTGCTCAAGATTCGGGATTGCGAGCAAAAGCAACCACTCAGCCCACTGCTCGCTGCAGTAGACACCTCGAATTTCGACATTGTCAAGTGTTTGGTGGATCATGGCGCCGACTGCCATGAGCTGTGCTCGTCAACCACTCCGTTTCTCGCTGCCTGCAAAAAGGGTCTGCAACCAATGGTGGAGCTGTTTATCAAACAAAGCGGCTACCCAACGATTGATGCCCTCGACCCATTCTCGCCTCGCGACCTGCCTCACACTCTTGCCATCCAGTTCAAGCATCAGGGCCTCATTGCGCTGACGCTGAAACACGCCGCGCGGCTGCACCAACTGGAGGCCTTTGACGCTCTGCGCAAGACTGCCTTGCACTACGCAGTCACGACGAGAGACTTGAACCTTGTCAACCAGCTTTTGGACATGGGTGTGTCGCCCAACGTTTGCGCGGGACCCGAGTTTGACGCACCAATCTTCTTGGCGATCGCGCAGCTTGGCCAACCCTCCATTCCGGCCAAAGACCTCAAGACTTGCGAACAAATTGCTCAAGCGCTTATCGACCACCCAAAGTTTGATGGGGCAGCCCGCTGCAAGAGCACTGTTGAAACGGTCGGTCTTGTTTCGTTCATTTTGATGCACCTGGAAGCTTTCCACCGACGCAGCATCCGTGATCGGCTGCTCGCGCGAGTGCTTTGCCATCCTGACACCAACCTTGCACGCGCAAATGCAACCGGCAGAACGGCGTTCCGAGACATTGTTCTCGACGCCTGGAAGTCGGCAGGACCAGGAACTCTGAACACCGCGGACCAAGAAGAAGAAGAAGAAGAAGGCGTCGCCACTGCCGTTGCCGCAGTTTCGCATGCGCTCACCCTTCCTGGAGGGATTGCGGCGTGCAGCATTCCACACATGGTGAACGAGGACCTGCCAATTCACGCCGTGGGATACTACGATTCCTTCACCGACGCGACTGCACTTGCGCTGGTTCGCCTGCTCGCACCACACACCCGGCTACTCCACCGGACAAGCTCCGGAATCAACTTGCTTCACATTTGCGCGAGACAAGGCTTTCCAAAGACGTTGGAATTCATCTGCAGAGCAGCACCCGCGGCCGAGCTGGCCGCTGTGATTGACAACTACGGCGGTCGCGGTTTGTTGTGCACGCCGCTTTTGTTTGCCATTGGCATCTCGAGCATTGATTGTGTGAGAGTGCTGCTCCGCTTTGGCGCAAATCCTTCCATTCCAAACTCCATCCTCGATTGCGCTGTTCGGCGGGGCAACGCCGAATTGGTGCAGTTTGCCATTGATTGGAATGAGCAGCAAGGATGGATCTTTCCGCTTGAGTCCGCGCTCGCTCTGGCGTGTGGGCACGAACAAAATATGATCCAGCCCGAGGTGACGGTGGCGCGGTTGATTGCATCAAGCGTTCGGGCTTTTGCCCAAACAGCAGACGATGCAGGTGCCGCGACCACCGCCTTAGAGCTAGCGCTGCTGATTCAAAAGGCTTGCAACACTGCCGTCACTGCTCGAGAAACCAACGACAGTCTCGAGCCAGACGAGGCGGAATTGATCAACCGGAACGACTCGCCCAGACCGTTCTCACGTGTCTTGGAAACCCTGCAAGCCTGTCTGCCACAGGAGTGGCTCGATCCAGAGTTTGCCAACCTGCGGCTTTCCAGCGAGGTGTTTGGTGCTCTGCTACAACACTTGCGTGAGACGTTCCTGCCCGCCACTCCCGAAGGAGGCTCCGTCAACGCAGAGCACATTGCTGTTGCTGCTTGCTCGGACAAGCAGCTGGACGTGTTGCTCTTCTTTGGCATTTCGAATGGAGCCGACTGCATTGAAGTGACGCCGGCGCAGGGTCTCGCGTTGAATTTGCGAAATTCCGCTGAACTGATGGGTACCATTCACATGGCGGTGTGCGGAAGGCCCCGCGAGACGCCCGACATGCTTGAGCGCGTGCGCGCTATGGTAAATCGGCTGTTGCTGCACGGGGCAAGCCTCCATCAGGTCTGCTCAGGATCGAGCGCCAACGTGCTGCATTTCGCCGTGCGTCACGAAAGCGCCGCGGTCCTCAAATTTGTGCTCTCTCTTTTGGAGCATGATCCCATCGGGCGTGGCCGCCTGCTTGAAGGGCGAGATCACTTGGACGACACGCCGTTCCTGGTAGCGGCGGCCTACGATTCGACGCAATGCTTGGAAACGCTGGCTGAGCTTGGCGTCGATGTGCACGCGATTTCGAGCATCCGCAAGATGAATGCCGTTTGCACCAGCATCGGCGCTAGCTCTGACGCGTCCGTCTGGGAATGGCTCTTGAATCGAGGAGTCGCAGTCGACACGGTGGTTGAAGGCGTTTGCGTCTGCTCTTCGCTGCACACCCTGCTCGATCGGAATCACTTTGATTCGGAGGTCTCGCGGTTGCTCGAACACCATCCTTACCTGAATGCGCGAAACCGCACGGGCCAGACGCCGCTCATGGCCACCATGACTCGTTCGTATCGCGCCATTTCGTTTCTGCGGCACGTTCGCGCACACTATCGAACCGCGGGATTGTGCTACATTCGCTCCTTGTTTGAAGACGACGAGAGCGATACTCCTGCGGTGTCTACCGTCCGTGAAGGGGTCGTTGTGCCTCTCAGGCGCGCGGACTGTTTGGATGTCAACTGTGTCGATGGCGGTGGATGGACGTTCCTCCACCATTTCGTGATGTCGGACGACGGCGAGGATGTTGCCAAGGTGTTGGAGTATGCAAACTTCGATGTGAACGCCACGACGCAAGATCCACACTGCTCGACTCCCTTGCACCTGGCTGCCCAGCGCGAGGACACTTGGTGGGAACGGACACTGTCCAAGTGGGTGGCACTCGGATTCGATCTTCACGCCCGCGATGCGCATGGCAAGACTCCCGCCATGTACGCGTGCAAATCCATCCAGTCGATTGTTCGCTTTCATCAAGCAGGGGCACGGTTGTATGATGTGGACCAAAATGGCGACACGCTTCTGCATTTCATGTATGCGCAAAAGGCATCTTGCAAGGACATCCAAGACGCCATCACTGGCACGTATCTGCCCATTGGCTTGAATCCACACACGCGCAACAAGGCCGGATTCAATGCTGTTGGATCCTGTGTCCAGTTCATGTTCGATGTCCACGACAATAATGCAGCGCAGATGGAGAAAGCGCACGTGCATTTGAAGTGGTTGCTCAGCGCCATCGGATGTAAACCCGAGTGATGTTTGTGTCGTGTGTTCAAAGAAATTGTCACCAAATACCACTGTTGTCTATTTGTTTAAGAAATTTTCACATCCTCATGCAAGAGCGCAAAACCAATTGTGATTGCCTCTGAAGCGCTGTTCTTCTGCCGCTTTTCTTCAAACAGCCTTGTTCTGTGCCATATGCTGATGTGTGAAAGTTCACTGGCATTCACAATGTTCACCGAACTCGGTACAGCATAACAAATCTCAACAAGTGTGTTGCTCTGAGTGGTTGCGTGATGTTTCGTGCATGGACCTACACAATTCTTTGAGTTCCCCTTTTCTCCTGTCTCTTGTGCGAGCACCACCAGCCTCATTTCTTGGCATTGACTTCCACGACCTCTGTCCTTCATTCTGGCGTTGGGGTGGATGTTCCACAGTGCTGCTCTTTCTGACTTTTGTTCACTACTTTAAAAGGCGACTTTTTTCCGTTTGGATTTTGCTCAGTCCAACTTTTTCAAAGTCCAACCAAAACCAAACATGGCTGAAACCACCTCGCAAAAGCATCAGGTAAGAGCAACGCAGTGTTCGATTGCATCATCATCATCATCATCGTCATTGTTATTATCATCATCATTCAATATGAGTGTCAGGATCAGCTTTGCTCAGTGTTTGGGGAGAAGGGGGAGTTGTGTGCACCGACGCCATACAGCAAACGGTTTCAAACTGTTTGGCTGTGTTTTCGTTCACTTTTTCGCTCTCGTTTGGCTTCTTCTTCGCAGTACTGCCTGTGCGTGCTGATGCAACCAAATCTCAGTGCTTGCAGTGCATTTGAACGCGAGAACGCCTTGGTCGAGGAGGAGGAGAGCCAGGGAGACGGAAGGAAGGACAATGGAAAAAAAAAAAAAAAAAAAAAAAGGACGAAACAACGACGTTTGTGCGCAGTGGTGCAGTGGTGCAGTGGTGCAGTGACGGTGAGTGGGATGGGTGGTGGAAACACGAAGAACAAAGAGAAGAGGGAAGGAGGAGGAGAGCAAACGCAGTGCCACTTGCTGGGTTGGCTTTGCTGGAGAAGCGCGTTCAATGCAGAAGCAACAAACCCGAAAAACGAAGAGAAAACAGTAACCTAACGCGCTTTAAAATGAAAATGAAATCGATACCAGAACTTCATCAAGGAACAGATGAGGGACAAGCCCGTCAACCAAGTCGCCGGCATTGGCGAGAAGATTTCGGGCGAGCTGAACGACCAGGGCTTCAAGTACGCCTACCAGCTGCTCGGCCAGTTCCTCATTCTCAACAAGAACGAGGGTGATTTCCTCGATTGGTTCAAGGAGGTTGCTCCTAGGTACGTGGACGTGTTTCTGAGCAATTGAGCAAAACTGTCGCTGTTGTCGGTTAGGTCTGCAACTCACTTGGTAGTTTGTTATTTTGATCTGAACTTTGATCTGGACTTGTAGCGCAAACTCCAAGCACCGTCAAGACGCATACGAGTGCCTGTCCAAGTGGTGCGAGCTCATGCTTTAAAAAGCCACCGTCTGAATGAAATGGGGTGTTTGCACATCTGCGTGACGAAGCGTATCAAAATATATAATGTTTAACAAGTCTCCATCAAGGCTATTGGATTTGTTGCACATCCAAGATTACTGCTGGAACAAAAAAAGTCGCGAATCTCGACAAACTTTGACTTCTGCATCTTCCGTAGCTGTCCCATATGCTTTACCTGGAATCCTATGGCATACTGCCGACTGAAGCAGACCTGCAGCAATGTCAACTTCAAGGAGTTTGATTTGCTTCCTTCAGCTTTTCTTCATCTCCATCCATTCATTCACGTCCTTCTTTTGAAGTTTGCTTTGGTCTGTGATATTATTGCATATTCATTCCTGTTTTTTTTTTTTTTTCTTTTTGCTCGCTCTTGTCGGATCCACAATGCCTGCACGGGTGGCGAATGGCACTGAGCATCGCTCCGCTTCGCCATCGCGCAAAGCCAATGGCGTCCACTCCCCAGCCACCACTGCGACCACTGCCACCACTGCTGCGTCTCCCTCGCGATCGCGTTCTCGCTCGCCAGCACGCTCCAAGACTGCCTCGACTGTGACTGCGACGACAGCGACGAGTGTGACCACAGTGGCTGCTGCTGCTAGCTCCGACGCCACACTGTAAGCCATCCCCATCTCAACGCAACTCACACACACACACACACACACACTCTTAGACATTCTGATGCGACTGGCAAGTCCCTTTCCAACTCCATGCCTTTGCAAGCGAAATGGCGGCTTGGATTCACATCGCTGGGAACGCGCGCAGATTTTTCCCCCTCAACTCCGCACTCCATCACTCCGCGACTCCAACTTGCATATGCGCCACTGGAAACGCGTGAGATGTTGCCTGCATGATTGAACGCTCACTTTTTGTGTCCACCTCGGTTGGTGTTTGATCACAGCGTCAAATCGCACAAGAAGGAAAAGTACGAAGCGAACAATGATGACGCGCTTGAACGGTCGCGTTTTCTCAGATTTTGTGGTATTCATCCTGATTTGCGAATCGCTGTTGTTTTGCTCAACGGTGCATGCAACGCAGGTACGTGGCTCGAAAGTCTCGCTTGGATTCGACGCTCGATCCGCCAATTGGCGACGACCAGTTCCGCGGATTCCACAATCTGTTCGGCCTCGGATTGGCCTTCTTTGTCGTCACAAAGGCAGCCGACAACTTGATGAAGGAAGGCAGTCCGATCGAGCACGACGTGTTGGACACCATCTCGCGAAATCTCAAGGAAATGTTTGGCGCCGTCCTGAGTGTGGCTGGCCTTGCCATGCTTCCCGTCGTCTTTCAAAAGGTGCAGTTGCATTGTCTCGATGGGCTGGCGCTTTGAGTAGTTCTGCTGTTCGTTTGGCTTGTGCTCGTTGAATTGTGCGTTTGCTCACTTTGTTTCTTTGTTCTGCTGCTTGCCTCTCCTCCCTCCTCCTCTGCTCAGATGATTGTCGCCCGACTCATCCCGCAAGTGCTGCAGATCATCTTGCACACTGCGCTGATCCTGTCAATGCTGATTGTTGCACCACTTCTCTGCATCCGTTTCGAGCTCGGATTTACCCAATCGGTCTACGTGATTGTTGAAACGTGTGTGCTCGTGATGAAAGCCCATTCGTACCTGGCCTCCAATCGCCAGTTTCATGCTGAGGCTGCTCGTAAGAGTCCGCGCCATGTTGTCGCGCGATTTTGCAAAATTTCACTTTTGCTGGCACAACCGTCCCTCACCTTTGCTCCAACTGTTTGACGCATCCCCCCCCACACACACACAGACACACACACACACACACACACACACACACACACACACACACACCTCTTCTGAGTTCAGACCCCGATTCGTCCACCAACGCCGCCGATGTCAGCCGCAAGTCTGTCGTCTACCCGCAAAACGTCACTCTGAAAAACTACCTGATGTACCTGCTCTACCCGACGCTCGTCTACGAGCTCGAGTACCCTCGCACCTCACGCGTCCGGCACGGCTACGTGTTGCTCAAGTTTGTGCAGTTCTGGTGCTCGTTCTTCTTCCTCTACTTTGTCGTGTCGCACTACTACATGCCCGTGCTCGAGGAGCATGCCACGGACGCCTACAAGAACCTGACTCCGCTGGCGCAGTTTGTGTACAATCTGCACACCGTGTCGCGGCTCATCATGCCCATGCTGTTTTGCCACGGTCTGTTCTTTTACATTATTTTCGAGTGCGTGCTCAACTTTTTCGCCGAAGTCACCCGCTTTGCCGACCGCGAGTTCTACGAGGACTGGTGGAATGCCACCTCGTTCGAAGAGTACGCACGCAAGTGGAACAAGCCCGTGCACGACTTTCTGCTGCGCTACCTCTACCTTGGCTCTATTCGCTCGTTGCGCATGTCCCGCCGCTCTGCCACGTTTGCCACTTTTCTGATTTCGTCCATCATCCACGAGATGGTATGTTTGACTCGAAGGGTTGTTGTGGTTGGTGATGGTCCTGGCATGGTTGCTGACACGTTTCCATTTTCTTGTTGGTCTGCAGGTGTTGGCAGTGTCGCTCCGCGTCTTCAGCCCGTACCTCTTCATCCTCCAGATGTCGCAGCTGCTGTGGATTTACCTGTTCCGCCAATGGAAGGGCCTGGTCTACGGCAACCTTTTCGTGTGGTTTGGTCTTATTATTGGCCCTCCCATGTTGGTATGTCAACCGCTTGTTCGTTTGTGGGTTTGGCTGTTTGCTTTGACGGTACTCACCATGATGTACGATGACCATTCTTTGCAGTCGCTGGCCTACGCTCGAGAGTACTACAACACCCAATAAATCATCACGCAATGGTCGAATCCTGCAGAACTGATTCTCCCTATTCCGTTGCCTTGAAAACGCTACAGCGAATCCAATAAAGACCAAAACTACCATTTCCCACTCCAATACCAGTTCAAGAAAAAATGGAACAAAAAAAAAACAAGGACAGAAAATATTTGTCAGTCAAGTCTGTCAAAAACGCCCGCAGGAGCTTCATTTCAATAGAGCATATACAGTTATCTGCAGGCACGCGCGATATGTGGTTGGGAGGGGGGAAACAAAACGCACTCGACAAACTGTATACAATGGGGCACACTTTGGTTTAAGCTGAAAGCTGCTTAAGAACGCGGCTTCTCCTTCTTGCCAGAGAAGAGCGAGAGAAGGGCGACGTTGGCAACCTTGACAATCTTGAAGCGGACACCGGGAATATCACCGACGGCGTGGCCAGAGCGACCGAAACCGGCAACGAGGACCTCGTCGTTCTCCTCAATAAAGTTGAGGCAACCGTCGTTGGGGACGAAAGCGGTGACCTTCTTGGCGTTCTTGATGAGCTGGACACGGACGCACTTGCGGATGGCAGAGTTAGGCTGCTTGGACTCAACGCCGACCTTCTCGAGCACGATGCCCTTGGCGTGGGACGAGCCACCGAAGGGGGAGTGCTTGAAAATCGTGCCGAGCATCTTCTTCTTGAGGAACTTGTCAGCCCACAGCGACTCACGGCGGTCGTTCAACAGCTTGCGACCTGTGCGGAGGCCCCTAGGCTTGCCTGTGGATTGAGACGAGAGAGAGAGGGGGGGAGTGTGTGTGAGCAATCGAGCAGGGGATGGAAAGGTTATGCAAGGTTATGCAAGGTGTTGGGCAATGAAGCGACTCTCGAGCATTGCCGTCGTATGCCCCAAAACCGAAACAACCAAACAGCTGTATGGGTCGTGCTGCTTCAGGAAGCGTGCGGAACAAAGAGGCCGATGCAAACCATCAAAGCGGATGGAACAGGGAGAAAAAAATGGAAAAGCCAATCCAAACCGCTGCCGTCCGTTCGCCCCTCGATAAGCAACCCATCCGACGCCCTGCCGACCTGCCACCGGTGCCAATCCGATAGAGCACGTCATGCTGTGATGGATTGCGAAGGGGATGGGTGGATTGCGATGCAGTAGCGGGTCGGATGGAGCGACCAGAGCCGGTGCACCAGCGAACATTGTTCGCTCGTTCGCTTGTTCGTCGTCCCTTCTGTTCCCCGCAAGCGGCCCCACAAAGCCCCCGCCCCCATTGTTGATGTCTGGCCTGTGATTGCTGATGCCGAGGTCGAGCCGAGTCCGCGAGAGGCCGTTGCAGTCGAAATCGGAAAAGACGAAAAGGTTTTTGAAAAGCAAATGCGTACCCATTGTTGCAGTAAAAAAAGAGAGAGCGAACACTGCATTTGGCCAAAGTCGAGTTTGACTTGGTTGGAGTTCAGGGTGCGATTTTCCGTGTTGCCAAATCAATCGGAGAGTTAAGGAGATTTTGCGGAAGAAATATTGTACGGTAGTGCTCTCGCGCGACACACTGTGATTGAGTGATCTGTCAATCAAGCTGCTTTCGGCTCTCTTAAGGCGTTGAAAACGAATGAGTTCTCTCTCTCTCGCTGGCAATTCCACCGGAATAGAAAGGAGAATAGCACACATTCTGCGATTATGTACTATAGCACACATTCTGCGATTATGTACTGCACACCATTGCGGAGAAGACAAAAATGGAGCAACCACGGCAATGCCTCCATTGAATCCGAGCATTGGGGGGGGGGATACCTGCATCGTCCCACATTGAAATCTTACTGCAATACGCTGTTGCTGGCATGCCCTCGATGATGAGGAGCCGACTAGCGGCAATTCGAAGTTCGCTTTGACTTTGGTGTTGCTTTGCTGCGATTTTTCAAAGTTGTCAACACACCAACAACCTCGATTGCTTCAATTGCAACAACTACACATGGGAAATGCAAGTGTGTACCATTCGCTCATTCTTCATTTCTCTCAAAGCAAAAATGTCTGAAGGAGTCCAATTCAACAACATTTCGCTCTTGAGCAAGGGCAAGCTGGTAGGTCGCCTTGCTCTCGCTCTTCCTTCTCTTCTCTATTGGAACAAGAGTGCTGCATCTGTTTGTGGTTGCGAGACTGGTCGCGCTTGCTTGTCGTTGGGCGACGACGGCAAACGGCGTTTTGATGGACGTTCAGATTTTGGCGGGAACTGCTGCCTTTCCCGCCAAAATTTTGATGAGGCATCCATGTGCTGTTCGCGCTTGCCCTCGCCCGCTACAGTCCCGTGCATCCGCTCTGAATGACGAAATGCCGCTCTTAGACGCCTGTGCTAGGGTTTCGAGCCGTTGTTGGTCGCCGCTCGTCTGCCATCGAGCCCAGAGAAAGCGCCAACGCTTGAGATCTTGCGCTTTTTTTTTTTTTTTTGTTTGTTTGTTTCTTTTTTTTTTTTTTTTTTTTTTTTCGTTCGTTGCACTTGCGCTCTGTCGTTGGATCGACGTCCGACCTTGTCTCACGTTGACATGTTGCTCATTGCCCCTTGCCTGTGCAGTTCAAGGGCATGGTCAAGATGCAAGAGGCCGGCGTTGCGTTCAAGAACCAAGCGACTGGCGCAGTCACACTCGCTGCAAGCTCCGACTTGCGCGGCTTTGCGTGGCACCGCGCGGCAACGGGCTACGAGCTGGCCATCCAGCTGCCCTCCAGCAAGCTCCGATTGCTCGGGTTTAAGGAGGCGCACTTGACAGACATTGAGCAGTACGTTTCGTCGACGTTCCACCAGACTGTGCAGGTAAATATGCAGCCAATGCGTGTTCACACTTTTGCTTCCATTGATGCCTGCTACGAACGAAGGAGTTGCAAAAGGCCAAATGCATCATCTCTAAACATCAAATCTCATCTCTGCGCACAGACCTCGGATATCGCCACGAAAGGCTGGACGTGGGGCGAGCCGCGATTCACTGGCAACGGACTGGCCTTCTACGTCGATGGCAAGGTCGCGTTCGAATTGCCGCTGTCTGACGTGTCGCAGACGCACATGAAGAAGAACGACATTACCCTCGAGTTCAAGCAGGACGATCCCAACGATGACGACCAACAGTTGGTCAACATGCGCTTTGTGGTCCATCCGAGCGCCGTGCTCGAGTCGGAAGATCCCGTCGAGAAGGCGCGCCGCGAGGAGGAGCGCAAGAAGCGTGAGCGCATCGAGCGAGACAAGCGAAACGCTGCTCGCGCCCGGCGAAACGACCTGCGTCGACGACGACGCGAAGCCGAGCAAAGCACCATCATGCAGGTCGACGGCGAGGAGCCTGCACCGACCCAAGTCAGTTCCGACGAGGAGGACTCTGCGTCGGAACCCGAGGAGGCAGAGGAAGGCGTTGAGGGCGACGAGCACGAGCTGCCAGTCACGCGCCTCTTCCAGCGCATTCTCGGCAAGGTCGATGTCGCGCACACTGCGGGCGACGTTATTGTGTCCCTGCTCGATGTCAACTGCCAGACGCCTCGCGGCCGCTACCAGATGGACTTTTACCCCACCATGCTCACGTTGCACGGCCAGACCCACGACTTCAAGATTCCGTTCGCGTCCATTTCAAAGACGTTCGTGCTGCCCCATCCCGACCAGTTCCGAGTCTTTGTTGTCTTGGCGCTTGATCCGCCCGTGCGACAGGGCCAAACCCCGTATCCCTTCATTGTCTTCCTGCTCCAGACGGAAGGCCGGGAAATTTCGGTCGAGCTCAACATGACCGAGGCCGAGATTGCCGAGAAGAACCTCCAGGTCTCCAAGCTGATCAACAAGAACGTGCGCGAAGGCGATGCGCCCAAGCCCAACCACTTTGCCATCACCAAGGAAATGTCTGGCGGCGAGGTGATGATTCTGGCGCGTCTGCTGTCCGCCATGTCCGTCCGACTGCCAATTCAGCCCGCCGCGGCCTCCTCCAAGGACAAGGCATACTCTGAGCAGCACGGCTACAAGGCCTCGTACAGGGCGTCGGATGGCTACCTCTTCCCGCTCGAGAACGCCTTCATCTTTGTGCACAAGCCATTGACGTATATTCACTACTCGGACATTAAGACGGTCACGTTCGAGCGCGGTAGCTCGATTCTGAAGACGTTCGCCTTCACCATCGTCACCCACTCGGGCACTGGATTTACCTTCAATAGCATTCCCAAGGAAGAGCAGCGAAATCTCGAGCAGTTCTGCAACGCCAAGGCGCGCTCCAAGGGCTTTTCCGTCGTCGCAGACAAGCCACCGGCTCGCGGTGCTGCCGCCGCCGCTGGCGATGACAGCGATGACGAAGACGGCGCCATCCACAGCGACGATGAAGAGAACGACTCGTACAAGCGCCGCATGAAGAAGGAGGGCCATGCTCGCGAGATTGCCGGCGATGACTATGATTCGGAAGAAGGAGGGGGGCGGTTATTTGGTGGGTGGAACAATGGAAACGAGGTGTACTCGGTGCTCATCTTTGCCTTCTGATCTTTCGTGTAACAGAGGATGAAGATTTCCAGGCAAACTCTGATGTTGAAGAAGTCGGCGAAGAGTGAGTTTTTTTCGTTTTTCGTTTTTGTTGTTTTTGGCGAGATGCATCTTTTGCTCTGTGCTAACTCTGTGCTTGCCTACAGGTTTGACGAGAACTACACTTCGAGCTCCGACGACAGTGGAAGCGACAGCTCGGACAGCGGCTCTGGGAGCGAGGATGAAAATGGCGAGCCCAAAGTCAAGAAGGCAAAGAAGCACAAGAAGGAGCACAAGCCAAAGCCTGTGCGCAAGGCCCCCAAAAAGAGCTCATCACCGACAAAGAAGGCCGCCAAGGACAAGAACGCGCCAAAGAAGCCCATGTCGTCGTACATGCTGTGGGCGAATGAGAATCGCGCCGCGTTTAAGGCGAAGAATCCTGACGCGAACGTAATGGAACTCGGCAGCATCCTTGGCAACGCATGGAAGGAGCTCGGCGAGTCGGAAAAGAATGTAAGCAGAAGAGGAGACGATTGGGATTGTTGTGAGTCCGTTGAATTGGCGCTGACTCGTGTCCTGGAATGTTGTGTCCTTTCTTAGAGCTGGGCCGAAAAAGCAACCGAAGCACGCAAGGCCTACGAAATTACTCTGGCAGAGTACGAGCAAAAGAAGAAGGAGCGCGCTGCAGCTGGCGAGCCCATGGACGTGGATGAAGAGCCCGCAAAACCCAAGAAGAAGGCGGCTGCCTCCACCTCATCGTCGTCGTCCAAGAAGTTCAAGAGCGAGGAGTTTATTGAAGATTCCGACTAGTGTGTGCTGAGTGAGAGGAAAGTTGTGTTCAAAATATTATGGATCATTTCGTTTTGTTCGTGTTTTTTTTTTTTTTTTCATTCACCAGGCTGAGTGCATCGAACTGGTGGCTTTTGCTGCTGAAAACGACGTGTGCAAAAAATAGCTAGCTTTATACCGACGTGTGCGACAATGGCTAATGGTTGCTTGCTTTATATATCAAACCGAGAAAAAGTTACATGATGCAATGCTTCGATTCGACGATGCCACCAACAGCTTGTTGACGCGATTTCGAGGTCTTGGATTTGCTAGCTTGGATTCGTCGCGAGAAAGCCGCGAGCACGGCTTCGGAGGCAGCATCTTGCACCTGCGGAAGACGACAGAGTCGAGTCAGCGAAAAATGATTGCAGCAAAATGAAGAACTGGCCACAAAACGTACCTCAGTGGTTGCGCTCGTAGGAGCATCGGCAGCGACTCGGGGGCGAACCAGATATTCTCGCGTGGATGGTTGGGGCAGGCGTGCGTGTTGGCGGCCAGCCTCAGGACTGCAAAAGCAGCAGCAGGGGACGGTGAGAAAATGCAGGCAGGCAGGCGCTTTCTCAAACGCAAGGGCAGATGACTTACGCTGCTGCGAGTACATTTTCTGCTTGCTCGCGATGACGCCGAGCCAGATCGCTGACGTTTGCGAAAGGGAGGGATGCAAGAATGAGACAAGGAGCGCGAAATTATTCTGTTTCCCCAATCAATCCTGACAATCAAAGCATACCTTTCGGAAAGAACCACAGACTGCTTTTCTTGATCGGCATGAGCGGCTTCCAAGTTGAAGAGAGAACGAGACCATTTGTCTGAAATTGGAAAGGCAAAGCATTGAGCAGTCGACCCAAACGAATGAGATGCTCAGATCCAAAAGGCCAAACACACCACAAGCCCAACATACCGATGAGAGTTTTGGCAATGCGCTTGTTTTGTTGCGTCTCGTCTTTGTGGACTTTCAGAATAAACACAATTTTGCCGAGCTCGCTAGATTGCAAAGCATCTTGAAGATCCTCGTCCATGTCTGCCAGGTTCATCTGGTGAAAGCGATACGAAAAGCAAGGGTGGTGAGCAGCGGCAGAAAATCGCACGAGAACAAAACACAAGTTGCAGCAGCAAAGTACCAGATCCAGCAGAGTGAGCAATTTGGTGCGAATCGATTCTGTCGGTAGCGAGCCGTCGGGCAGCGGGCGAAGCCACTCGGCAATGGCAGCCAAAATGCCGCACTCCATGAACATTTCGTGCAGTTGAACTCTGAACAAGAGAGACAGAGGGAAACACAAAAAAAAAAAAGTGAGCATTCAGGTTACACGTCTCACTGCAATCTCGTTGATCCCCATTTGTTGAAAGCGCGTGTGGCACACGACAATCTCCCACACAATCCAACCCAACCAAAACTCACTTTCGAAGCTCGGAATCCACATCCGCGAGCATCTTGAGCTTGGAGAGGCCAGGCATGCGCTTTTCACGAGCAGCCTTGTCGTCGCGGGCAGCGCGTTGCATCTTGTCGACAAAGGCTCGAACACCTGCTTTGATTTCTTGGAGTCGCTCGTCCGAAAACTTGTCAAACTTTTCGGGCTTGACGCGCTTGGCCTTCATGCGCTCCATAATTTCGTCGAAAGCGCCCCGGGATTTGGGTGCGCTCTCGAAGGACGCCTCGGAGCGCGTCTTGGAGGGCTTGTCTGCACGAGCCTTCTTGCGCGCGCCGTCCTGGCTGCTTTGGTCTGTGACGGCGTCGTCGGGATCGGACTCGTCCTCTGCGTCTTGGCGGGGGACACTGCTCGCCGCAGGACCATCTGAAGCTACAGAGTCTGCAAAGGATCGCTTTTGCTTGTTCCTGCGCGGTCCAAGGTTGTCTGCGTCCTTGCCAGCCTCGCGATGGAGAGCAGCAGCTTCCGCAGCAACTTCATCGTCCTCGTCCCCGCTGACGACCGCCTTGGCAGCCTTTCCGCGCTTCTTCTCCTTGCCAGTGGCCTTGTTGCTCTTGCTCTTGTCCTTCTTGCTGCTCTTGTCCGAGTCCCTGTCCTTCTTCTTGTTGCTCTTCTTTGAGCTGCTGCTGGCTCGTCGATTGTCGCCGTCCTCGTCCTCGTCCTCATCCTCGTCCTGGTCCGGATTGTCCAGCGCAAGTTCAAACCCAGCGAACGACGTCGATGCTGCCTGCTGACGATCGCCCGACGCTGCTCCTCCAGCCGCGCCCGAGAAGCTCGCCAGCGCGTCTGCAGCGTCGTCGTCGCCAAAGATGTCGTCGAGGTTGTCCTCCTCGCCGCCCATCGCCGCGCCAGACTCGGTCGGGTTGAACAAGAAGCCCTGGTGATGCTCGTTTCCAGCGCCAGTCAGAGTGGAGGCGGTCGTCGTCGACATTGGCTGCTGAGCTTGTTGCTCTCGTCCTGCAGTTGCTGCTGCTGCTGCTGCGCCGTTGTGGATGCCGTAGCCGTGAGCACCGCTGCTGTTGTTGTTGTCGTCGTCGTCCTCGTTGTCGACAGTTGGGTCGAGCACAGACACGGACACGCCACTGCCAGCCGCGTGCTGGTGCAGCAGGCCAAAGTCGTCGTCTTCCATCATTGCAACGGAAAAAGCAATGGAAAAAGCAGAGGGAAAAAAAAAAAAAAAAAAAAAAAAAAAAAAAAAAAAAGATTGGAAAAATTCAGTCAATCCAATAACAACAATAAAGACGCTGAGACGCTGAGACGCTGAGAAAAGTCGACGTGGTTGCTGAGCAATTGATGAACCGCGCGCGAAACACAGAGTGTGGAATGGAGAATGCTATCGATTTGCAACAAGGCGCATGCTTGCTGTTCTCAATTCTCAGATCAAATCTGGCTGAGCGTCCGAGTTGTACTTGCACAGATGATCGGATTGTATTTAGAAGCACTGAAATGCTCAAACTCTCTGTTCTCATCACTATCGGTCGAAATCTAATCCTTGTCCGGGCTTTAAAGTGAGCTGCGCCATGGCATTTGACAGGGTCTGCATGCCCTCTACTGCTGGACGGGTGGGTGTCGAAACTGGCGTGCTCAACCTGCAACAAATTCAATCACAGCATCGCAAAACACAACAAGTGAGCTCGACCTGCCACGACATGGCCCGCACCATCAACACTGCGCCATCATACCGAGATCGCTGGTTGGCTCGATTCTGAATTTCTGCCTCTGTTCGATGATACCACTTGGAGACAAGCGGGAATTTGGTCGAGTTCGGGATGTGATCACCCATTGCTTCAAAGAAATCACGATCGTCCTTGCGGAAGGCAGGGCTGACACACCAACACATCCAAAGTCAGTGCACTCCCACTCGAAAACAACACAAACACCCGTCAAACATACCCATTGATGAACAAATGATTCGGACGCTCCGCAAGATACTTTTCAAACAACTCGTGTGCTTCTGGATCTTCGGCATTGCAAGATGTGCGCAGAAAGGCCCAGTGCTCTTGCCACGGCGTGTGAAACTCGGTCGACAGGCGCCGACCAATCACCTCAAACCCCTTTTCGGCGTTTTGCAAGCGCTGTGTGTCTGTTTGGCGCCGTGGATGAGAAGAAAACGGCGATAAACTCGGGGATGTAAACTGGGATGCCGCGAGAGACGCTGACTTGGTTGGCGTGGAAAATGGGGAGGCAATGTGCGACCCAGGCGCGGAAGTTTCGGCTGCTGCTGGACTGCCGAGTCTGCCGCCATTGCCTTGGAGCAACCCGTGGTGTTGACGCAGCATTGGCGTGTGCTGCTTCTTGGGTGACTCAATGTTGCTATGCGTTCGACCTGCAAGCGGACTCCACTTTTCGCGAAACTCTTGGGCTTGCCGCTCTGTCATTGGCCCTGCAGTCGCGCAAAGCTTGTGTGTACCATGGCCAGTTGGTAAGGCAGCGGCATTGGAGCGCGGGGAATGCAAATCTCGATCCATTAACGGTGACCATTCCGGCAGACGACCTTGTGTGGACTCGGTTCTTCGCAATACGCCGGAAGGAGACGAAGCACTCAACCATGCCTCGTGCCCGCCTGCAGATGCCTGAAAAGCCAACGATTTGGTGTGTGCCAGTTCCTCCGGAGGTAGAATACGCTCTAATGAGACTGCAGCTGCATTTCGGGTGTCGGGTCGCACCGGCGAGCTGAACGGCAATCCAACGACCGGCGCAGAAGCATCGTCGGTGCGATACAATGGAATGTAATATTGACCTTAGGAAGCGGGGGGAGGGGAAAGAACGCGAAGATTGGTGAGACAGAATTCAGAAGGGAACTGACCGAGGCCACAGCGCACGTACCAACAAACAAGTCCTTGATGTTCCTCGCTTGAGCAGAATTGTCACGAGTGCAAATAATTTCCTCGGCCGTCTTGCCGTCTTCGTTCCTGCAAACACCACAGAAGCGTTGCGCAGCTGAGTTTTTCCCCCGCAAAACATCCAGCTTTCCTAAACATCCAGTCACCCTTACGCTGCGCTGCGATCTGTCAAATCATCCAGGCTCAGGAGATACGCCACAACACTCTTCGACCCCCACTTGCAGGCACGATGAAGCGGCGTTTCCATCAGTCGATCGCGTGCGTTAACGTGGTCCAGCAAGGCCTCGTGCTTGTCATGGCCGCTGGGGAAGAGAACAGTCCAAAAGTCGTCGCTCTTCAGCCGCCCGACGATAAACTGGCAAATGTCCCGCCGATTATGCTGCGCGGCCACGTGTAGAGCTGTCGAGCGATCCTGCACAGCGAGAAGCATGGGGCGGTTGCTCGAGTCCACCAGAAACTTTGGGTTGTCGTTGATTTGCTTTTGCACAGATTCCAAGTTTCCCTGCTCAATCTCTCGAGCGAATCGGCCAAGTGTGGAAGCTTCAGGTGTGCGGTATTGTGAGACGTTTTCTGCAGCGACTGCCGCGGTCGTTGCAGACAAGGCGGAACCTGTGGGGCGCGCAGTTCCTGTTCCTGCCTGGCCGGCACTCACGATGGCCTCCTGAACATATCTTGCGGCTGCATCGAAATCGCGAAACTTGTCGAATTGCAGACTCTTGAGCAGCTCTTGCGGCATGCCAGGTCCCTTCTTGGGAATCGCCGAGTAGACGCCCGAACGCACGAGGTTGATGACCGGTGGAGCAGACTCGCCTGGCACCGTGTCCCTCACCACGACTGCGTAGTACGTCTGGCAGCCCGGAATGGGTTCGGTAATGCGACCTGGTGCAGCATCCTGGACGCTCGGCTCTTGGACTGGGACTGGGTCGCCTGGGGCTTGTTGGACTTGGACAGGGTTTGCAGTCGGGGAGGAAGAGACGACAATCGCTGCAGCTGAGCCTGAGGTCGCCTGGAGCCGGTCGCGGACCTTGCGTTCGGCAAACATGCGTGTCTGTTTGGTGATTGGGGATGCGGACAGTCCGAGGTCGCTCATGAGCTTGAACAGCTGGCGGTTGTCGAGCGCAGCCAAATCGATGACTGCAGCTGGAGGTGGCCCAGCTGCTGGACTCCCGCTTGTGCTGGTAGCATTGTTGTTTGCTTCATTTGTATCGTCGGGATGACCGGGAGCTGTAGTCGCTGCTGGCGGCGGTGAGCTCGCTTCCATTCCCACTTGCGCTTGGCTCAGGATTCTGAAACGGTTTCAAACTGCGAGCCAAAATCCGAACCGTTGTGAAAAAGACTGACTTTTCTGAGCGTGCTTGGACGTGTGTATTCGACAAAACGAGAATATACTACGAATGCAATGAATAGTCGATGAGTTGACATTCACAAGCTGAAAATCAGCACACGGCAGCGTCTGGATGGCTTGATCAGGCTCATTGTCGGCAAGGCCCTCGACGAGCCCCAATTTAGTGAAATGTACGCCAAGCGCATGCATGCGTCTTCTGATGGGAGTATCAGGAACCCCAAGCAGTGCCGCTGTCTTCGTTCTCTCCAACATCCGCAGCATTGTGGAACAATTGCAATTGCTCATGCGTTCAGGAAAGGCCTCATCGAATTACCGTACATGTGCGATTCGCCCCCTTCAATACAGGCAATGTTGTTCCATTTCATTCCTTTTTGTCTCTGCGTTACTTTCCTTCGTCTCTGTCTTTCATTGTCGAAATGGACCAAAAAATCTCAGACTTCAATCTCAGTCATTTTTTTTTTTCTTTGGTAAATTGACGCTTTTTTTTTTTTCGATTAAAGTCGCTTTTTTTTTTTTTTTTTTTCGTTTTGTTCGCTCTTTTTCTTCCACTCTTTCCCAGCCGCCGCTCACTTCGACACAACCAGCCATTATCACAAAGTCCTTCTCTCCCTCTCTTTCTTTCTCCATCTCTCTTCATTTTCTGTCTCTGTGTCTGACCTTGTCGCTTCCGCTGTTGTTTCCACATTGAGATCGCTCTTTTTTTTTATTTTTTTTTTTTTCATTTTCCCCTTCCCTTCACTCTCTCTCTCTCTCACTCACTCTGCATTTCTTCGTGTTCATTCGTCCTGTCGCTCACTTGTTCACCTTTCTTTGTTGACAACCTTTGTCTTGCAGTCGGCCCAATGCTGTCCTCGTCGTCTCCGCTGCTGCGTCGGCTGGCTCTCAACCAGGTGAGCCTTCCTCTCGCTCTCTCTCTCTCTCTTCCCACTCACTCAACGACTTGTCGCTCACACACTTCCCTCTCTCCCTCTCTCTCTCACTGCTCGAATATGCTGCTCCACCCTTGTGGCAGATCCCGCGCATGATGGCAGTCCGCGCCGCCTCTACCTCGGCTCCAGCCATGGGCGCTGCCGCTGCTGCCGCGCAACCTGCTCAACCTGCCAAGGCACCGCGCTTGAAGACCTTTGCCATCTACCGCTGGGTATGCTTGATTGGTTGATGGATGGACTGTGAATGTTGAATCATGGACACGGGGGTCGGTGTACCGTCGCCCCTTCAACGCTTTCACTTCACACGATTCGCTCATTCGTTGTGCCCCCCTTGCAGGACCCCGAAAACCCCACCGTCAAGCCCCGTCTCCAGAACTACCAGGTCGACCTCAACACATGCGGCCCGATGGTCCTTGATGCGCTGATCAAGATCAAGAACGACATTGACCCCACCCTGACCTTCCGTCGCTCCTGCCGCGAGGGTAGGTTCACTTCGATCGCTGACTTCCCCATTTGCTCCAAATATTCTAACGCCTTGATTTCCTCTCGCACCCTCCTTGCAGGCATCTGCGGCTCGTGCTCCATGAACATTGGCGGCTCCAACACGCTCGCCTGCATCTCGCACATCGACCCCGACCTCTCCAAGCCCGTCAAGATCTACCCACTTCCGCACATGTACGTCGTCAAGGACCTTGTTCCCGACATGAGCAACTTTTACCAGCAATACCGCCGCATCGAGCCCTACCTCCAGCGCAAGACTCCCGCCCCCGACGCTGCCAAGGAGAACCTGCAGTCCCGCGCCGACCGCAAGAAGCTCGACGGCCTGTACGAGTGCATTCTCTGCGCATGCTGCTCGACGTCGTGCCCCAGCTACTGGTGGAACAGCGACCAGTACCTCGGCCCTGCCGTCTTGATGCAAGCCTACCGATGGATTATTGACAGCCGTGTAAGTCGAATCGACCGTTATTTGTTGTATTTTTGGGGAGGGGGTTTCGGGGAACCTTTTGCTTTTTGGTTGCTCAATCTCAGTTGTTTTTTTTTTTTTTTTTTTTTTTTTTTTTTTTGAAATGTCATTTCTTGCGTTTTTGTTGCAGGACGAGTTCAAGGCTGAGCGTCTTGCCAAGTTGCAAGATCCCTTCTCGCTTTACCGATGCCACACCATCATGAACTGCACCAAGACCTGCCCAAAGGTGCGTGCGTCATCGGTTGTACTGTGCTGTCGCATTCGTGTTGACTCATCCATGTTTTCCCATTCCTTTTGAAACAGGGTCTCAACCCCGCCCGCGCGATCGCCATGATCAAGAAGGAGCTTGCCAATGCTTGAACACCCCTATTACTCGTCAATACACTACATTTTTGTTGTTTTACCGATGCAATGCACAGGTTTACGAGTTTACCTTCTCCGAAAATAGGGAACATTGTATTAAGCACGTTGGAAACATCATGAAAAAACGGCATAACTTAGCCCAGCGGTGATGATGATATCAATGATTTGGGTGATAATGTAGAGACCAAAGAGCTTGATGATGAGCTGCAAGCCTCGACTGAGCTCGAGGATGCGCATGCCCAGCCCGATGGAAATGAACGAGCAGGTCGAAAACCACTCGGCCACCACAAAGCAAAATTCCCGAGTCTCGGTGCGCATGTCCGATGGAACGGCCAGGTTGAAGATGATGGTGATGAGCACGAATCCAAGGACAAACTTGGGCAATCGTTTCCAAAGCAGCTTGCCCCATTGGTGGTTTACGGGTGCTGCTGCTGCTGCTGCTGCTGCTGCTGGTGCTGCTGCTGGTGAGGCAACTGCTGCTGCTGCTTCAGCTGGCTGGGGCGGCACTGCTGTGCCAGTACCGGCAGCAGCCGCCTCGACATCGCCGTTGCTGACTGGCTTGATCGGTTGCATGGGAATCTCCGTCGCAGACTCGGTCGGTGCAGCGTGCAGCACACTCCGCTGTTCAGCAATGCGCTCGATCTGTGCGCCATACTTGAGCCAAAAGACGGCAACCAACACACTGAGCGGAGCAATCAGCACGTTCTGAATCATCTTGACCACAGCGCTGGCGTTGACTGCGTCCGTGCCGTAAATGGTCGCGGTCGCAATCACTGCGCCTGTGCTGTCCACGCATCCGCCAAACCAAGCGCCAGAAGCGTCAGCAGAGAGGCCAAGGGCGTTGGCCAGGAACGGTAGACCAATGATGCTGGGCACTGTCAGCAACGAGCTAATGGCAATTGGAATGTCTGCGACCGATTTCCGGACATTCAGCGCAACCGTCAGAGCAATGGCAGCCGAGCTGCCGCAGATCAAGGCCGTGCCTGCCATGATGATGGCCGAGTGGATGTTGATGCCGAGCACGTAAAAGCCAAAGAAGGACATCAGGATGAAGAAAATGGGCGTGTCAATCCAGGCGACAACGATCGCGCGCGGAGCCAGCGGACCCAGCACGCTGAAATCAATGCATAGCAACACGAGCGATGTGGCAATGTACAGCTCGGTTTGCATGGAGATGGCGACCCATTTTGGCGTTTTGGCCTTCTCGCGCCAGACGAAATTGGAAAAGAACATGCCCAGGAAAATCGCCCAGATCGAGTCGCCGAGACTGGCCGACTTGATGTCGCGCTGCTTGGCAATCATCTTGGCCAGTAGCGACAGGAGCCAGACCATGCCAAAGCCGAACGGAAAGTATTCCCAGCCCTTTGCGTTCTGGCACGCGAGCGCAATCCACAAAAGCACGAGCATAAACCCAAACAGCACCGGCAGGCCCTCCATGGTCGAGCTCTGGATGGAGTAGAACAAGTCCGTGTCGTATGCTTGAAACGCTGGCACGGGATAGTCGCCGCTGACAAACGCGGTGCAGATGGCAAACCCGACAAATCCGACCCAGCACGGCCAAAAGTCATCCGCGTTCCACCATGCGACATCGCGCTCGAGCACCTGGGGCCTCTTGAACAGGGTGAAGCATCGCATCCACGCGCGATCGCACGCATCTTGAGCACGGGCCACACTCGCTGCAAACCGCTCGAATGCCGATTTCTGGGCGTACTGGTGATGGACGGTCCCGTCGTCGTTGGCGGTCGTGGCGGTCGTGGCGGTCGTGGCGGTTGGCGCGGGGAGCTTGTCCTCCTGCTCCTGACTCTGACTCTGCTTGTCGGATGTCGATGGCAGCCCTGTCGCTTGTCGATCGTCGTGATTCACATTGTCGTGGTGATTGTCGTGATTGTCGTCATTGTGATTGTGGCTGCCGCGATTCGGCACCCGCGACATGTCCACAACACGACTGTCCCGGTCCAGCACCCCGTCTCGCGGAGGTGGGTCAGAGTGCCTGTGTCCGTTCGCTGTGCTTGTCTGCGCAATCGCAGCGTGTGGGTGCGCCGAGTTGGCCGCCGAGTCCGGGCCGATGCTTGACATTGCTTCGGTGTATGACGCTCGGCTCGACCCAGCCTTTGCCTCTTCATCTTCCTCTTCCTCGTCCTCTGCGTCTGCCTCAGCTGTGACAACGCTATGGTGCTGCTTCGAATCTGGAGAGTGATTCGCATCGGTGGTGGTGGTGGTGGTGGTCGGGTTGGCGAGCAGTGGGACGGTGCTCGCTGGGATGCTTAATGCTGTCACGCTCGACGCCTCGCCTGGCAGGACATGTGTCATCTCGCTGCCGCCGCTCGGCGCGAGAAGAAGATCGCCTTGCATTGAGATGGAAATAGAATGATAAATGATGAATGAAATGGAGTGAAAACAAAAAAAGCAAACAAGAATGGAGGGATTGTTTGTTCAAATGGAAAATAAAAGAGTTCTTATTGGGAAAACCCGTTAACAAAGTGGGTACTTTGAACACGGCAATCGCATGGTGGACAGCAGCTGAAACCCTCGAGCTTGATCACAATAGGTACAAAATATTGTGGGTTGAGTTTTAAAACCTGCTGGATCGAGGGTTGGTGGGGAGATGCGGGTTTGCGAGGTGTTTGAGCAATGATGCGGCAAACCGGTGAGTATGTGCCGTCATCGCGTGCTTTGGTCGCTGTATTGCACATTATCTCATAAAGTAGGATATTGCGAGTATTGTAGTAGTGTCCAATTGTCGTGGATTTGAGTTTTTGTGATTTGTGTTAAATCCGCGAGCAAAACGCGGTTTTTTGGTTGCTGGTTTTTAATTTTGTCGTTAGGGCTCTTTTTTGACGCGCGATTGCTAAGAACGCTCGCCCAGGCGCATTAGATGATACAAACATTAAAAACAAACACTTACATGTCAGGACCCGCAGGCCTAACAAGGTCTTACATTACAGGACCTCAGACAACAAAAAATCTCCTTGGACTCGGTCTGCTCAGGGGCAACAGGCGCGATGGCAAGCTCCAGCAACTCGACTGAGCCAGTAGACGTCGTTTGAGGCGTTTGAGGGGTCATTTTCCATGTTAGTTCGGTCTCTATCTGTCATTTTCAGACCATGATTGACTTCAGACAAGGGATGGGTGGGGGCAAAACCATCTCTAGTCCGCAGAGTTGCTCAGAACTGCATGAAACCAATCTTCGTTCAAACAAGCCTCTCTCGTTCCACCTTTACCCATTACATTTACTTGTGAGTCCTAGCTTTATTGCTCATTCCAACTTTTTTTTTTTTGTTCCCGATCCTTTTCGGTCTGACGCGACGAGACGATCGCAAGGCAGAGCGCCAAAATGGCAGGACGGTCGCCGCTGCTGGTCGCAACCCATGTCGCTGATCCTGACGACGACGACGACGACGACGACCCGCTGGTTGGATTCAGCAGCGATGAAGAGCCAGAGCCAGTCCCACCGCCGCCGCTGCCGATGCCGAATACACCACTGCAGCCAACGGTGAAAGCAGAGGCGGTCAATGCAGACCAACCGGGCGTCGAGCCAGTCCCGTCCTCTGCAGCCTCTGCATCTGCATCGACGTCAACGCCATCATCGGCAGCTGCTGCGCCCATGCCCGATTCGGCGGCGACGACGACGACGGGCGAATGGGAGAACATGATTGGCGGGGTCTCAGTCCGATTCCCATTCCCGCCATATCCGACGCAACTGACCATGATGCAAAAGGTACCCACAAACAACAAAAACAAACAAAACTCAAGCAAAGACACGACCGATCGAATGGTCATCCTACAATGAATCACCTCCAAAATAAAAAAGGAGAGCTGATCGGTAACGTCGTCGCTGACATGTTTCGCATTGTGCTTGGTTGGTTTGCGCAGGTCATACAGGCGCTTGAATCAAAACAGAACGCTCTGCTCGAATCGCCAACTGGAACTGGCAAGGTTGGTCTTGCGTTATTACGGCGATGCCTTTGACAATCGTGTTTCAGGTGTTTTGACTCATCATTTTGTGTTCTTGTGTGCAGTCACTTACATTGCTATGCTCAGCCCTGGCATGGCGCCGGTCGTACTTGAACAAGGTCAATATGCAACACAGTGAAGAGCTGCGAGTACTTGCCGAGGCGGAACTGGCGGCACAGCAACAGGCCGAGCAGTTGCTTGCAGCTGCTCAAGCTGCCTCAACCGATCATTTCCCTTCGACAACAACCACCGATGCGACATCCTCTCACCCCGAACCGTCTTTGCATGTCGAAACCAACAACACCATTGACGCGGTCGAACCGATGGACGTGTCTGAATCGACGAGCGACTCTCAAGCCACCCTCGTCCAAGAAGACCTGAGCACGGAGCTCTCGCCCGCACACACACCAGACCCACCAGAGCTATTCAGCACGCCACGAAGCGACCAATCCAACCTACTCTCCACGCCCGCCATGAGTGTGGATGTCACCTCCCAATCCCAAGAACAGGACTACTATGCCCTGTACTCTAGTCCTGCAGTCACAACTTCTTCGATGGATGGCTACAGTGGCCGACTGGGATACACTCCTCAATGCTTTACCCCTCAGAAGCGTCGCCAAGTGTCCAACCCCGAATCCCCGGAACCATCACAACCATCTGAACTCGCCAGTTTCGTGCTCGTGCCTCCACCAAAGCGCGCGCGCATCGACGACGACGACGACGATGACCAGTCCGACAACAGTTCGCCTCGCCTATCAAGTGAAGCCCAAGCAAGCAACGCTCCCACCATAGCTCCTGCAGACCCTTCTTTCAGCATCCCGCTGAAAACGGAGGCAGACAGGAAGCCAAACCCAGATTTACCTAGACGAACGGCGCCAGATGACCTTCCTATTATTTACTTTACGACCCGAACGCACAAACAAATCGCCCAGATTGTGCGCGAGCTGCGCCGGATTTCCTACTTGACAGACTCTGACTCGCCAGACTTGATGACCATATTGGCGAGTCGCAGCAAAACTTGTGTCCACCCTCTTGTGAATTCGGGCAAACCAGACGAGATTCGAGATCGCTGGTACGCAGTGCTGGGGTTTTTACGATGCCAGGAGTGTCGTCATGAGGCATTGGAGTCGCTTTAAAACGACGACACACACACACACACACACACACACAACAAGGGGGAGGAGGAATGGTGACTAACTTTTCCATTCCGCGTTTGTTGTTTTCTGTTTCGTCGTTTCAACTAAACTCAGCAACGAGGCCGTTCAGGCAAGGCGGTGCTCGCATCGAGAGAAGACCACCACCATGGTTGACTCGTTCAGACGAAAATCCGAGTATATCGTGTGGGAGATAGAAGATCTGATATCCTTTTCCGATGTAAAGTATCCTTTGCTTTGTTTTTTGCGAGATGGCTTCTGCAACAGCCAGACGAATATCTTCGGTGCACTGGCTCACATTTGTTATGTTCATCTTGTTGATCTGTCCACAGAAAAGCGGTGGTTGTCCATATTTCGCGACGCGCGAGATGGCTGGGTTTGCGAATATCGTGCTCTGTCCGTACAATTACGTGCTCGACCCAGGCAAGTAAAATCATTCCAAAGACTCAAAACACAGACATTGCCAACCCAAATGCCCTGACCTTGCTGACTGCAACCTTGTCCGATCACAGTAATCCGCAAAAACATGGAGATTGATCTGAGCAACAACATTGTGATTGTGGACGAGGCACACAATATCGAAGACGTGTGCCGTGACTCGCTGAGCATGTGCGTGAGCAAGAGCCGTCTCGATTACCTCGTCAGCTCCATGGTAGTGCGTTCCGTCGAAGTGGCCGACAACATGTGGCGAGTCTCGCAAAGCCAGTCCCCCGAGCCACACGCACCGATGGCCGTACCGCTTCTACAACAACGGCGAGCCCAGTTTCGAAACGAGGCGCAGCGGATTGCAACGTCTATTGCAGCCCTACAGCTGAATTTCCTGCCGCCGCGACTGGCATTGGAGAGTGCCCAGCAAGGTCTCTTGACAAACCTCGCAGCAGTCTGTGGTCTGATGATGATCATGTGCAGGCACTTGCGACGGGTTGAGCAGGAGGGTGCTGCCAGCTATGGCCAGAGACAAACCAGGTTTATCGGGAGCCAAATTCCAGCAGGATTGACTGAAGTTGGATTTCTTCCGTTCACGCTTGCTCTGTTTGAGGTACACTACAAGGCAATACTCGAGGAAGAGAAGCACCGTCGCTTTGAGGCCGAAAAGCGGAAAAAACATGCTTCCAGGGATGAGACTGCTGCTGCTCGTCCTCCTGAAGAGACCCTAATGACAAGTCTCATACCCGCCGTTGTGAGCACCTTCTTGGAGCGCTTCTTTGTGATTGTCCCCTACCTGGTCCAGCCAAACACGTGGGGCGACTTTGCACTGTTTGCTTCCAGGTCGGATGCACAGGACCGCTCGAGTCAACGCGGGACGATCGCTTATGAAGAAGAAGATGCTCCCATCACCACTGCGCTGGAAATATGGTGTCTCAATTCCGCGCTGTGCTTTTCCGATTTTCGAGAGGGTGTCAGAAGCGTCATCCTGACATCCGGCACCCTTTCCCCCATGAACTCGTTTGCCTCGGAGCTTGGCACTGCTTTTCCTGTGGTGCTTGAAGGAGCTCACGTCATTCCGCCAGACCACACGTTTGTGCGATGTCTTTCGCGCGGCCCTTCAACAAATGCGTTGCGGGCCACCTACAGCGTGCTGTCCGACTACACGTCGTCAACCATTTTTTTTGATGATGTCGGCTCCATCATTTCTCAAGTGGCGCACACTGTGCCCAGAGGTACCGGAACTCTTGTCTTTTTTGCATCGTACAGCATGATGGACAAGGCGGCAACGAGGTGGAGCCAGTCTGGATTTTTGAACGAGCTCCGATTGACGCACCAAGTTGTCTTTGAGCCACGCGAAGCCAAAATGCTCGAGGAGACGATGCGAATGTTCAATCTCGGGATTTACACATCGCCCCCACCCGCCCACCCCCAGCTTCCTCGAGGCTCGGTCATGTTTGCCGTGTGCCGAGGCAAGGTCTCTGAGGGCATCGATTTTGCCGACAACCAGGCGCGCGCTGTGCTTGCCGTCGGGATTCCCTTCCCCAACCTCGGGACCGACCAGATTGTGATTAAGCGGTCGTACAATGACCTTCATGCGAGTGAACGCGACCTCCTGACCGGATCTCAATGGTACGACATCCAGGCCTACCGAGCACTCAACCAGGCGCTCGGACGATGCATTCGACACCGAAATGACTGGGGTGCCATTCTGTTGCTCGATGAGCGTTTCAGGCATGCCAATGCGATCAACAGCCTATCCCGCTGGGTCCGCCAACGATTGCAGCACAACACAGAGCTGCCCGAGCTGCTGACGCATCTGCGAAGCTTTGTTGCGACTCGCGTGGCCATGTGTCAAGTCGCGTTGCTGCAGAAGCGAAAGACGGAAGCAGCGTCCTCGTCCTCTGCAGCGTCCTCGTCCTCTGCAGCTTCCTCATCCTCGGCATTTTGGTCTTCCTCCTCTGCGCCGCCTCCGCCAGTGAGTGTGGTGACCCAGACTTCGTCGGTGTCAAACCAGGACGCCGGGCACGCGACGAATGTAGTCCCGAAGAGCGAACCGCTGTCTCAAGCCGATGCCGGCCCGCCGTCGCCCGTCGAGGCGATTGTGCTCGTCCCAGACTCTCCCGACAACGAGGGCTCGGGTGTTGTGCTCGACGTTTTATCGTCCCCTCCATCCGCCGGTGAAGGCAACGCGGACCACGACGACATGGCGGTGGACGATTCGGATTGCGTGCTGCTCGCGGCATCCGCAGCGGCGCCTGCTGCCGGTGTAGTGCTCGAGGATGACGCGTTCGACGTTTCCCCAGGGGTGACAGAGCTGCTATCCCCATCGTCGATCGTTCTCGACAGTGACTCTTTCGAAGACGACGTTTCAATTTCTCGCGACAATATTTCCGTTGTCGAGTGAGACAAACGTTTCACCTTTTCTTTTTTTTTTTTTTTTGCCTTTTTGCTTTCTCGATTTCGTTCATAACGATCACAACCATCTTAGTAATAATACATTAGCCAATACATGTCATTCACGCTCAGACTCGAAATACGAAAAACAAGAAGCCGGATTCAGTCGACCATCGGTCCTCTCATCGTCGTCGGCGTTGTGCATCAGCCTCCTTTTGGCGGTTGTACTCTTCTTCAAAGTCGCGCTGGAACTGGGTGACGGACGACCGTACCCGCGTGGAGACATTGTCGAGTCCGCTGCCCAGCCGTTCGCCGGATTTCTTGAGGTCGTCCACGAGACTTGCGCCTGCAGTCCGACACCGGTCCAGCGACGTTCCATGCGAAGCCAAAAAATGAGTAAGAGTGCGAGTGCAAGTAAGATCAGCAGCCAAGCAGCAGCATCATGGGCAGAGTCAAAGTGATGACTGCCTTGGTTTGGCCAGCAACGTTACCGACCTCGCGATTGCAGAAGCTCGTCTGCTTTGTCGTGGGTTGCTTGCACGAATCGATGGAATGTCGGCGAGTTCTTGAGCTGTGTGTGTGTGGGGGGCAATTTGAAGTTGGTGAGTGAGTGAGTGAGTGAGTGACAGTGTAGAATTGCATTGGGACGATGCTTACATTCTCAGTAATGTGGCGTTGCGCCAACCGCTCGACGAATGCGAGGAAGGCCTGTTGGAACATTGTACAAGCGAACGAATGGAAAACACAAAGGAAAGGAAGACTGAGCAACTCAGGAAAGAAAGAAAGATCAGGAGAAAAAAAAGACTGAGAACTGAGAACTGAGAACTGAGAGCTGGTCTGAAAATGGAACCTCAGACGAACTTGAACAATGCTAAAACTCAGAGTCAAACTCAAACTCACAGCAAGCAGCAAGTTGCTCACTGCGTTGACGGATCAGAGTGACTTGAAGAATGCTGGCTCAAAGCGAATCCCTTTGGGATTTGAGGTGGAACTTTTGGTTTGTCAATCTTGCACTCGATATGAGAATTAAATCATCTTCTTTTCTAAGACAAGGCTCACTCACTCTTCCCAATGCAACGATGCCGCGCATTGTTCATGTTGGCGAGCAGGAGAAGCCGATGAGCCAGCCGCGCTCGCTCTTTGACGACGACGACGACGACCAGGACGACCAGGACGACAATCATAGCAATACTAACACCATGCATCATGACGATGATGATCGTAACACCAGTGGCACCAGTGGCAATGCGCCAGTCCGATCGAGCACAGACTTGCACGCATCCAAGCTCAGCGCCGCCCAGCACCATAGAGACGACGTGACGCGCCCGCCATCCGTCGGACCAACATCATCACAAAACGCACGAGGTCTGCATCCCAGTGACGACGAAGCGACAGCCAAGGAAGCCACGGACAAGGACGCTGCGATGGCTGATGACCGCGGCGAGCCAATACTCGTGGACGACGACGACGACGACGACGCCCAGCCGCCGTCGGCCAGATCGCAGGCACCCTTCAGAACAAGCTCAGCGGACATGCACTACAACGCGGAATCCAAGTCCGAAGCCAAGAGATCCCATGGCTTGCTCGAGTACGAGCGCGAAGCCTACGCCCAACTGCTCGCCGAGGACGGACTGTGCATCATGGCGCGCGGCTTGGGGATCGACCGCCTGCTGCAGGCATTCATCCAACAGTACTGCGATCCTCAGGTGCTGGTGCTGGTGCTGGGGTGCACGCCCGACGAGGAGCAGGCCATGATTGCCGAGCTCCGCGAGATTGCCCGACTCGACGGCGTTCCGGAAGACGCCGCGTTCTTGCCAAGGGTGCTGGACAACACTGTCAGCTCGGCGGCACGGTGCGACCTGTACATGCAAGGCGGCATTTTTTTCATCACCCCGCGAATCCTGATTGTCGACATGCTCAAAAAGCGCATTCCCATCCATCACATCACCGGCCTGCTCGTGCACCGGGCTCACAAGGTCGTGGACACGAGCACAGAGGCATTCATCATTCGCCTGTTCCGCCACAGCAACCGCGAGGGCTTCATCAAGGCCTTCTCCAGTGCGCCGGAGGCCTTTCTGCCCGGCTTTATGCGCATCGAAAAGGTCATGAAGGCCCTGTACATCCGCCGGCTGTACCTGTGGCCGCGGTTTCAGCAGCTCGTCATTGACACGCTCGAGTCGCACCACATTGAGCCCGTTGAGATTTATCCCGAAATGACAGACTCGATGACCGTCATACAGCGCGCCATTGTCGAAATCATGGATGCCTGCATTCGCGAAGTGAAGACAGACAACCCGACCATCGAAGTGGACAACCTGACGGTCGAGAATGGGCTTTTCGCCTCGTTCGACCACTTGATTCGGCAGCAGCTCGATCCCATTTGGCATCGCGTGAGCCCGAAAACCAGGCAGCTCGTCACAGACCTGTCGACCCTGCGCAAGCTGCTCTCCTACCTGTACGAGTACGACTGCGTCACCTTTTACGTGTTTCTGGAGGCCTTGCGGACGAGCTACAGGGCGTTTGGAGAGTACTCGCTTTGGGTGTTTATGGACGCGGCCAATCGCTTGTTTGAGGAGTCTCGCAAGCGCGTGTACTTGCACCGCGCTTCATCACTGGCTTCCAGTAGTACAGCCAGCGTTGCGGGAGGGGTGAAGCGCGCGCGCCTGGACACTCCGCAGAGCCACGCACTACCACCGCCGGTCGTTGGTGCTCGATCGGCATTTGCCTTGGCGTCTGTGGCGGCCCCGCTCGCTGCAGACGAACAACGCGAGCGTGCGCGTGCCCAGAGCGAGAGTCTTGATCGTGCTGTCGTGCAAAACCCCGACCAAGTGCCCATCGATCTTGTTCTGGAGGAAAATCCCAAGTGGCGCGAGCTGCTCCTGGTTCTCAAGGAAATTGACGATACCAACAACGTTACCAGCAAGGGGCGAGCCATTTCTTCTGGCTTCCTATCTCAAGATGACATTGAGTCGTCCCAAGGCAAGCGAGGCGGCTCCGTCACCGTGACACGTCCCGAAGAAACCGACTCCATTCCAATTCCAATTCCGATGGACGCAGACTCGGCTCGTCCCGATAACACTGTACTAGTCCTCGTTGCCGACGAACGGACTGCCTTGCAGCTCCAAGAGTACATTGCAGTTGGCGGACCTACCATGCTCGAGCGCATCTTTCAGCGTCAAATGTTGTGGAAGCGCGATTTGCTCAAGATGACGGGCCGAGGTGGCTTTTCCGCTCCAGGTGTCCAGAGCACCACCACGACGCCCGTGTTTGCGGCCAAGCGCTCGACCGCCAACACTGCCACGTCGAATGCCTTTATGCCGTCTCGCGCATCTATGGGTGCCGCAGGTGCCGTCGGCAGTGGCAACAATGCAGCTTCCCGGCGGCGCGCCAAGCTCTCGGAGCGCGTGGCTGCCAAGCGGGCCGCCGCATCCAGATCTACCGATGACAATCCAGCTGTTGATGATCCGTCGGAAGAGGACGCCGTTGAAGGACATCCGAGCGACGCACCCAGCCAATCTCGCAAACGCACCTACCCGAGCGATGCCTTCCAGAGTAACATTACCATTGACAGCATGATTCATGCGATTGACACGCACGCCAGCCAGAATGAAGCTTCTGCCAGCAAGGCGGACGCGCCTCCAAGCGAGCCATTCTTTGCGCCCGCCACTCCGTTTGTCATCCATGCCATCCGCGGCCTCGAGGGCAAGCGCAGTCTGTTCCAGGTCCTCAAAGCTGTCGACCCCATCTTTGTCGTGCTGTTCGACCCCGAGCCGTGGGTGGTTCGGCAGCTGGAGGTCTTCAAGTGCACCCGACCTGCGATTCCGCTGCGCATCTACATGCTCGTGTACAAAACGTCCGTCGAAGAGCAACGCTATCTCACCTCCATCCGCAAAGAAAAGGACGCATTCCTGGCACTCATTTACGAGAAGTCCATGATGGCCGTGCCTGTCGACCAAGACGGGCGTCGCGACTTTTCAGAGCAAACATCTGCCATGGATGCCGATCTGCAACAAGCCAACTTTGGTCGATCGCAGGGGCAGGCTTCGTCCACCCACCTCATGTTTCCCAGCAACCCGTCGCTTTCCATGGCTGCTGCCAATGCCAGTAGCGCCGCGAGCAGCAGGCGTCGGCTTGTGATTGTCGACATGCGCGAGTTTCGTTCGACGTTGCCTTCGATGCTTCACGCCCGAGGTTTCGACGTCGAGCCCGTCACGCTCGACATTGGCGACTATGTCATCAGTCAAACAATGTGTGTCGAGCGCAAGAGCATACCGGATTTGATTGGCTCCTTTCAGTCTGGTCGTCTGTGAGTGATCTTGGATTTGTTTTCGTGTTTGGTGAATTGCGGAGGCTTGTTGTGAAAGTCGGCCTTTGTTGCATCGCTGATTGTTTTTTTTTGTTCCGGCTTGACTTTCAGTTATGCGCAGGTGGAAAACATGACAAAGTACTACGAGCAACCAATCCTTCTCATCGAGTTTGATGAAAATAAGGCGTTTCAGCTGCAGGCCCGTGGCGACTTGACTGCCGAGGTTTCTCTCAAGAACATTTCATCGAAACTCGTGCTTTTGACGCTGCACTTTCCTGGTCTGCGCATCCTGTGGTCTCAGTCTCCCCACGCGACAGCTGAAATGTTTGATTCGCTCACGGAGGGCGTCGAGCGACCCGCCATTGAAGATGCTGTCGGCAAGGGTAGCGACGACCCTTCTGTGACGGATACCGATAGTCACGGCAGCAGCGTGGCGCAGGTACAGCCGTTATTTTCCTTTTGCCAGATGCGTTTTTTTTTTTTTTGGTGGTGACTGACTGGCATTTTCATTTCTCGTCTCGTTCGTGCAGGATTTGCTTCGGAAACTGGCTGGCGTCAACGCATCCAACGCACGTCCTTTGATGAGCGCATTCACCAATTTGGCCGACCTTTTGAACGCATCAACCGAAGAGTTGCAGAGCGCGGCTGGACCTGACTGTGGTCGGCAATTATTCGAGTTTGGAGGCAAAAACACAAAGACAGATTAGAGCGAGTGCGATTGTTGAGTCATATTCAACTTTGACATTCAGAATGCGAGATCGACTCAAGTTTGTTGTATTGCTTTTGTTGTTCAATGCACAAATACCCCCTTTCCACCCCATCCGCTGCTAAAATTACAATTCTACATGATCGCCATTGAACCTGTACAACATTTTTTTTTTGGGAACAAGCGGAAGCAAAAAACAGCACTTTACAACAACACAGTGGAATACCAGATTCACACACGGCCACAACAACAACAAGCAGATATCGCAACAAGAATTCATTGACAACTTCAATCTTCTTGTGGTGGGATTTCCGGTGCTGATGCGGTGCCCAACTCAACTGTGGTATCTGATGGTTCCGGTGTTGACGCGGTGGTTCCCATCTCCACGGTGGTTTCGGATGCAGGACGTGCTGGCGAAGGGCTATCATCCCCGAGGGTGGATGAACCCTTCCAAGGACTCATCATACCGACATAGGACATGGAGAGCGTGCCCCCTGACGCGTGCCGCGATGACACACGCGGCGGTCCAATCTCGACAGTTGCTTCTACGTCGGCAGCGTCGTCTTGATCCGCAGCAGCGCGGCTGTTTGAGGCTTTCGTCTCGCGGGTGGGTCGGAAGAACCAAAACACCGCCACGCAAACAATGACAAACATAATGTCAAAGATAAACTCAAAGACAATGTCGGACCCTTGGGGTAACGGGATGACGTTGGGTGGGGTGAGAGAATACTTGTTTTGGACCCAGGAAACCAGCGAATAGGCAACGGCAAATGTGCCGAGGCATTCCAGGAGGATGAGAAGCAGGTTCATGCGCTGGATTCGCTTCACAGCCAATCGTCGGCGCCGACTTGCCACGCCTTCCACGCGCCGCCCTTTGCCCTTGCTGCTGGTGTTGTCGCCAGATTTGTGGGCGGTGCTGGAGCTCTCGTGCTCTTTTGAGTGCGAGTCGGATTTGTGCTGGTGGTTTGAGCTGCTCGAGTTCTGAACATCGCCGTAGCGCTTTTGCGCCTCGACCAGAACGCGGTGGATGATGAATGCAAAGTAACTCGACAGGAGAATCCAAATCGCAATGATCAAGGTGCTGAACGCGTATCGCAGGCACTTGCCGACGTAGAATTCGATCGTGTAGGTGATGAGAGTCGAGAGCGGCTGCGTAATCCAAGAGTAGACGAGGGACGCGCGGAAGGTGATTTTCGCAATCCGACCAAAGTTGTGCGTGCGGGACAGCACCGCCTTGCAGACGAATGTTGCCCAAGAGTTGACCAGCGTCAGCCACATGGTGATGAGAAGGCACGTGGTAACGTCGTACAGGAGACTGGCAAACCACATTGGATACATGTCAGACCAGGCGTTGCCGTCGACGCATCGGATGATGCCGAGCAAGGCCATGACGGTGGCCATGTAGACGAGCGCATTGTCCACGCTCCAAGTGAACCCGCCGCTCTTGCGTGTAATGTAATACGAGCACACACATCCTATTATTACGAGCAGGCTGTTTGCCGAGAGAAATATCGCCTGGGCGGCAATGTACGACCCGCCCAGCTCGTCGGCAAACGTCTTGTCGCAGTGCTCTCCCGAGAACGGGAAGGAGCAGTTTTCGTTGGGTGCTGGATCTGCCCCCATCTTTGATCTTGCTGTTTTGACTTTTGTAGCGTAGTGTGGTAGTAGTAGATCTGTTCCGCAGTCGTCGTAGTTTTTTTTGCTGTTACCCTGTTTTTCCAGAGCACAAACAAAACTCAGATTGGTGAGTAATCTCTCATTTTTGTAAAGTCTTTTGTATTGCGATTCCAAGCTCTCCGCTCCGTGTGTCTTTCTCTCTTTTCACTGTTGCATCTCTCCATCTCAGATCTCAGATCTTTGACCAATGGATCTACACTGCAAGTCAAGCTGACCACACAAAAACAAAACAAAACAAAAAAAAAAAATTCAAAAAAAAAAAAACCGCAACCCACAAATCACGAACAAGAAGGGAAAAAAAGAGAATGAATGGAAAGACGAAGAAGGTGATGGCAAAGTTAAGGATGACGCTGATGATGATGATGATGATGATGAGAGAGAGAGAGAGAGAGAGAGAGAGAGAGAGAGAGAGAGCGCAGAGAGCAGAGTGAAGGTTGGACTGAGTGAGAGAGGAAGAGAGTCCAATGGACGAACTGCTGTGCCACAACAACAAAACGGGAATGAGACCACTTTTGCGTAGTCACGAACAAAGGGTGGACATCACCCACAGCGGACAGCGCAGCACGATGAGAGTGAGAAGAGAAGAGCAAGCGCGCGTGTGTGTGTGTTACAAGAGTGAGAGCGGATTGGGAATCGAAGGGAAAAGAGGAGGAGCGAGAGTTTGATGGGAAACGACGAATAGATTTGAAAAAAAAAAAAAATTTGGAGGAGGCAAACAATACAAAAAAGACCCGCTCTCAACAGCGACTCGACTCGACTCGACTGCGGGACTTGACAACCAAGCGCAACACAGCACAGCAAAACACTCAAAAGACCCGACTGCTGATCACGACCAGCGAGCGTTCGTGCGTTTTCCCCATTGACTCTGATGACCAACCAATAAAACAGAACCGAGCAATTTGCAGTGATGCATTCGTTTTTCCCCCTTCTTCTCGTTGGTCGTCGTCGTCGAGGTGACGAATGCCAGGAATCCAAAAACCGACCATGTGTGTGTGTGTTTGAGTCGTTGCTGTATTGTGATTGAGTCGTTGCTGTATTGTGATTGAGGAGAGTGGAAGGGGGAGAGAGAGAAAGAGTAGGGATGGAGATGGGTGGCATTTGTCATGGTTTACTACTGACACGTGCGGCAACCAACCAAGACGGAAAAAAGAAAAAAAAAAAAGATGAGAGAAGAATAAGAAAACGACTGACATCAAAATAAAAACAAAATAAAAATCAAGCATCATCGCCGGAGCACGAAAAATGGAAAGAAGTGAAATTAGAGACAACGAGAGAGAGAGAGAGAGAGAGAGAGAGAGAGAGAGAGAGAGAGAGAGAGAGAGATTGAGAGAGAGAGAGTTCATCTCAAAGAGCGAGAAGCAGAGCAAGCCGAACAGGAAGCTAAGGTCCAGGGTTGTGTACGAACAAAGTGGAACAGCGAATTGCACAGTGGAATGCAGGGATTGCATCAAAATAGCAGAAACACACAAAACAAAACAGAATCGAGCGAAAAAGAGATCGCGTGATACCAGTTCCGATAGTGGAGAACACACTGCATCGGCCGATTCAATGTTTACATCAACACGTTGCCTTGATAGCATTCCGCTGAACAGGTTGAATGGCGTGCATATTAAAAAAACAAACAATAACACATAGAAAAATAATCAAGCAACAACAAGTTTCCCCTTCCCCTCTTTCTACTCGAGCCCTGAAACACTAAAGTAAAAGTTAACGAGCTTCATAATCACTGGCTGCCAGACGAGCAGGTAGCGGAAGACGTCCAAAAAGTTGCCGTACAGCAAGTCTTGCTTCTCCCAAGGGTTGCGGAACATTTGCTTGAGATCGACCTTCTCCTTGCAGTAAGGGCATGTCTGCTTCTTGCCAACAATGCACCAGCCCCGAATACAGAACTCGTGGAAACTGGGTCATGGGCAGCCGACGGTGAGAGCAACGAACAACAACATTGCAACGCTGTTTCGCAAAATTCCCTCACCCTCTCCCTCAACCTCTCCCTCCCCCTTGCACAAGTTCGAAAAGAATAACCCCCGAGAACATACTGATGTTGGCACTCGAGCTTGACAACGCGGGTTTCGTCCGGCGATCCAACAGGAGGCAGACTTTCTGTGCAAATGCCGCACATGTTCGGGTCCAGCTTCTTTTTCGGCAAGCCGTCAATCTGAGTGAACTGTTGTTGCAAAGTTTGATGATTGCAGAAGAAGCAGAAGGTTGTTGAGTGAAAAGCAGAAAAACAACAAACAAACACATTTCTTCCCCTCTCCTTCCCCCCACAACATGCATCTCAAACCAAAACGCAGAACAAAGCGTACCCCAATTGTCGATGCCATGCGATCGGTGCACATTTCGGCAATGTCTCGCCCAAGAACGCCATAGTAAAGGGCATAGAACAAGATGAGCAGGCCAGTTTGGGCCACGGGGGCGCCAAACATCACCATTCGACCGCCAGAGGCGAAGTCCAGAAACAGGGTAATGTACCCAAAGGTGCCCACAAAGTAGGTGGTCTTGTAGAGCAGCACAAAGACTGCGTAGACCAGCCTTTCAGTTGCGACGTCATGGATTGGTGAGATTGAAGGCACGGTTCGATCGTCAGCCAACTGTAGCACGCAAACTTCTTTATGATCACATACCGAGGTGTTCGGCGATCCAGAGGATTGCGTGTTGCGAGGAAACCGACATAGCCCGTGAGCATGACAAAGGCAGACCAGGATACGAGGAATCGCCAAAACCCAGCGTGTGCAGCGATGAGCGGTGGCACGAGCAGCATGCCTAGCAAGGTCAGCCGTTGAAACGCGCGAGGCCGCCATCGCTTCCACATGAAGAGCAACACTTGGCCGCCGACCATCGAAATCAACAGAATCAGCGCCATTTGCGCGTGCATCGAGTCGTGCCCCATGTGTTTCTCCATAAATTCAGCGCGGTTTTTTCTGTCGAGATCAAACAAGCGCAACGTGAGAATTCACCATGAGCGCCAAAGACAAAGGTAGTTGAGCGGATCGAGTACACGAGCGATTGAATCGAATTTCAACCAAACAGTTCCCCCCCGACCATCGACTGCTCGTCCTTGACCAGTGGTCATTCCAGACACGCTCCACACCCCCCCCCAAGGCCATTTTTCCCCAGCTGCGAGACATGAGGCGGAAGAAGGGACGCGCTCAAAGCGAACACGAACGCCTTCGTTCACGACTGAGCCTCAGACCGATCGCCAGTCGTCCCAGCCAACTGCAGCCCGTGCTTCAACAGCATCCCGCACTGCACAATCTCAACGCTGCTCGTTGGGCGTGTGTGAGTGTGTGCTCGGATGACGCGCCGACACGTCGCAAAGCGAGGGATCTCGGCCTTTTCCACCCGCTCTCTTGCCGTTCACCCCAGTCCCCGTTCGCTTTGATGGCAGCCAGTCAGGTGCCCACATTCAATAATCCCCTGCACGAAAAACTCGCTGGGGGGGGGCAAATGGCAGAACTCGGAACGCTCGATCGGAGCCTAGGAGGGGGCTTACACGTCTGCGCGCTGCTCCTCAGTGAGCATGGACAAGTCCATGGTACCAACGGCCTATATGGATATATGGAGGGAGGAGGACGGTTTCAAGCAGTCAGCAAACGTAAACGAATGGTGAAACAACGGATCAGATTGAGCGGTTTACATGAGGATCTTTAATGTGGACGTGTCGTCCGTGGACTTCCATTCACGATTTGTTGCAAGTGAGAGAGAATGAAGAGTGGGTATGAACGGAAACAAAAAAAAAAGTCAATGATTGACGAGTAGAAGGCATGGCTCTCATTCTCACAGGGGAGAGACGTCCAGAAGCAAGACGAGTCACGGCCGGAATTCCGAGTTCAGATCCGAAACCCGGACTCGGAGCGCTGAAAAGCACCAAATCCAGGAACGTGACGACGGAAGTCATCGTGAGCAGCGTCAATGCCAGCTTGATCGTGCTCCGAGGGATTGGTTGGGGCTTTGAGGCACAGCACGCTGAACACAAGTTGCAAGGCAGAAATTTGGCCAACCAGCAAACGACTCGGCCATTGAAGACCCGCGCGAAGGCAGGCGGCCAGCGCAATCAAGCGAGCGGATTGGCCGAACAAGCCACGGATGGCCCAGATGAGGCTGCGAGTCGGTGGAGCCACAAGCACCGCACTAATCTTTACGGCAAGACTTGAGGCGTCCAAAGTCAAGGTGATGCCAAGTGAGGCGTGCACACAGTCATACTCCACAGAATACAACTGAGAGATAAGGCGAGTGATGATGAGAGCACAGAGTGAACCAAGGCGGGCAGTCTGCTTTCAAAACCATAAACACAAGTGAATGACGAGTCAAAGAAGCTTTGCGGCAAAGCCCACACCAAGATTATTACCTCTGTTGAAGCTTCCGATGGCAGCGAGGAAATGGTTGTCGTGAGATGACCAAGCAGGCGAGCGATTGAGGCCAGAATGACTGAATGAAACCTTAAAAACATTGACCAGCATCAAACGTGGTTGGGATTGCATCAGACACTCTCACGAACCAACGCACTGGCGCACTTTTCAACACTCCTTTCAATTCAAACCAACCGGCAACACGCTACTCACTTGGAAGGTACATCGTCGAGCAAATCGACCAGTTCACGACCCATCCCCTCCAAATCTTTCGTTGAAAGGTTTGCGAACGACGAGTCTTCTAAAGCTAAAGACTGGTTCCACATGATGTCGGTGCAATCCGTGACCGATTCGACAGGGTGACCTGGAGTCCATGCACCGAGAATTGCCGCAATTCGATCAACGTCACGCGCGCCGGCGGACGACTGTGACGAGCACAGGAGCCGCCTGAGGCTTGGCGAAATAACCCTGCCTGCTTCCACAGCCTGCATCAGACTCGTGTAGCGGACAAAGAGGCTGGAATCGAGGTCGCTCACAGCCAGCAGCAAGCGAGTTGTCTGGATGGGGTGAAAAGTCAGCCACAGCGCCAGCCACTGGCGTTCACGCTGGTCACTCCGAGCTTGCAGCCCAAACTTGACATACTGCGCAGCTGTACTGGCGTCCCATGCGGCGGCAGAGGCAAGGTGCTCGTCCATCCAACGCTCGCTGTTCAGCCAAACTTGCTCCGAGCGAGCGATCGAGTTGACCAGATCCAGCTTGTACACTGCGTTCACATCCATCCCAGCAATCCATTCTGGCAGGAGGAGTCGCTGGACGAGCAGCGTCAACGGCAGATACGACAGCACCATTGGCGCAGTGGATGCATTCAGAGCGCCTGAAGGCACCGCGCTATGGAGCTGCGCTTCTTGCAGATGGTATGGCACATAGTCCTGGTGACTGGCGAGGAAGCAGCGGGCGTCGTGGGTTGCGGCCGAAGCCAGCGCGAGCCGAGCTCGATTGGCTGGATCGACTTGGACGAAGTGGATTAGCGCGTTCCGAGCAGACGCGAGCACCGAGCAGGTATCATCTGCATTCGTCAAAGCGATTGGGGCATTCGGCAGTAAAGTAGCAGCAGCAGCGAAATCGCGAGTGAGTTCGTCAATGCGGCGTTGAACGAGTTGGTGATCGTCGGCCATTCAGCAACCAGCAAAAGAGAACTGCGTTTGATGAAAAGACTATGTATTGCAGGGCAAGATACACACACATAGAAGGAGACATACACAGATACAAGAATAAGATTCGTTTGGGTTGGGAGAGCGGGGCTGGGGAAATTGATTGTGCAGGGCAACAAAAGACGAAAAGGCGAGCAATGCAGGGTCAACCGAAGCGAGGAGAAAGCAACAGCGCTCGTCCAAATCCATCTTTAATACTCAATGATGGGCTCGCCAACGTTTTCTATCAGTGGGATTGTGCACTTGAGGTCGAATGCCTTGCTCAGCACAATCTTGAAGATCTTCTGCACGTTGATTGCGTGCGACGTTGAGCAGAAGATGAGTGGAGCTTTCATGGCCTTGGCGTATTTTCGGGCCTGCGCAAGCGAGAAGCAAAGGAGGTTGATGGAATGAGAAAAAAACAAAACAAAAACAAACAAACAAAAAAAAAAAAAAAAACCAAAAAACTGTCGCAATTTCATCCGAGCAAGGACGAGCGGCTGCTGTACCTGTCGAGTCACTTCCTCTTGCTCTTCAATAGGTGATTGGGCGAAAATGTCAAACTTTGTGCCGATTAGGAATGAGATGGCGTTCTGCGCAGAAGAGAGAAGGAGCAAAGCAGAGTTAGTCAACCTCCATCAACGCACGCAGGGCCTTCTCAACACACAACCCAAAGCAACAACAGCAGCAATACAACCCTAACTCTCCACCGCTCGTTACCTTGTTGAAACCGCGCGCCTGTCGGTACCACTCTTTCACGCTGTTCAAAGTGGACTTTCGCGACAGATCAAACATGAACAGAATGGCAACGGCGTCGTTGCACACAAGTGGGAGCATATTGATGAACTCGCGTTGGCCTGCGGTGGGTGACGGATGTGGTGGCACCACGAAATGAGCGAATTGGTCGAAACAATGCATCGCAGAGCAGCAGGACCAGTGAGTTTACCTCCCAAATCCCAGATGCTGAATGTGATTTCCGTGTTGCGAATGCAAATGGTCTTTTCCATAAAGTTGACACCTGGGATGATGCAGCAACAACAAGAAATGAGTGCAAATGTCACTCGCGCATGGATCTCGCTTCCCAGCTCAACATCCCCCCCCGACACAACCACGAATAGACCTCATCGCCAAGAACTTTCGGTCGAACATACCAAGCGTCTGAATGTAATCTTCGTCGAAGGTGCCCTCGACGTACTTGACCATCAAGCTCGTCTTGCCGATTTGACTGTCGCCGACCATGCCAACCTTGACAACGACGCTGCTCGCAAACAAAAAAAACAAAACAAAACAACAAAAGCAAAAAGCAAACGTAAAGTGCAAAAAAGTGAGTTTTCAAACGTTGAAAAATTGAAGTGTTTCAAAATCAAGAAAGAAGAAGAATTGAAAGCAAAAAAGAAGAAAGTTTTTTTTTTTTTTTTTTTTTTTTTTTTTTTCCAGCAGCGGTTTTTGATTGATGGTCTTTTTTTTTTTGATCGGTCATCGAAGCGCGAGACAAACTGCTGCAGCGCCTGCGAATGGAAGGACGAAAACGCCTTTGGCATTGCATCATGACGACCATCACCGTCACTGTGCGCGGGGGGGGGGGTGAAGTCAAGTCGCGCCCCACTCTCACGCTCACAGACTCGAACCAAAAGGGCGAAAAGAAACAAAACGATTGGAAAAGAATGTTTTTTTTTTTCTGGATTTTTGTATGGATTTTTCAGTGTGCTTTGGTTCAAGTTGGGACGACGCGGCGACCGATTCAATCGAAAGTGCAACGCATCTCAAACAAGCAGCTTCGTGAACAGGCCTTCAATCGCGGACGGACGGAAACGATCACAATGCCAACAAAATGGCCTTTTTTTTTTTTTTTTTTTTTTTTTTTTTTTGGTTTCTTCTTGCTGTGCGATCAGCAATGGAGACAAGACGACCGCGAAGATGATCTCGCGCCACATCACACACACACTCAAGAGTCCAACGCAGACCCCAAATCGGCCGTCTCGCTCAACCGCTGGAAACGCAGCGCACAAAAGCAATCGTTTGCCAATACATGAAAAAATTCGCGCCCAAATATTTTTTATTTTTCATTATTTTACGATGTTTTTTGTATGGGATTTGCATTGAGTTTTTTTTTTTCTTTTTCTTTTATGATTTTTTTTTTTTGTATGAGATTTGCATTGAGTTTTTTTTTTTTTTTTTACCTGTTCTTCTTCTGGCCTTCCTTGAGCTGGGACGAGAGCTCCTCGCCTTCGCCTTCGCCGCCTGCCGACGATGCTGCGTCTTCGCTGCTCATGTTGCTGTGAATGTGTGTGTTTGTGTGTTCAACTGGGGGACTGGAAAGCGAGAGAGATGGAGGACGAGAGAGAGAGAGAAAAGAGCAAAGAAAAAGGGAGTTTCGATGATGCGACTCGGAGATGCGAGCGACTGAGCTGCTTAGAAAAGGGGGTTGATCAAAATACAATAGGAAGATGAAAAAGTGAATAAAACACTCGGGGAAGAGTGGAGGGAAGAGGAACAAGAGTACGGTGCAATTGGAAAATCTCAATCTCGCTGGAACTCAACTCTGGATCGCGCGGACGACGCTTCAATCATCAACGATCTCTGAAACCAAAAACTCACATTCAACTGCTAGAACTCAACCTAATTCAATGCTATGCGGGGGGAACTCACTGGGCAAACGTCAGTCCTTTCTTCTATTGAAACCTCATTGCGACGAAATGGCTGCAGCAGCACCGTCCGCGATCGCCGTGGCGTCTGCGTTTCAATGCACGCCGATCGCTTTGACTGCTGCTGACGTGAATGCATTCGATGTCCAACCGGCGACTGGCCGCGGGTAAGCAGCAGCTCAGCTTCAACTCCCATCGCAATGGAGCTGGCTTGGCTCCCGCGCTCGCTTCGCTTGAGCTTGTCTCTCACTATTGCTCACTTGATCTTACATGTCTTCCACTTGTGTGTATGTGTGTGTGTGTGTGGTTTCCAGGGCTGATCTGCTGGCCGAGGCGTCGATGCGCGCCGTTCGAGCGCTCGCCTTCACTGCCGCCGGCCATCCTGGAGCAAGCCACGAGCGCGCCAATGGCAATGCTGCAGGGTCAGCAGAGAGTGAGAGCTCAGCTGTCATTCCGATGGACACGTCCAAAGACGCCGTTTCAGACGGATCGCTTCATGGTAATCACGCGAGATCTCTGCGATTCGCACTGAGGTATCTATGACAGGCTCCCCCCCTTGCTCACTCGAATGTATCTTGCATTGAAAATGGTGAAACGCAGAGCTGAGAGAGCTCTTTTACGATGCCATGGTGCTGTTCGTCGCCGGTCAAGTGCCATCGCATGCAACACTTGTTCACTTTGTTCGCAGCACTCCCGACGAGGTTTGGCAATGCGAAACAAGTGTGTCCAGTGTGGTGTTGAATCAACAGAGCATCTAACGTCGCTTCGTGATTTTGGGGCACGTCTATCACAGGTGACACAGTCGCCGGAACTCCAGTACCTGTTGGCCGAACTTGTCGCGTTGCTTGGTAAGGTTTGATTGCTCTACAACCGCCTTCGTCAAGGTCATCTTCAGCTCACCTATTCGTATTGTTGTTGGTGATCACCTTCCCCTCGACGATGCTTTTAGAACTGGAAATCTCGGGACTGCCTGCACAAGACCCTGCACGCGACCGCTTGTTCCAGCTCGTCCTGCTTCTGATCGTACGAGTACATTTTCATGTTGTGGGTTTGCTCGTGTGCGTACTCTTTCCTGACCAACTGTTTCTCCTGACCAACTGTTTCTCCTGACCAACTGTTTCTCTCTCGCAGCGCGAAAAGCTCGTCACGGAAGACGCCTTCAAGGAGCGATTGGAAGCGGCAACGCTTGCTGCAGTCTCCATCACCCGCGATGCGGCCACGTTCAAAACAACAGTAACACGCATGCGCACCAAACTCTTGTATGTGAACATGGGCTGGTTTGCAACGCCCTTCAGCGAGAAGAACAGCTGATATCGATTTTTTTGTGCTGCAGTTACAAGCAGCAAAAGTTCAACCTGTTCCGCGAAGAAAGCGAGGGCTACGCCAAGCTGATCAGCGAGCTGTCGCAAGAATCCCTTTCTGTAGCTGTTTGCCACACTGTTTCTCGTCACGTCCAGTCCTTAATTGGTAAGCCTGTTTTTTTGCCGTTCATTTCTGATCGCTGAGCCTCCACGCCCTCACTCTGCAACCCGCTGGTAGGCTTTTTCGATTTGGATCCAAACCGTGTCATGGACATTATTCTGAACTGCTTTGAGAACGAGCCCAGTCGCCACGCCTTTTTCGTGGCCTTGATTCGGTCCCTTTCGTTCCGAAACGAGTCGCTGTGCAGCATTCTCGGGTTTCGCTTCCACCACAAACAGGTGAGAGCCCTCGTTGTTGTTGTGTTTTGTGCGCTACCGATGCCGTTACTCATCGCATCATTGAAACAGAAACACCCCGAGCAGAATGCCGCCAATTTGTGCTTGGTGGCCGCGTGCCTTTTGCGAGGCAATTTGATTAGTCTCGCTGATCTATATCCGCATGTAAGGCCCCCCTCCGCTTTAAGACGTCCATAGGCCACCCTCTCTTCATTGTGCGACGGCGCTCACTTTGTTCACATCTTCTTTGCAGTTGTCACCCGACGACGCCGAGCTCCAACCCTTGTTCAAGAACAAACTCGCCCAGGCTCTGGTCACTGCAAAACAGTTTACCATGGTGAATCTTGGAGGTGTAAGTGTGCAAGGACATTGGGCGTGGGCGTGCGACCCCATCCACACCTCTCACTTTACTTGTCTCGGTTTTGGATTTCAGGGTCCGCCGACTGCTGCAGCAGCTGCTCCGACAGGAGCTAGTGCCGCCCCTGCAGTTCCCGCGTTGGCAGCAACACCGTCAGCCGCACCCAGTGCTTCTCGGGCAGGATCGCTGCTTCCAACCCCAGGCATTCTTGGCACCGCGCCCGGCACTGTCGCACCGTCCTCCGCGCCCGCTTCTACGAGCGCAACTGCGACTGCATCCACGGCTGCTGCCGCCACCACCACCGCCGCGCCAGCAGCACCACCCGCCGAGGAACGCTTGCCACTCAAGCTGCTCCTGATTCAAGCTGTTCTGACAGTTCGTGATTGGCCAACCGCCGAGGCACTGCTTGCACGTTTCCCCGAGTTTACGGCTCTCACCCATGCTCCGATCGCCAAAGCGATGTGTGGCCTGCTGTTGCAATGCATCGAGCCCTTCTATCTGCGGTAACGGATTGATGATTTCTGTTGACTTTTTTCTTTCGATTCTTCGGATGATGACTGACTTGAACTTGTTTGGCATCCTTGCTTTGAAACAGCCATTGCATCCCAGCAGGAGCTCGCCCCGATCGGATTCGCCGTTCGACAAATGTCGACTTTCAAGTTGCCAGTGAATTCCTTTGCCAAAGCTTGGAGCAAGTGTTTGCCATCGCCTTCCCGCTCGCGCTCAAGCTTGGACCGTACGTTAGCCACGATATTGTTTTGACGACCAAGCTTGCTCGTATCGTCAAGTATCTGGCCCAAACGGACCGCGCCAAGTACACTGCGGATATCGAGCAACTGCTCGAGCTCGTGCTCCTGCCTGCGGCCAGCCTCGTGTCTTGCAACGCGCCTCTGAATGATGAGATTTGGGAAACCGTCAAGGGCTTTTCGTACCCGCAACGGTCAGGCTTTGCTCGATTTGCGGATGTTGGTGGATTGCCGTCACGAGATTTTTGCAAACTCATCTTCTCTCTTCTGTTGAAATGCTCCAGGTTCCAACTGTATGGCACCTGGAAGAATCACATCTACTCGCGATTCCCCGAGCTTATTGTACAGAAGGCCTCTGTGGCACACCAGACGCGTTATTCACTTCGGTAAGCTGATGCGTGCGTCGACATTGTTCTTTTTGGTCGCGCGTTTGCAATGCGAACCAATGCTTACCAGTGCTCGGACTTGCCTTCTTTTTTTCTTCTTACAGACGCCTTTCAACAACCAACTTTAAGCAATCCGGGCGACAAATCAGTAAACTGTGCCACGCAAACCCTTCGGTTGTGTTTGTCGAGCTCATCAACAAGGTGCAGGTGTACGACAATTTCGTCATGCCGATTGTCGAGGCGCTCAAGTACTTGACCAGCATGGACTACGACATGCTGATTTATTGCATCCTGGAGGCGCTTGTTGATCCGCGCAAGGAGCGTGTCAAGGCGGACGGCCGCAACGTCTCTGGCTGGCTTAGCGGCCTCGCCATGTTTGCCGCTCACGTTGTCAAGCGCTACACGGTTGATATTGTCCCGTTGCTCCAGTTTGTGACAAAACAGCTTCGCGCAGGCCAGACAGTTGATCTGCTCATCGTCAAAGAGCTCGTGACCAAGATGGCGGGCATTGAGGTGACTGTGCAGCCTTCCGAGTCGCAAATCCAAGCGCTTGCTGGCGGTGATTTGCTTCGAAGCGAGGTAGAGTCTACAAGGCTTTTTTTTTTGTGCTGCAGGCGGATTTGCATCTGGTCAACCACTCATTTCTTGAGTCCCTCGTCCACTAAACTGGCTGTTCTTCCGTTTTATTAGGGTGGAAGCTTTTCTCAATCGCGAAACCTGAAGCGCACACCTGCTCGCTTGCTTCAGGCTCTGATCAGCTCCAACTTGGCCATGCCATTGTTGCTGTTGATTGCTCAGCAAAAGCACGCCGTCGTGTTTTCCGACCAACACACAAGCCATACCAAACTTCTCGGAGACCTGTTTGACCAGGTGCGCAAAACGTGCTGTCGCTGCAACTTTTCGATGACCATTTTCTCCTCACTTTTTTTGTTTGGTTTTGGATCGCTTTCTTTGATCTTTTCGCATTTTTACAGTGTCATGGCGTGCTGCTTCAGTACTCTGAATTCCTCGTTATGACATTGACCAAGGATGGGTATGCAAAGCTGCTTCCATCCATGCGCGATCTGATGGACGTCTACTATCTCGATCTGGAGACGACGATGCACTTGTGGCGCCCTTCCTTCCACCATTCCGTGCGGGTGGCCAATTCCCGCGGGGTTGTAAGTAGAAGCACAGTTGACAGTTGTCATGTTTATGATGTTGAATTCCCCCTCCCCTCAAAATTCACGACCTTGCTTCTGAATGTTCAGAGCTTTGGAGATGCCTTTGATCTCGCAATGGAGCCGTTGAAGCAGCAACTTGTGGCGTCCACTTCGATTCGACCGTTGAAAGACATCAGGTACCGAACAAGCTTGCTTTACTCTTTTGCCGCACCGTTTAAAAACGATCTTCTCTCACTTTGGTGCTGCTTGCTTCAGTCTCAACTTGGTCTCTATTTTCTGGTCCCTTTCACTGTCGGACATTTTCGTCCCCGGTGACCGCTATGATCAAGAATTGCAAACGCAAAAGGCGCTTCTGGCCGCTCTGGAAGCGAATCGCGATGAGACAATGGTAGAGCTGTTTTCAACGTTTTTTGCAGGACCATTTGTTTTCTGTCTGTTGGCTCGCGCCTCTCACTTTTGACATCTTTTCACAGAGCCAAAGCAAACGTCGCATCGAGCGTGAGCGCCTGCAAACGGTGATTCGAGGATTGCAAGAAGAACGAAAACACCAAGAAGCAAACAAGGCCGCTGTACTGGAAAAGCTCCAGCAAGAAAAGGACAATTGGTTCCCTCAGGTTGGGTGTAAGTGATGATTCTTTTGGTTTTGGCTACTGCTTATTGGTGCTAGGTTTTTTTTTTGCTGTTTTGGCCAAGTCTGACGGGTTTGCCTGTGGTTTTTCAATGACAGCCAACAAACTCGTTCAGAGCACGCAAGAGTTGATGCAAACTTGCATCTTCCCTCGGCTGATGCACAGTGTGCCTGATGCTGTCTACTGCGTCAAGTTCATGCATTTGCTGCATTCTCTGTCAACACCACGCTGCTCGAGCTTGTTAATGTTTGATCAGGTAAAGGAATGGAGTCGCAGTTGTCCGACAAGTTCCAGATTTGATCTCATTTCAAACCATTCCCCACACAGATCATGAAGGATACATTCTGCACCATCACCATGTGCTCGGAAAGTGAAGCACAGTGCTATGGTAGGGGAACGCAACAACGCGACGATCGGAAAATGCGTTTCAACCAACGAACATTCTCACTTCTGTCTTTACAGGCTACTTTTTATTGGAGACGCTCAAACTGTACACCCGTTGGGCCAATTCTTCAAAGCTGTTTGAAGCTGTAAGTGGCTCGGATAGTACCTGTCGTGCTGAAACGAAAAAAAAGAAAGCCGGTTCTGACTTTCAAACCATTCGTGAACCATCCGTGAACCATCCGTGAACCATCCGTGAACCATCCGTGAACCATCCGTGATAACATCTGGCTTTTTCAGGAGTGCCGCGTGCCAGGATTCTTGTACACTCGCAAGGCTCCCAAGGACGGCAAAGCGCCACCAGCCGCAGCCGAGTCAAAGCCAGCGGACGCGCCTCCCGCTGCTTCCACGTCCCAAGAATCATCGGACGGAGCAGTACCAGCGCCTGCCCCACCGGCGCCCACTCTCATCGAATACGACATGTTCCGTTCGCTTGCCAAGATTTGGACCACCCGACTCGCCGATGTGAGTCATTCGCACGTTTGAACGATCATTGTTTGTTTTTCTGAAAGAACTTACCTGCACATCATCTCATGCCTCCGCTCTTGTCATTCATTTTGACAGGCCTTCACGCACTGCTTGGGCTCGTCCGACTTTGTGCACATCCGCAACAGTCTCATGATTTTGCATCGCTTGTCGGAGGTCTTCCCGATGCATCGACCCCTTGTCCTTGCAATCGAAAGTCAAGTTGCCAAGCTGATGGCGGATGAGCGGCAAGACGTCAAGACTCTTGCTACAACGTAAAGTGTTGATTTGGCTGATGTTCACGATTTCGATTTCAGACCGAAAAGGCTAACCGTTGCCGTTGCATGCTCGTTTTTCGCTTGCAGGTATATGGTTCAACTTGTGCGAATCAAGAGCGTCCATTTCCCTGAAGAGCGCAACGTACGTCAACCACCCTTCGCCGGTCTCTCTTTTTTTTCGCAGTTTGCCTCTGTTTCCTCACACGTTGCCTGCATCTGTAGAAATCAATCGCGTCCGTCAACCTTGGTGGCGATGTCAAACCGATGGCCATCGACGAGCCAGCCGCGCCAGCATCTGCTCCATCCACGACTTCGGCTGCGGCCGATTCGTCTGCCAGCGCCACTGCGGGCACCAGCTCCTCTTCAAAAGAGCGTTTGGAATCAAGTTCTGGCGGCCGCGAGTCCAGTCGTGAGGGAAACCGTGAGTCGCGAGAACACGCAACGGGCCATCGCGACTCGAGTCGCGACCCGCGCGATGCAAGTCGAGACCACCGCGAGCCCAGTCGAGAGCCTCGGGCCCGCGACGACTCACACAGCCGGGACCGTGACCACAGCTCCAGTCGCGAGCCTCGGGCACGAGACCACGACGGTTCTGTCTCACGCGACTCTCGAGAAAATCGCGATTCCCGCGACACGCGAGATGGCCGGGATGGGCGCGAAGCCAGGGATTCGTCGCGGGTGCGTCGTGACGAGTCTCGCGAGCCGACCACAAGCCGCGCTGCACGCTCGCCGAGCCCCACTCGCAGCAAATCCTCCAGCGGTGGATCTGCGACATCTTCGGCTCTGTCAGGAGGATTGGTGTCGGCGGGCGCGCGAGTAGCAGCTTCGTCTCGGTCCGAACCATCGAGCGCAGTCGGCTCGCCTGTCGCGCAGCCGCACGTGACATCATCGGCGCCCGCCACGTCGTCTCCGATGGTGATTGGTAAGCACCGTGAATGCAGTTTTGGGTCCAGATCTATCTCCATTCTTCGTTTGGCTCACTGTTGGCGCTTCATGAATGATTCGATATTGTAGACAAACCACAGCCCAGCGCTCGTCGCATGGTGGATCTCAAAACGAGCACTGACAGCAAGACGGCTGCGGCCGATCGAGCGAAAAAGTTTGGTACGCCCGCAACTGCAACAACAACAACAACAACACCAACGGCAGTCGCTGCTGATGCTGCTGACGCAAGCAAGACCTCGAGTCGCTCCAAGCGCTCGAGCGAGGATTCCAACGAGCGCGGCGACGTCAAACGAACCCGTCAAGACGAGCAAGAAGCTGCAGGCTCGTCGGCATCTCGCTCGCGCAGCAGCAAGGACGGCGAGCGCGATCAACCGTCCTCCTCCTCTTCATCCTCGTCATCACGCAGCAAGGATGCTGGCAAAGAGAGCGGCAGAGACAAAAGCAGCAGCAAAGACGGCAACGACAGCAAAGACAGCGGCAAGGAATCCAGAAACGGCAAAGACAAGGACGACGATCGGTCTCGCGACAAGGAGCGCAAGGAGCGTAGCAACAGCGAGTCTGCCTCGAGTTCCAGCAAAGACGGTCGCAGTCGGTCGAAAAAGTAAGCATCCAATTTGCGTGCTGGAGATGTTGGTTTTTGCTTTTTGCAGCAGCGTCTCACTCTGTGCTGTTTGGCGCTTGTTTGAACTCTACCAGGCACGATTCTGCAGAAGACGGTGGTCGTGAAGAGCGACGCTCAAAGAGTTCTTCCGAGCGATGAAAAGCCCAAACGGCTTGCGATTTCTCTTCCGTTTCTTTGTTTTCATCCGCAATTTGCCTTTTTGTCTCGCTGTTTCTTTTTCTTTCTGTCTCACTCTTTTCCATGCGTTTTTTTGTGTGTGTTTTTTGTGTTTTGTGTTTTGTGTTTTGTGTTTTGTTTCTGAGTTGTTTCCTCTTTCGATGCACTTCACTCTTTCTTTCTTTCTTCCCAAAATGTCTTCCAACGAACTCGCTCACCTCGAGCAGCAGGTACAAATTCAACAACACTTTCTCCTCACCATTTCCTTCCCAAAATCAACTCGTTCTTAAAAATACAACAAACAAACAAACAAAATCCATTTTCCCCTCAAACTTTCTCAGATTTTCGCGGTTTTTTTCAATCCACGTGTGAACAAAAGCATGAAACACGAATTTTTTTTTTTTTTTTTTTGCAGATCTTTTTTTTTCTTCTTTCTTTCAACTCGTTCTTATTTGCGTGCAAATCCATGACAACAACATCATCAACAACAACAACAACATCAACCGCATTGTAATGACTTTTTGGCTTTTGTTGTTGGCTGACGTTCTGGCTGCGTTCGCTCGCTTGGCTGCTGCATCATCAGGAAAAGCAGGTCGCGCAACTCGTATCCCGCGTTGCGTCACTCCAAGCGCTGGTCGCTGGCACCAACAAGCAGACTGCTGCTGCGCCGAGCACTCAGGCGACGACTGCGACTGCCCAGCCCGAGAGCGATGGCGACTCGGCCATGGAGAAGCTCGTCGCTGAGAACGAGCGCCTCAAGTACCAGCTCGCCATCCTCAACCGCTCCATTGCAGAGGAGAAGGCCTCTGGTGCTGGTGCTGCTGCTGCTACTGGTGCTGCTGCTGCACCCGCTGCCGCCGCAAAGGGCGCAAAGGGCAAGGAACCCGCCGCCAAGGACGCTGCTGCTGCTGCCCCTGCTGCCAAGAAGAAGGCCGACAAGCCATCGCAGCCCGCCTTCCAGCCTGCTCCAGTGCCTACGTACCAGCCTGTGGACCTGTCGGAGGGCCGCATGGTCGCGCTGTTTGATCACGTCCGCAACATGCTCGAGATGGGCATCGAGGCAACGTTTCCGGGCAAGGGCTTTGCCAACGCTATGCTTGTCGGCTCGAACGTGAGCTACAAGTCTGCCGCCGCGCTGACCCTGCTCAAGCGCATCGACGGGCTCGGCTTCCCGTACAAGACCGCCCACGACATTGCCTCTGCCATCCACAAGAACCTGCCCAAGTCGACCCTCCTCGAGTCGTCGCACTTCGAGGTCGACGAGCGTGGCTTTATCACCGTCGTGGTGCCCGCCAAGCTGCTTGCCACCATTCTCACCAACATTGTCGTGCACGGCGTCCTCCCGCCCAAGCAGGAGAAGAAGAAGCGTGTCATTATCGACTTTTCGTCGCCCAACATTGCCAAGGAGATGCACGTCGGCCACCTCCGCTCCACCATCATTGGCGAGTCGCTGTGCCGCCTGCTCGAGTACCGCGGCTTTGAAGTCCTCCGCGTCAACCACGTCGGTGACTGGGGCACGCAGTTTGGCATGCTCATTGCCCACCTCAAGGACGAGTTCCCCAACTTCCGCAACGAGTCTCCCCCGATCGGCGACCTCCAGGCCTTCTACAAGGCCTCCAAGAAGCGCTTTGATGCCGACGAGGAGTTCAAGAAGCGCGCCTACACCGAGGTCGTCAAGCTGCAAGCCGGCACCGATGCCGATGTGCGCCACGCCTGGAAGCTCATCTGCGACGAGTCCCGCCGCGAGTTTGAGCTCATCTACAAGCGTCTGCACGTGACCATCAAGGAGAAGGGCGAGTCCTTCTACCAGCCCATGATGCCCAGCGTGGTGGCCGATCTCGAAAAGCGCGGCTTTGTCCAGGTCGAGGACGGCCGCAAGATCATGTTCGTCCCCGACCAGGCCGTTCCCCTCACCGTCGAAAAGTCCGACGGTGGCTACACGTACGACACTTCCGACCTCGCTGCCATCAAGTACCGCATCGAGGAGGAGCACGCCGACTGGATTATCTATGTGGTCGACGTGGGCCAGTCGCTGCACCTCGAGACTGTCTTCTCCGCCGCCAAGCACGTCGGCTGGCTCGACCCCGCCAAGGTCCGTGTCGATCACGTCGCCTTTGGTCTTGTTCTCGGCGAAGACGGCAAAAAGTTCAAGACCCGCTCGGGCGACACGGTGCGTCTCGTCGATCTTCTCGACGAGGCTGTCGAGCGCGCCAAGGTTGTGCTCGACTCCAAGCGCGGTGGAGACCTTCAGCCCGAGGAGTATGCCGCTGCTTTGGACGCTGTTTCTTATGGCGCCGTCAAGTATGCCGATTTGTCGACCTCGCGCACCAGCGACTACACCTTCTCGTTCGACCGCATGCTCAAGCTTGTCGGCAACACTGCTCCTTACCTGCTGTACGCCTACACTCGCATGTCGTCGATTGCCCGCAACGCCGGCATCGACGTGTCCAAGGAGATTGCCAAGCACCCCTGCGAGTTCACCGAAGGCCCCGAGCTCGCCCTCGCTCGCGCGCTCATCCGCTTCCCCGAAATCCTCAACCGCATCACCGACGATCTCATGCCCCACACTCTCGGCAGCTTCCTCTACGAAATCTGCCAGCTCTACTCGACCTTCTACGAGAAGCTGCGCATCATTGAGCACGACGTCGACAAGGCCACCGGCACCAAGACCATCAAGTCCATCCACTACCCGCGTCTGGCGCTCTGCGAGGCCGCGTCCCTCGTGCTGAAGCAGGGTCTTTCGATTCTCGGCATGGATGTTGTCGGCAAGATGTAAATTGCCATTCACATGTTTGGATGTTTGGGTGTCTCGACAATAATAACACAAGCGTCAAAAGCTCTAATCTATCTCTTCCTAGACTTTATGAATTTGCTCAGTCATTCTATTTAGGTTTTTTCCCCCCTTCCTTTCAACAAACACTCACAGTCCACCCCATTGAACCTTTGAACCTTTTCCCATTCATTCTGGCAGCGATGGACGTTGCCAGTGACCGAATGTCACTGCTCGACGCCATTTTCGATGATAATCCGGCGACGCTTTCCGCGCTGCTTCAGCAAGGCGAAAGTGCGACTTTGACAGCTTCTGAGCGAGAATCAGAGGCTGAGAATTACGGCGCGTCGCTGCTCATCAAGAGCATCCAGTACGGCCGAGCGCACGCGGCCCAGCTGCTGCTGTCAAGACTGCCGTTACTGGCCCGCGAGCCCGACTTGCGTGGCTGGCAGCCGCTGCATTGGTGCGCGGCAGTGGGCGACGAGGCGACCGCGCGGCTGCTGCTCAAGCGACACCGCGTGCCGCTGGACTCCCGCGACGAGGTTGGCCGCACGCCGCTCCATCTTGCAGCCAAGGAAGGTCGGGCGACGCTGGCTTTGCTGCTGCTGACTGCGGCGCGCGAGGCACAGCAGCCGCCGGAAGACCTGATACTGGCCACTGATGACAGGTCGCTGTCCCCGATTGAGACGGCGCGAGCGCACGGCCACGTCGTACTGGCGGACGCGCTGCAGGACATTGTCGGGCGGCCTCTCATGAACGAGATTCAAGATATGGCAGACGCAGCGCCGAGTCAGGAGGTGCAGAGCTGTTGCGCCAGCTCGGCGCCAACTCCGACGCCCATGCCCGTTGCGCCCATAGTGCCCATAGTGCCCATAGTGACCCAAGACGAAGTCGGAGAATGCGCAGCCAATGCCACGTCTATTGAATCCACCAATTCAACGGTAGAAGCGAAAGGTGGCTGTTGCGGCTCCAATAAGACCAGGATCCACATCGCTTCACACAAAATCATGCTGCACCGACACCTGTGGATGCTCACGGTTTTGTGAGCAACCGGCTGACGAGTTTACTCGCTTGCTCGGCCTTTGTTCGCTGTTTGACAAGAGCTGCACATGCGAGCAAGCCGGTTTTGTTTGTTGAACGATTGCAACTTGATTCGCGCCGGCCAAGACCAACTTTCACTCGGACACGATGGAGACAGGAGAGCTACCATTCTTTGAATTCCCATGTGTGATTGGACGGGCACGGCGAACAAGCGTTGACGAGCATCAAATGACCGCTGGGGGTTGAATGTGACCTGCAATGCAAATCGGAGCAGCGTAAACTGGATTCTGTTCCACTGTACTATCACTTTTTCCACTTGTACAAATATCATATACTTTTCCTACTGCTTGCATGCACTGCTTGTGAACTGATGTTGAAGCAAATTCTGTCCCCCAATTTGGAGTGCGCAGTCTTCACTTTTTTTAGTTTTCTTTGCTGACAGGTCGCCATCCCCATTCATCGTTCAAACCAAAGGCAAAAGAATGGGCTATCTTGATCTGCCGGGAATTACTGCCGCTCTGTTTGGCGGTGGATGCTGCGCGGTGCAGTTGCTCTTAACGCTTGCCGGGTTTGGCTGTGCGGGCTTGGCCGACCTCATTTTGTACCGCACGCTTCCGCTGGTGCTGACTCATGTCATTGCTCTGTATTTACTGGCCTCCAAGGCACCGACCGTGCGACCTGGTGCGGTTATTCGGGCAGCTGGCATGCTCGCGCTCGCCTACGCGCCCGAATTTACCTATTTGGTCGTTCCCACGTCTGCGGCATCAATCCAAGGCGAAATGCACTTTGCGGCTCTTATGGTGGATTCTGCTCTGCTGGCTCTTGCTGGGATGCTGTCGATCATGACCTCCGTGGCACCTCACGTCCAAGTGGTCCAAGTGGCTGAGAAGAAGGAAACTGCCGACTTGCCACGTCAGGCGAAAAGTCTGCCACGCCAGGCTGCCGTTGCTCGCGTGACTGTCTTGATTCTGATCGCCCTTGCTTGCTGCTTATCGACGGCCCTTTGTCTTCGCGGAACAAGTTGGACGAGTGCTGCGAGGTCGTTGGCGCATCCATCGGACGAAGCGCACAACGCAGCAGCGCTGCCAGCCGCCTGCTTTGCGCAAGTGCTCGTTGCCAGCATGAGTTGCGACGGCTGCCGGGCAAAGTTCCTGCAGGACTTGGAGGACGAGTTCCCGCAGATTGTCGTTCAGGACGGCGTGCCAAAGCGAGTGGTTCACGACGAAAGTCCAGTTGGGGCGACCCTGGTCATCACGAAGCAAGCACTGACGGATGAGCAGCTGACGGCAGTTCCTCGCATTGAAGCGCGGAAAGCGCGAGTCATTGTAACGACGCCGTTGTCGCCGTCGGCCTGCCTGCTCTGATCACAAAGCGCCGAGCATTGACTTGAAGTGGATTGTCAAAGTCGGAATTATTGGATTCATGTTCAGACTGTTTTGCGATTGGCTATCTCATCCGCTTGATGTACTAGTAGGTCGATCGAACATTTCTTCATTTGCAGCTCAAAGGAAACACACAGATAAGCCCTCCAAGCTCGAACGAAATTGGATCAAAAAGCACATCTCGCATTTTCACACCGAGTTGGTCGAAAGTGACTACGATTGTTGGTTGCCACTGGTCTCCACAGGGATGGCCTCGACAATGTCAAACAGTCCACGCAAGGGAATGCGTCGCTTCATCTGGAACCGAGAAAACTCGAGCAGGGCGTTAAACTCGTGCTGAGTGCGTTCCTTGGCGTCTCGGAAGACGACCAGCATTTGCATGTCCACGAAGCGCTTCAGACGCTCAAAGTAGGGATTGCGCGTTTCCATCACGGTCTCCACAAGCAGGAGCTTGGAATGTGACGGCATGTTTGCCCGCACGGCCTTCAAAATGTCCAGCGACGAAGTGTCATTCCAATCATGGATGATGCTACGAGAAACAGATCAAAAGAAAATAGATTAAAGATAGAGCCGTTGAGCTGCATGTGCGGTTCAATCTCCCAAAAAGCCAATACACGAACGACGACCATACTGTTTGAGCAGGTAGTAGTCGCACTCGACAGCAAGGGGCTGGAAAAAGTTTCCAGGCACAAACTTGATGCGGTCTTGCAGATGAACTTGCTCAAAGTATTCGCTGCAAACGAGCAAAATAGCATCCAAGCATTAGCAGCTCATCAAGAACGAGCGGCGGTTGTCAGCGCAAAAAAAACAAAACCCCCTCACTTTGCTTGAGTCTCCATGTGGGCCATATCGATAACGGTCGCAGTGGCGTTCGGGAAATCGGAAAGAATACCCGCAGCAACCGAACCAATGCCTCCACCTGCCAAGCGGAATCGCCAAAAAACCAAACGACAAAAAAATCAGACAAAGAGTTGCAATACCATCAAATGCTCGTTCAGGATTCATGGGGGCCCCTTTCTTGCGTCGGTCGTGACATACCAACATCACACAGGTGCAGCGGCCGCTTGTACTGGCGTACAAACTCCTTGAAGTCGTCTGCATACCCGAGCAGCAACGCCGGCGCAAAATTGGCAGAAATGCTGCGCATCGCAAGGTTGAAATTCGCCGACTTTTCGGGATTCTTGTCGTAAAAGCTCCAAACCTAGAGCATCACGCCAGTAGTGCATGGATCAAACTTGTGAGCACACCAGCCCAAAAGATAAACGGCCAAAAAAACTGCAAAAACTACAAAAACTACAAAAACTGACGTCGTCGCCATTCGCGAGCTCAAATGCAGAAAGCTTGTCGCGAATGCCATCGTGCAGGCGCGTCCAGCCAAGATTGATCTCGTCAGCATTGTGGAAGAGCATCGGAGCGACGGATGCCAGATTGTCAGCGCCTTGCGTGAAGAGCACTGAGAACTCATTCAAGTAGAATCTGCCCGTGTCTTGGTCCTTGTTGACAAACTGGTTTGCCGCCGCAAAGTCCAGCAATCTGCACAAGAGCTCAGGATCGACTGGCAGGCGTCGGATGGGAATCGGCCGGCGGTCGCGATCACGCTTGCGCATAAACACAACCAATTCCTCACAAGTGGTGCCGTTCTCGGCGGCTTCGGCCAGCCCGTCAAACACCTCCATCCGCGCCAGGGCAGCCAAGCCCTGTGTGAGGCCAAAGCCAAAGAGCGCCTCGAACGCACGCAGCGGCGCTGGCTTGACGGCAACCCCGAGCTGGTCGAGCACTGCCAGTCCAGCCTCGGCAATTTGAAGCGCCCAGCCCGGCGCAGCGAGCTCTGGCGGGGGCTCCTTGAGCGTCTGGAGCGCGTTCCTTGCCTGCTGGCCCAGCGATGGCCGCAGCACCACGGTCTGCAGTGCGACGGCGAGCACCACGACTGCGACGGCGACGATGGCAAACCCCTTCATCTCAGACTTGTGTGAACTCAAAAACAACCAAAAACGAAGAGTGCGCGCCAGCTTGATCTGAGTTTGTCTCATCGTTCAGTAACTCAAGCGAGGGACGGGGGTTAAGTGATACATGTATCGCGTGCTGTCGTGTGCATGGATTTTCCACGGTACAGTTGTACTCTGAGACTATTTCCGTTGCATGCCAGTCTCAGTATTTTGGCTTTTGTGGCACAATGCTCCTGACCCGAATTGGAAGTCAATGGCCGCGGATGACTCTGTCGCGCGTCGTCGCATCTCTCCAGCCGCACGCATCCCGCTTGCCATACGTTCGTAAGTCACTTTGCCTTGCAGTCTCGCATCGAAGCGCGTCGGGAACGGCAGCGATCGAGTCGAAGCACTCGACCAAAAAGGCGTGCTGTCATTCTGAATCCGTTCCACAGCAATCGGCACAATCCGCGCACTCCGCCCAGCCAGTGCCGCCAATGCAGCCACACCTCAATCCGTCGCACTCGCATGCACCTTCGCTGTCATCGTCTGGAGTGGCCTCAACAACAACAACAACAACAACAACGTCGTCCATGCTGACCACGTCATTCTGGTCGCACGTCCCATCGTGGCGCACTGCCGCTCTCAATACAAGCCGCTGCCTCGTGTTTTGCAGCCTGGGCGATCTGTCTGCGCTCTTCTACATGCAGTCCCAGCACATTGAGAGCAGTCCGCTGGTGATGGCGGTCTCAATGGCCGCCGGATTGCTCACCTCGTTTGGCGCTGAGACAATTCTGCTGAAACGCAACCAATCCGTGAGCAGCTGGTCCCAAGCCGCCAATCTCGCCGCCGGAATGAGCCTCATTTCCATGCTCGTCATGGAGGCCGCCATGAATATTGTGGATGTGCATCTCACGGGTGGGCATGTTCACCTCGACCGGCCCGAATGGTGAGTGAAACGAAAGACCTGCGGGAACTGCAGATTTCCACTCCGTTGTGCAGTAATTGTTCGGTGTTCATGTCACTCATTGCGTACTTTGGGGGGATATTTTGAACGTGGGGAATTTTTTGTTTTTGCTGATGTCGGGGTGGGGGCCACAACACAGGTGGCTTTCTGTCGCTGTCGCATTAGGTGCCGGCTTTGTGGCGCCGCTCCCGTACACTTATGCTCGATTGCGCAAACTGGGCAAATCGTGCCACTAAAGCGAGATGTCAATAGCATGCACTATGTGGGGTGGGTTGATTGTATTTCTACAACTTGCCATCCCAAAAAGTTCCAGACAAGACCAAAAGAAGCAACATGAAAATAGAAAAGAAAGATTTCAAATCATCGCGGGACGCTGGGGAAGGCACATGTTGTAGATGGCATCCTGAACGAAAAAGTCAGGACCCTTCCACACGCAACCAGCCTTTTCAATCACAGCAGTGGGTTCGTCGATGCCAGTGTAGTGCGGATCCAAAATCAAATATTTCACATCGCCAGTCTCCGCGTTGAAATCAACGCCAAGGATGGTGTGTGCGAGAACTCCGCCACCTGTTATGTGATGAAGATACAGTATTGAACCACGGACGGTTGAGCGAGCGGAGGCAATGAGATCAAGTCGGGTTTGTGGTTTTTTTTTTTGGGTCGCCTTTCTTTTTTGCATCCACCCAATCACTTTTCCCCCTTACCAATCATCACTGGCGAGCCCTGGGTCTCAAAATGCGCTGCCAGTTCTCGGGCTTTGTCAGCCATCTCGCGCCCTGCGTTCAGATTCATGATGCGGCTTGTAATCTGCCAACACGCAAAGCCAAATACAAAAGTTGAGTCAGCAACGCTGCTCATCACGTCTGGCCTTCGACGCCTGCCTTCACTGACATTGTAGCATTGGTCGAGGCAAATGCTGAGTTCAAACGATCCAATCCACTGAGTCGAGCCAATGAACGACTTGTCCTTGTCGCCAACTTGCACCAGGCACTCTTGGATTTCGCGATGGGTCATATCTGCACGAGTGGCGTAACCATTGTGACGCAGCCACGAGCAAATCGTTTGCAGGGATCGGTATGCGCAGCCCCAGCCCTGAAGTCAAGAAAGAAATGGAACGTCAGAACAGAAATGGAATGTCAGAACATGGAAAGCTGTGTTTGCGCCCAAAAGCAGGTGTAAGACGTACAGAATCATCCATACGGTCTTGTGTATAGTGGTAATAGCTGTATGGGCCATCCACAAGGGAAAGACGCCCACCAACAACTCCAGAAGGACCGAGTCGCTCGTGGACATTCAGCAACCGATCTAGCATGTTCAAGGTGACGGGCATCATCATCGTCATCATCAATTAGAGACCACAACTAACTGGTTTTCAAGATTCGGCTCGGAGCATAGAGAGAAAAAACTTACCGGATTGAACAGAAGTGCGGAAGGTTTGCAGATCAAATGCGTTGTTGGTCCGAAGCAGTGGTCGGTCAAGTGGAAGCAATAGCGCGTTGTGGTACTTGGTCCGCGTTGTTTCTGTGGTCAAGTGGCGACAATCAGAACAAACCAAATGCGTCACAAGAGCAATTCGCCGAGCGACGATTGTGCCCTACTGTATGATTCGTGGTCTTGACTCTCTCCGGGAAAAGGTGTGCTGGCAGTGGGATAGCAGACTCGAACCAGAAACGGGAACTGGGCGAGTTTAAAATGGTACGGAACCGATGCTTTGGCTCCATGCTGCGTTGATTCAAGGTGCACCAAAGCGAGGACAGGGTGAGTTCAAGCAAAATCAAAAAGAGAGTGGCGACAATCCTCAAGACGACGGCGGTGCATACATGCATGACGAGATCATCCACAGACGAGTACAGCGCAGAGGTGATGGCTGCCAAAACGGCCTGCTGTGTGGCCGCTGGACTCTCGTTCCATGGCACGTATGCGATCGCTTCAACCGGAAGCTGGAACATGGCAAGGGGCTTATCTGCAGTTGCGCGTTGAACAATGAATGAGAGTATTCTCAAACAAACAAACAAAACAAACAAAACAAGCAAAACAAAACAAACAAAAACAAACTCAACCCGATGCTCTTTGCATACCACTCTCGCGTTCGCAGGTCAGGATGGGAGCCAATGGCACGGATGATGTCAAGGTTGATGGGCGCAACAGACGAACACTCAGCTTTTCGGGCAAAGCTGCGTGAGTGGGAGCGCGACCGCCTTTGCGGGGAGTAGCCGCGCCAGTAACGCGTTGCGTCTCATCGAGAACAGCCTGCCGCAAACTGCCTTGAGTGTCCGATGCAACCAGCAGAGATCCTTGTTGAGAGGACGACGCTGCAAACGACAATTGCATCATGGAAGTGCGCAACGAGGCGAGGAAGGTTTGCACACGAGCGTGCAACTGAGCGAGGCCCAGTGACCCTGTTGTCAAAAAAAAAAAAAAAAAAAAAAAGTCGTGGATGGAGTGAGCAAGAACACACGCTTCGGGCTCCCGTCAACGTGCACTCATCCCAAAACAAACAAACAAACAAAAAAAAAGGACGTGTACCAGCAGGAACGTAAAACTTGTCCGTGAGCAACCGGATGTGGAAAAGGGCGTGATCTTGGCGAAACTTGTCCTCCGCCGTGCGTCCAACCTGGACATCCGAGATGACGGTAGCATCGCCATTCTCCAGCACTCGGTAGAACTGGCACGACGTCTCCTCGACCACCGCGACAATCACTGCAGTTTCACCCTTGAATCCGCCCTGCACTCGCCGTGCCTGTGAATTCCAATTCCATAAACCCCGCTTCAACCAGTGAGTCTCAGAAATCATGAAAAATATATACTTTTTGTTGTTTTTGTTGGCTCTGTCTGAGAATACTGGAGGCGGGGCTCACCTGGCGAGCATCTTCTGCTGCGTTTGCAATCTGCTTGGGATCCGAGCTCGTCAGAAACGCGCCTCCAACAACGAGACCTGCCACAAACACAGAGAAAAATGGACTGTGTGAGTACAGACAAGTCGTGGATGAGTGGGGAGGGGGATCAGGGTTTGGTACCGGATGGAAGCAGTGAGACGACCTCGCGGGACGACAGCGCACCCCCGCGCGATGTGCACAGGGCAGCGAGCACAGTGGTCAATGATGGTGATGATGGTGACGATTCAGAAGGAAGAACGGTCGCGGCGGGCGAGACGAGCAGACCGCGGAAGAGCGACGCGTCTGTGCCGCGGTTTCGAAGCAGAGCGTCAACCACGCGCTGCGAGACTGAGAGTTGGTGCATTTTGAACAATGATAAATGAGGAATGATTAATCGAGAATGAATGTGGATGGAACTTGTGTGAGACGGCAACAAACAAAGTGAAAAAGAAAAAAAGTAGGCTCAAATTCGTACAATAGTGCAAAAGCAGCAATCGAGTACAGCAGAAACACAGTCAGCGCAAAGGCACGTTCAATCATGAATCACAGTGTGAATGGGAGCATGGATGCGATGAGCGGTTTTTTGCTGGTAAGGATGCTGGAGTTTGTGAAGCACATTTTGTGTTGGCTTGTTTTTTGTTTTTGGTCTTTGGTTTTCGTTAGGTGGCGTTTTGGGTTTTTCTAACACGGAAGGCTGCTCGCGATGAACGCTGTCACGGAGATCATTCTAGCCAGCTGGCCTCAACGATAGCTTTGACCTTCTTTTCGTACTCGCGCTTGTTCTCCTGGTAGAGCTGGGCGGCTGCCGAGTTGGCAGGACTGTTGGGGTTTGGCTCATCCAACAAGGACTGAGAAGCAAGAAGGAGAAACAAGGTGAGACAAAGACAGTTCTCGTGCAACAAGAGCTGATGCAAAGCAAAGAGCGATAAAACAATAGATACCTGAATAGAAGTCAAGATTGCAGCAACATCGTAGGTTGGACTCCAGCGGTTTTGCAAGATATCCAAGCAGATACCACCATCGGCGTAAACTAGACGAGCGCAAAGAGAGAGGGAGAAACAAAGTCAACTATCGCATGAATCGAAGCGAATGGCGGCGACGACGACTGCTTTTTACCGTTCGGGTGGAACATTTGAGAGACAAACTTGACGGTTGGTGGGCGGTTTGGATAGTTTTCCGTGAATTCGAGTGAGAGCTTGAATGTTCCATCTTCAAACGGCGTGCCTTCCGGACTGCGACCGATGCACAGAGTGTTCATACGTGAGCATGTAAAAACCGAATGGCTTGGTTTCTCTGCTGGACGCCCCCCCTTTTTTTTTCTTGTTGGTCAAATTCTTACCCAAAGATGACAGCGTTCCAAACCATAATGTTGTTATCTGTGGGAGCACCGCTGACGCCTGCGGGCGGATCGTCCTGCAGACTGCAATGACATCAAGTGAGGAAAACAAAGTGAGCGTTTCAGATCAACATTGACTGCAAGCCGGCCACCACTTGTCCTCCTCTCTCCTGCTTATTGAAGGGGTACTGGTATTGAACGTTGAGCTGAAAGAGCAACATTCAAAAGTGAAGGGGGGGGGTTTCCATCGTGAGACAGACGAGCAATGCAAAGCGCGATAGTAGTCCAGCGAGAAGCAGAGCCGCACTCCGTTGTTTGCCGTTCTTCACAGCACTTCATCATCATTATCATCATCATCATTCATCATCATTCATCATCATCATGATTGCTGGTAATGTTAAAAGTGAAACTCGAGCGTTGAAGCGACAGACAGCAAAAAAAAAAAAAAAAGAAAAAAGAAAAAAGAAAAAAAAAAAAAAAAAAAAAAAAAAAAGAGGTTCTTTTTTGCTTTTTGTTGCTTTTTTGCTTGTTGTTCGCTGTTTTTGCGTTGCGTTCCGTTTTGTGTTGACTTTCGTGTGAGTTTCGCTCTTCAACGTTTTGCGCCGCGTTTTCATGTTGTTGTTGTGGTTGTCGTGGATTTAAGAAAGAAGACAAAAAGAAACGAAAACGAAAAAAAAAAAAAAAAAAAAAAGATGACGAAAGACAATGGAAAAAAGCATAAATGAAAAATAAAAAAATAAAAAAAAAGCAATAAAAAAAAAAAAAAAAAAGCGAACAACGCAGTGAACAAAAGTCACAAAGTTGAAGAAAGAGAGCGACGATTGAGGATGAAGATGAGAATGAACGGAGAGAGAGAGAGAACGGAAGAAGAGAAGGGAGAGAGAACGGAAGGTGAACGGAGAGAGGGAGAGAAGGGGGTACCGCTTAAAGTCGCGCATCAAACGACGCCGTGCTTTGGTGCTCATTGCTTGAAGTGGTTGCTGATCAAGTGAAGGAACAAAAGGAAGAGTGGAGAAACACATTTGAAAAAAACTACTCAGAAAAGAACGACTCAGAAAAGAACGACTCAGACAATGAAACAAAAAAACGCACAGCAAAGCTGTTGTTGGAAATGGAACAAAGCAAAAGCTCAGAGCCAACGATCTTTGACCGACAGACCTGGAACTCAACTTGGAAATTAGACTACAAGAGAGCATGCTGGAATGAATGCGAAAGCACTGTACCGTTTGATGATGAAAATAAGGGCAGATCGATCAGGATTCTTGATATGCGCAGATTTTGGGCAGCACCGTTGCGTTGGAGCTGCTGCTACTGCTGTGTGTGTGGGTGTGTGTGTCGATGCGTGCGGATTGGTAGTAACCTCTTACATGTTGTACAGTAAGTAGCGTTTGCAAGTTTTCTCGATGGGATAGACACCCTCAGGCCGAAACAGCATCTGCTTTTCGAGATCGAATGCCTCTCGAAAGATCGCGCAACTGCAACCTGACCCGGAACTTACCCTGGAAGTAGGGAGCATGCTAGAACGGGTGCGGAAGTATCGTGGACTGCATGAATGCAGTGAAGAGCGAGGGAATGACTGGCTCTCGGAGGCAGTTGCTCCATCGGTAAGCTCAGAAACTTTATTGGGCCGCCGACAGAACTGAAGAAAGCAACGAGGGAGCAAAACGAGAAACATGCACAAAAGATGGAGAATCACAGAAGAAAACCAAAAAATAAAACAACGAATCGACAACTGGCAGGCCAGCCCAACTCACGCCAACAACGCAAAAGGTGCTAATTTGCGATCGACGCGTAATCGACGCTTCCGATCGGCTTGGAGGGTGCAACAGCTACCGTCGCGTAAGCGGTCGGCGAGGACTCGGGCACGCGCACAGATGAGGGATTGGGCAACGAAGGCGTGGCGTACTGGACACCGCTGGATGGTGCGGATACTGCTGCTTCGGTATACAGCACTTCCGCCGAACCCACAGGAGCCTGGTGGGGCTTGGTGTCAACATTTTCGTACAAGATAGGGTTGCCAGGAGGCGCGTACACTCCTGCAAAGGTTGGGTTTGCATACTGTGACACCGTGCCGCTCGATTCCGGCTCGCGGAGTTTGTTGGCCGAGCTGGTAGTTGCCAATGCCTTTGGTGAGCGACGACGACGAAACAGCACAAACAGCGCAATCAACAAGAGGAGAGCCAGCACTCCAATAACGACTCCGAGAATAAGAGGCAGAGAAGATGAATCGCTAGGTTCGTTTGGGGCATTGGACGCAGCAGATGCAGCAGATGTCTGCCATGCAGATGAAGCACTGGCGCCAGATGCAGACGCTTGCGATGCTGAGGATGCAGTAGCAATGGAAGCAACGGACGCCGACAGAGCAGATGTGGCGGACACGAGAGACGCAATTGAAGCAGAGGCGGTCGAGGCAGTCGCAGCGGATGCCGTGGCGACGGAAGCGACTGACGCAGCGGAGGCAGAGTGGGTGGACGCGATGGATGCGGCCGATGCAGAAGAGATGGAAGCGAGCGAAGCGCATTGTCCACTCAGCAACACGTAACCGTCATAGCACTGAGTGCACACAGTGGATGATGAGCAGATCAGACAGTTGACTGGGCAACACGCAGCGGACCCAGCAGCATAGCAGGTGGCACAGGCTGTATCACACTCTGTCAAATAAATGTCGGTGAAATGATCACATGGGAGGATTGCAGTCACCTCGGAACTTACTGTACGGTTGGGACGCGTTGCCGTAGGTGCTGGGCGGAGCGACAGTGTTCCCACCAAAGGTAAAGTTGTTGGGGCTCAGATATGGCAATGACTGAGACAAACCCACACCATTTGGCAGGCCCTTGAACAATCCAGGAGGCAAAGTGATCAAGGGATTGCCGCTCAAAGCCCTAGCAGTAGCTTGAAGTGAGAAAAGCATCAAAGCACGTTCAATGAGAGTTGCTACTTGCAATGTAGTCAGCGACGTCAAGCCAGGAAATGCAGAGGCGGAAATGCTGGTGATCCGATTATTCTGCAAATATCTACAGATGGAATTGTAAATGAGTGAGCCGCTTGCAAGTAATGCTTCATGTCTTGGCGCGCTTACAGAAAGTTCAGCGACGCCAAGCCAGGAAATGCAGAGGCGGAAATGCTGGTGATCTGGTTGTTGGCCATGGATCTACGCAAACGAGTGAGCCATTTGTGGGGAAAACCCGTCCTGCCTTTGCTTGCTTACAAGAAGATCAGCGAAGGCAGGCTTGCGAGAGCAGAGACCGGAATGGCGGTGAGCTGATTGTTGGGCATGACTCTACCAAAAAAAGTCGCAGACGATTCAGCCGTTTGTGCTTGATTGCTCCTGGCTTCGTTTGCTTACAAAACCATCAACGCAGCCAGGCTTGTGAATGCGTTTGCAGAAATGGTGGTGATCTGGTTTCCGGACAGTTCCCTAGAGACAAAGTCGCAAACGAGTGAGTCGTTTGTGCGTTCGATTCCGCGGGTCTTTGTTTCCTTACAAGAAAGTCACCGCAGGTAAGCCTGTGAATGCGTCTGCGACAATGCTGGTGATCTGGTTCTCGGACAGTTCCCTAGAGACCAAAGTCGCAAACGAGTGAGGCGTATGCCTGTGGTGCTTTGCGTCTTTGCTCGCCTTACAATGAACTCAGCGCGGAAAGGCCCGTGAATGCGTTTGCAGAAATGCTTGTGATCTTATTGTCTTTCAAAGACCTTCAGATGGAGTCACAAACAAATGAGCCGTATGTCTGTGGTCCTTCGTGTCTTTGCTTGCTTACAGGTAAGTCAGCGCGGTGAGGCCAGTGAATGCGTTTGCGGAAATGCTTGTGATGTTGCCAGCGCCAAGACTCCTGCAGATGAAGTCGCAAGCCAGTGAGCCATTTGTGTGTAGCTTCTTTTGTCTTTGCTTGCCTACAAGGTTCCCAATGCGGATAGGCTTGCGAATGTAGAGGCAGGAATGCTGGTCAGCTGGTTGTCGTGCAGATTCCTAGGGTCAAAGTCGTAGAAGTGGTGAGTTTATGTGTGACCGCTATGCTTGGTTTGGCTTACTTACAGATCAGTCAGCGCAGTCAGGCCTGTGAATGCGTTGGCAGAAATGCTGGTGATCAGGTTGCTGAGCAGAGCTCTACAGATCGAGTCGCGAACAAGTGAGCTGTGTGTGTGTGTGTGTGTGTGTGTGTGTGTGTGTGTGTGTGTGTGTGTGTGTGTGTGTGTGTGTGTGTGTGTGATGTATCTTTGCTTTGCTTACAAGTACTGCAGCGCAGTCAGGCCTGAGAATGCGTCTGCAAGAATGCTGGTGATCAGGCCTGAGAATGCGTCTGCAAGAATGCTGGTGATCTTGTTCAGGCTCAAGTACCTACAGATAGAGTTGTAGTCAGTGAGCCGTGCGGGCTTAAATTTTCATAGCTTGGCTGGCTTACAGGGATTGCAGTGCAGTCAGGCCCAAGAATGCGTTTGCAGGTATGATGGTGAATTGATTGCTCTCCAGAGCTCTACAGAGATAGAGTTGAGACAAGTGAGCCATCTACGTGTAATTCTTTACTTCTTTGCTTGCTTACAAGAGAGTTAGCGCAGTCAGGTCCAGGAATGCGTTTGCTGAAATTGTGGAAATCTGGTTGTTACGCAGATCCCTTCAGATAGATTTGTCAACGAGTGAGCCGCTTGAGTATGCCTGTGTATGTGGTTGTGTTTCATCAAACTTACAAGGAAGTCAGTGCGGTCAGGCCTGTCAGTGCGTTTGCAGAGATGTTGGTGATCTGGTTGTTGTACAGTTGCCTAACGAGTACGCGGGTTAGAAGCATTGCTGCGATTCAAAGACACTGAACGGCAACACCTACAGCTCTGTTGTATCGACTGGGATTGCATCAGGAATGGCTGAGAGTGATTTGCCACTGCATTTGACAATAGTTGAGGTGCAATTGCACACGCCGCCAGTGCCACAGGCATTGACTGCTTGTGCCAACTGGGCGTGATGAATCACGCAGAGCAGCAAAAGTATGCCAAAGGCAAATCCCTTCAGTGTCATCTGAGAATGGTAGAATGCTTTACAGAGTGAGCTCGCTGGTGTTCTGCTTCAACACTCAACTACAAACTGCAGCGTCACAGTGCAGAGGCCGCGTGTGTGTGTGGATGGAAGGAAGTTGCGCAGTTGGCTGCTCGCCTGTCCTTTCCCCCCCCCCCGCCCTCCCAGCGCGCGCTTCTTGTTCACTTGCACCGGTTGTAACTGGCAAACTGACTGTGCCTTCATGGCCTTGGCAGCAAATGCTGGTGACGCATCCGCTTGTCGGCAGATCTTGCGACTGAATTTGTGTTGTTTTTGTTGTTTTGTTGTTGTTTTTGTCGTTGTTGTTTTTGTTGTGGTGGAGGTTGATGCAAAGTCTCGAGATCAGTCGCAGAGCCCCGCTGTTCCCGTCGCCCCACCCATCCCTCTTCTTCTTGTTGATTCTATTAGCTGGTGCAGCACACTCGACGCATTCGATGGGCTGGGGAGACACAGACAGCGAAGGTGGGTGCATTGCGGAGGAACCGACTTTTGTTGTTTGTTTTTGTTGTTTTTGCGAAAACAAAATTCTGTTCCCATGCGTGCTCGGTTGCGTCGTCGTTGCTCCACTCTTCCAACGAAAGCGAGCAAAGATCGAACGAGAAGAGAATAGGAGTGGTGCTGCTTGAGCTTGACGATGGCTTACTTTGAACAATGCGAAAGAGAACAGAGTCGAAGTGAAACGAGAGGAAGGAGAAGAAATGAAAGAAGAAGCAGAAAGAAAGAAAGAAAAAAAAAAAGGAGTAATTGGGCACCGTTTTGATCTACGGCGATTTGGGGCACCCCGAATTTGATCTCCGTTCCAAGTTTGGACTTTGTTTGGCCTTCATTCTACTTTGCTGGCTCTGTGTGTGTGTGTGTGAAGCTGCACAGTGCAGATCATTCGTAGTGTGCGACTCTGCGCTACGTCTGAGGAGGATGGGCAAACAGAAGGGAGAGAGAATTTAGAGAGAGGAGAGAAACTACAAAGAAGCCAAAACACCCAAAAACCAAAACCCCCCGCTTCCGCTTCGATGATCACGGCACATCGTCCACCTGCGGAAAAATAGATCTGCCAGTGGAGTGCTTCGCTCAGTGCAATTCGCGATGAGTCAAACTGAAGCAGACAGCCCGGTCTCCCCTCATTCCTCCCTACGTTTGTATGAACACATTCAAATTCGCGCTGTAACCACGGTTCTGGGCAAGGTCGTTCCACAAACATCAGCATAGCCAATACAATACGGATGTCGTGAGTTTTCCGCTATCCAAATGGTGCGGACCACTACCCATCGCTCAGCTCAACTGTCACACCCCAATTTGCATCGATTGGTCTTTCTCTCACGCTTCGCCGATAGTTACGATCAACGATCAACCCTCAAGAGCAGACGAACATTCAACAATGAACACGGACGAGATGGAACTAGTACTCATGTAGAATGGTACGGGGAGAGAAAAACTGTGCTTGCATCAACGAACAAAGCAGAAAAGTCATCGTAAACCAAAATTTGCTTAACTTCCCTCTTGCTCTCCGGTTTTCTCGTCAGTAAACTTGGCGGCACGCTTCTCGGCAAACGCAGTCATGACCTCGGCACAATCCTTCCGGCCGAAAGTCAAGTGGAAGAGACGATAGTTGGTTTGTCAAAGTCTCGCCGATTTCGCCCCGGCCCCCCAAACAGCTCACTTCTCGCTCCAAAGTTCTGGTCACCTCGCATAATAGATTTATTTTTAATTGTCACATTGAAGTTTTCTTTTGCATCGACGCGCACGTCCGAAGGCTGATGGGGGTGGGTGGGTTGCTGGCTGAGCAAAGACAAGCGCGGCGCTCAAAATAGCTCGCTCGTCCTTTTTAAGCCACATTTCTAGGTCAGTTTCGTTCGCTCAGTCCTTCATTGTCTTCCCCTTCTGGACTTTTGGTTTCCTTCCATCAGAAACAAGACTCGCAACCATGCAAAATATCAAGTGCACCATTGTCGGTGATGGCAGCGTTGGCAAGTCTTGCTTGGCCATTTCGTACACGACCAACGCCTTCCCTGGCGAGTATGTTCCCACGGTAAAGCGCGCCGAGCCCCCCACCCCCCGCCTCAGTCCATCTCGCATGCCCACATGTTGAACCGTCAGTAGATAGAGAAGATGAAATCGCTGGCGCGATTTGACGTCCGCGCTTCGCGCGGGTGAGAGTGACCGAGGGTAACCTCGATTTTAGATCCCAATCAATATAGACTAATGTTTCTTGTACTGCTGGTACTACTGCTATGTCAGGTGTTTGACAACTACTCGGCCAACGTCATGTGCGACGGCCGCCCAGTCAATCTCTCGCTTTGGGACACGGCGGGACAGGAAGACTACGACCGACTTCGCCCGCTGTCCTATCCGCAAACCGACGTGTTTTTGGTCTGCTTTTCCGTGATTTCTCGCTCGTCGTTTGAAAACATTGCAGCGAAATGGGTGCCCGAGCTCAACCACCACGCTCCCGGCACCATCCTCGTGCTTGTTGGCACGAAAGGCGATTTGCGAGATGACACCGACACTCGAGCTCGCCTTGCGGCGCGTGGAACGAGCGTTGTGTCGATTGCCGAAGCGCAGGCCATGGCGCGCAGCGTTGGTGCCAACGCCTACGTTGAGGTCAGCGCTCTCACCCAAGCCAACGTCAAGCAACTGTTCGATCAGGTCATTCGCGCCACCCTGAGTCCCACCAGGTCCAAGCGCAAGAACGTCAAGACGATCGTGGGACGAAGCGGCGAGCGAATTGAGATTCCGCTGCCTCCTCCGCTGCCCAAAGGTGTGCCGGCGCCGTGGATTAACGTGTCCACGTCCACGATTGCAGAAGACATGCGCAAGCTGTTGAACTCTCCATATGCGGCTGATGTGAGCATTCAATGCGGCGCGACAACCTTTCATGCGCATCGCATCGTGCTGGCGTCAGCCTCTCGTTTCTTCCGGCGTCTGTTCCACATTGCGCACACCGACACCGATCCTCGCAACTTTCTCGATCATGCGCGTGTCAACTCGCGCCAGATCTCAGGCCTCGAAGGCATTGAAGTCAGCGGCATGCCGCCCGCGTACGACGAGAGCGATGCGAAGCCTGGATTTGCCCCAGCTCGTCCGGCACCTGCGCCGCCGGCAGGCACCTCTCGCGGCATGACGCTGGCCGAGGCAAATGCCGCGAGTGCTGCTCTGTCTCCAAGTGCAGTTCAAGCATTCAACGCATCGTCCAGCATCAACGCGCTTGGCACGCATGTCACGATTCGCGTGGCAGCCTCAGCCGTGTCTGCACCTGTCATGCTCAAGGTTCTCGAGTTCTTGTACACCGGCTTGGCATCCTTTGACGACAAGAACGACCACGTGCGAGAGACGTCGACTGCTTCCTCGTTGTTTGATCTTGGCGAGCTTTCCACCATTTGCCAAAACGTGCTCGAAGACGATCAAGAGCTCAATCCCAGCATTGGTATGCATTTCGAGTTGTGGCCGTGTTGTTACTTGCGTGTGCTTGTGCTTGCAGGTGACCTGGAGCGAGCAGGAGGGACAGAAAGAGAGACACAGAAAGAGATTGAGCGCTGACCTTTTAACCCCTTCTCCCCCTCGTACAGGCACTTGGCTCAATGACCAAACGGGCCAGGTCATGAACCAGCTCTTCCTCAACAACAAACTGCTGGCCGATGCCCAGTTCCAGTTTGCAGACGGTCGCACCATGTACGTGCACAAGGCCATGCTGGCAGCTCGATGCCCATTGTTGGACGTGCTTGGCCACGACAGCAATCCCACAGCGCTCCAGACGATTCGCCTGTACGAACAGGAAGAGGTGCTTGATGTCTTGCGGCCCTTCATGGAATTCTTGTACTCGGACCACGCTACGATCGACACACGCACCGCCAACCCGGCCACCTTGCTCATCATTGCCGATCGGTACGAAGTCAAGCGCCTGGTCACATACTGCGAGCTGCACGTCTCCAAGGCGATTGAACGAGAGACTGCTAGCCGGGTTGCCAAGGCCGAGATCGATGTCATCGGACTGATGGGGGTGGCGCGCAAGTGCGACGCCGAGCAGCTGGTTGCGTTCTGCAAACACTTTATCTGCACCAACTATTCGGCCATGTGCAAGCGTCCCGAGTACCGTTTGCTCGATGCTGGCACGCGCACGTACTTGTACAATCAGCAATGGCCTCCGCTGAGCTATCTGGCTCAGGTGGAGGAGTACGAGGCTCGTGTTGCCGAACTGACCAAGATGAGCAAAACCAAGGCTGCCCGCGCCAGCAAGGCCCCCTCTTCCTCGTTCTCTGTCGCGCCTGAAGGGATTGCAGTTGGTGCAGATGAAGGTGTCGCTGGATCTCGTTGTTGCATGATGTAGGCAGTCGGAATGTCAATTGTACAAAAGTTGTAAAATGTGAAAACAAAAAACACTGGTTTGTTTGAAGGATACAGTGTTTCCCTGCCCATTCCACAATGACTCTACAGAGTAGCCCTCCGGCACTCGCAACACACGCGGCTTCTCCAGCCAAAACTCAAAAACAAGAGCGGGGAGGGGAGAGAGAGCGCGAGAAAATCGATCAAAAGAAGAGAAAACGAAAAAAAAAAATCAAACACCAACGCATGTATTGCTCTTGTTGTTGTTTACAGGCACAGCCAAGACGCAACAACTCATCGATCGGCCACTGGTGCTCCGTCGGTAGTCTCTGGTGCTGCCTTGGCAGTCTCGGGTGTTGCTTCAGCCGGCGCCTTTGGTGCCTTTTTGGCAGTCTTTCGTGATGATGCCTTTGGAGCCTTTTTGCCGGCAAGGTCAACCGCCTTCTTGGTGTCACCGAGTTCGCCATTGGCGTTAGGGACAACATGAACCGCCGTGGTGCCACTGAGTTCGCGTTTGACTTCGGTGGGGACCATTCCTTCCGCGAGAAGCTCGGTTGCGGCAGCCACCGTCTGGGGAGTGAGGTTGGATATCAACCGGACGGCGTCCTTAATATCCACGCGATTGCGTTCTTGAACCGTCTTGCAGCGCTTGTTGAAGCTGGCGAGCTGTTCGGGGAAGGCGGGCGAGCCGTCCAGCTTGGTGATGAAGGGCTGAAGATCTGCCGCCGGGGCCTTGTTTTCGTCTTCAAACAAGTAAAAGATGCCGTTTGCCCCGAGGTAGCCAGGGATTTGGTTGGCAATGTGGGACGAGATGGCGCGGTGGACAACGTCTTCGCGCTTGATCTGGACGATGCGGAGCGGCAGGACCTCGACCATCGATCGGATCTTGAACAGCATGCCATTGTTTCTCGGCGAGTTGAACTTGATGGAGACGTCCTGCAGGGTGGTCAAGCGGAGCAGCTTGAGCGTGGATCGCAGCTTGTCGTCGCAGCCGATGGGCGAGCGCTTGAGCCGGACGACGTGCAGCGGGCTCGGCGGGCCCGGGAACTTGGCTGCGAGCTGCTTGGTCAGCGCTTTGGTTTGCTCGGGCGCCGACATCCGCGCGGCGGCCTTTGCGACATACGCCGCATGGACGAGCTTGGAAGTGGGAGCGCGCGTCGAGGCCATTCTCTCTCTCTTTTACTGTGGCTCTGTCTCTCTGCCGCTTCTGCTACTTCTGCTGTACTACGACAAGTCGAGCACGTTGTTGAGGTGGAGGACAACGACGACGACGGATCTGTGGAGGCAAAACCAAAAGAGTGAGAAGAAGGAAGCAGAAAAAAAAAAACCTAATGGAAAACCCTATCAAAAAAAAAAAAAAAAAAAAAAAAAAGCCCCAGCCATGTTGCTTTGGCGTTTGGCTTTGTGGCTTTTGGCTTTGAGGCTTTTCCAATGGCAAACGAATCGAGAGTTTGTTCGTTTTTGCCGTGCTTTCGTCATGCATGGATGAGGGTTTGGAAATGCTGGGAGGCGAGAATGGGATGGAAATTCGTACCAAAAGAAAAAAAAGACTGAAGACTGTCTGAGAAACATTGAAGCCTGAAGGCAGACGACAGGCTCGGTGTACAAAGTGGATTGTGCATCCATTGGAGAGGAGTTTGAGCAGCCGCAGCAGCGAGTCTGAGAAACTGAAGAGCAATCGTTCCCTTTCTTTGTCCCTCTGTTGCCCATCCCCGTGCCAATCGACCTCCCCACCACCCAGCACTTCTTCCTTCTTTGTTTCGCTTGTTCTTAACTCCCATTTCTACCCATCATACTTGTATCCACATCGAGATCGGCCCAGTCTTGCAATCATGGTTTTGGACGAGCTCGTTTCCAGTCCGTTGAATCTCGCGTTGGCAGCAATCTGCGCCTTCTTGCTTGTCAAGCTGCTGACACCGGTGCCACGCGCACCACCACCTTCGTCCTCAACTCCTTCCCTCTCATCCTCCCCTCAAACAAACCCCACTTCCTCCTCTTCAGGCGGCCCGCGCACAGACATTTCCATCGACGAACTCCTCCTCCACGACGGCCTCCACGCAGACCACCCAGAGATCTGGCTCTGCGTCAACGGCAAGGTCTTTGACGTCACGCGTGGTCGCAGCTTCTACGGACCCGGTAAGCGCACAGGGAAGACGAGTGGAGGCAGGGCGAAGGGGGAAAGCCAGTGACCAGTGATTTTTGTATGGCGTGACATTGCGCCGTCCAAGAAGCTCAAAACAAAGCTTCCTAAAGAAAGAAAAAAAAACGCTCAGAGTTGAACAAAATCAACGAAAATAATAATAGAAAAGAAAAAAAAACTCAGAGACCAGAAACCAAACGTTTCGTTGTTGCTCACCAGATTTGCGAATCGGATTTTTCGTTGTTTGGTTAGGCGGCGGTTACGCTGCGTTCGCGGGTCGCGATGCAACTCGAGCGCTGGCCAAGATGGACACTGGAGCTGCCACGCGTACTTATGCGGTGGTCAGCGACCTGACAGAGGAGGAAATCAACACTGCCAAGCATTGGGAAGCAACCTTTGCTGGCAAGTACCAATTCGTCGGCACCCTTGCCCCTCAGGCCAACTAGAGACCTGTTGTGCAGCTCGTGGTTGTGATCATGCAGAGTCGCGCATTCGCCCGTCAACGCACTGCTATGGGCGACTTGTCGTGATTCTGAAAAATAAAACATTGTTGACAAAAGTACTTTTTGTTTTTCACAACAACGTAGACCAAGCTTGAAAGCTTTTTCTCTGAACACTGCAACATTAACACACGAATACACGCATACACCAAAGCCGACTGCCAATGGTTTGACTAAGACGCAGTCGGCGGAACAGGACTCGTGGAGTTGGTGCGAAGCAAATCCGAAAAGAAGGCGTACGAGGTCGAGCTCTTCATGTGATGCTGACGAATAGTCTTGGAGAACTCCTTGCAAGAGCGGTCTTCTTGTCGGAAGATGACGCGGGCAACAAAGTTCAGAACGGTTTCGTCGATGGACTTGAGCACACACTGATCGTACAAGTCCGGCAGCTCGTTCGGGCGGCGGTGGCGCAAGAGTTCAATCACCTCACGGATTGCCAGATAGCGGTCGAGATGCAACTGGTCGTCACGAATGCCATCGTCCTTCTGGAAGAATTCGCGCAGTATCTGATGGCAAACACGTACATTGTTTTTTTTCGTTGTCAGAGTTAGAAATGCCTGAAAAAGCAAGCCCCCGGGTCTCAACCAGACTGCCGCAACGTACCACAATGCCTTGGCTCAGCATGTCCAGAGGACGAAGCGTTGTGTACAGGCGATCCGACACCATGTTTTCAATGGTGGTCAGAATCAACACCCACGCGCGCTGCTGCATGATGCCAAAGATATCGCCGTACACATGCGGCCGGAATGACTGCAAGACGGTGGTGAGGTGCTTGGTGAGGGGTTGTAGCACAGCCGTGACCTCGTCCGCGGTTGGCATCTTTTCGACCGCGGCCTTCGAGAAGAACCGTGCAATCATTCCAGGCTCGTCCAAGACGTGCGCGAGGGTCTTTTCCACGCTTGGGGTGAGCTGCAGTTGAATTCGAGCGTGCATTCAATGGATGGGAGAAAATAAAAGATGAAGAATGGGAAATGAGTTTTGACGACCATTGATCATGCTCCCCACGTCATCCCCATAACAACAACAACGACTGTACCGGGGCCAACAGGCGATCAACCAGGTCGCGCAAGCTTCGCGCTACACTTTCGGCAGCCTGGTCAAAGTGAACGACAATGGCCGGCTGCGGTTCCTTGGCAACTTCATTCCAGATGGGCTTTCGAGCGCGAACCACGGACTGACGGATGTCCGCGACAGTGTTCCTCTTGCCAACCGTCGACACGGAGATGTTACGCAAGGGTTGAGCCTGGGCAGGATTGGCCGCAGAAGTCTCCTTGAAAACTCCGGCCTCCATCTCCTTGATGACGAGCTGAGCCACATTATCAGCGTTGAGCGTCTCGTACAGCAGACCAAGCTGCTGGCGTGCAGCTTCCAAGTTGTTGAGGCGAGTGCAAATCTAAGCAAGCCAGAAAAAAAAAAAAAAAAAAGTAATGGCAACGTTGGTCGACTTGCGACATACCTCTTGCGCGACAGTCTTTCTTGAACATGGATTCCCCATGTGTCGCATCATACGAGGCAAGCAAAGGCTGCAGTGAGACAGAGAGCTGGACTGCATATTGCTGCATGACTTCGAACGCGATCTGTTTGCAGAAAAAGCAGTGTTTTGCGGTGAGCTCGCTCTCGCAACGCAAAAACAAAAGGGGTTTGCATGTTGGGCAACAAAAGCCACCCACCTTGGCAAGCGCACTCTTGAAATCAGCCATGCTCGGGGCATCGTCCCACTGCAGCTCGCTCAAAAAGTCGACAAACTGGTTCAGCATGCAGAAAATATCCACCACAGAGCTTGAATGCATTTCTCGTGCGGAAATTGGGACGCACTGAGTATCACCAAGAGAAAACAAAAACAAAAAAAAAAAAAAAAGGACATTGTCAGAAAAAAATCCACCTCTACCCTCAACCCCCACACCTGCTCCCAGCCAAAAACCAAACCTTGTCCGATTGCGTTGCAGCAACCATCCACTCCAGCGCCTTGTCGCGAGAAACACCAAGCCAGAAACCAACGAATGGCATGAACATTTCTGCCAGGGGGAAACCGTTGAATCGGGCAATGTCACCGTCGTCGTCTCCGGCGACAAGCTTGAGGTTGCGCGCGTTGAACTTGCGGAGACGATGGTAGATTTGGAAGATGGCTGGATGGAAGGTCGTTCCGGAAAAGACGCTGTTGAGCTTCTCGTCAATGTCGACCGAGAGCAGCTTTCCGTACTGGGCGACGCAGAGGGCAACCACATCCACGTTGACAATCTTTGTGCCGTCAAACACGGAGAAATCCTCGCGGAAGTATACAGCGTCCGAGTCAATGTCACGCATAATCAGATCGAGCATGGCCACGATGCGCTCCGAGGCACCCACAACGGGGTTGGTGGGTCGAATCATGGGCGCGGACATGGCGACAAAGCGCTGGAACATTGTGGCGCAGCTGTTGGTAATGCACCACTCGAGCATTTTGCCAAGGTCCTTGGCATGGTCGTGGCGCTCGCGGAAGACGGCACCGCTGTAGACGGTCGCGAGAGCGCGAATGGTCTGCTTGACAAAGCCGTGCGGGGTCGAGAAGGGGAAGTAGTCCTTGTAATTGGACAGCCGGGCGAGGCAGGACTGCTCAATCTCGTCCATGACATCGGCGCGCAGCCGCTGCTCTTGGATGGTGTAGCGCACATCCGGGCTGCTCTCGACCGCTTTGAGCTCTGAAAAAGCAAGCGAGAGCGCGACGACATCCATGTTGTCCTTGACAAACTCGGACGCGACACGCTCAAACCAAGTCAAGACCATGAAGAGATCGCTCACGCCATATCGGTAGCCAAACTCCTCCAAAAGTCGCAACGAAACGGGATGCAGGCGGAAGATGCCTCGCTTCTTTGCGGGCGTCTGCTGCCAGACGGACAACTCGTACTTGAAAATGTAGTCGACAAGCGACTTGAGCAGTTTGTGGTAGTCGTGGCCATGCTGCTGTTGCTGCTGCTGAAGCAACTTGAGCTGGCGCTCCTTTTCGCGCTCCTTCTCGCGCTCTTGCTCCTCCTGTTGATGTTGGAACTGCAGCTGCTGCTTCTCGCTCGAGACAAAGCGCACGCGCAGAAAGATTTCGCCATTCACGTGCGAGCGCTTGGAGCGCTTTTCGAGCTTAAACCAACGTTCCAGGCGGAAGCGCCGCAAGTCGTCCACCTTGAGGTCGAGCATGACTTGACCCAAAAAGTCGTCCTTGTTGTCTTCCAACAAGTGCAGCGGGTTGAGGTTTTTCTTCTTGAAGATGGTGGCATCGTCGCCCGTGTCCTCATCCCACATGGTCAGCTTCAATGGGATGTTGGTCTGACCGGGCTTGATCTTGATGTCGAATGCACACTGCTCTTCCCAGACTGGATTGAGGTTGGCCTTGATGGTGGCGGTGCGCATCGCTGGCGATCAAAAACAAACAAAAAAAAAACAGCAGTCGATCAGCATCGGGACGATGCGACATCAGAACAAGAACAATGTGTCTAATACTCACTTTGAGATTCGCACTCAACCAGGCAGTACGGATCGCTCAAGCCCGACTTGTCTTTTCCGAGCAAGTCGCGAGCACGCAAGACCTCGACGACCAAGCGAGCCTTGCCATCGAAGGCCGGGAGTGGCTGCAGGCAAGCGAGGACAAGGGAGGTGGGGGGGGATGAGCAGGAAGGTTGGAAGAACTGCCACAGCAACAACAAACACGTTGAAGAGAGTCACGTACCACGTCAGCAACAATGGCCGCCTTGTCTTCCTCCGGCTGGACTCCCAGTTCTCGCAGCAGGTTGTTGAGCGCTGCTTCCTGCTGTTTCTTCCACTTGATGAAGGCGGCGGTCTTGTGCACAAATGATTCCTGGAAACCCCCGCCCCCCCAAAAAAAGAGCAATGGCGTTGGTTTATGAGTTGCAAAGTCAGCAGCATTCGCAACATTGAGCCACCACAGTCGACCCTAGACAGAAAAAGTAACGGCAGAAAATTCCGCGGACAGAGACGACTAAAGCTCGAAAAACAAACAAAAACACAAAACCAGAAAAAAAAAACCAAAACACACCTTGTTGTACATTGGATCAGCGTCCAGGTTCTTCAATCGGGCCTTGATTTCGTCGATAATGACCTTGTCCGTCTGCACAAAGGACTCGGTTTGGACAATCTTGGCGTGCTCTTCGGGGGACACGCCAAACACCTTCATCAGCACTTCGTCTTGTCCATGCAAGTCGATTGGTTCTTCGTTGACGAGCTCCGAGTTGTTCTCTTCAACGGTGCTGGGCGACTTGCTATCATCGCGCTAAAGCAGCGCAGGAAACACACACAAAAAATCAAAGGAAGATTCAGAAAAAGTAGGGAAACAAGGTAAGCAACACAAGCATCAACGCAAAATGACGACGATGGCGCGCCAAACATACGAAAGATCGTCGCTTGAGTTGAACGATTGATTCAAACCGACGCATGCGTTCCGCCATGACGGCCTCCGACACGTTGGACTCTAAGCGCGACGATTGCATGCGCAACGTTTCTCTGCCGCCACGCAAAAAAACAAAACACCACATAGAAAGCCAGGATGAGTAACTTTGGCGTCTTTTCACATCGCTCCTTGTCACTCTCAACGCCCCACATACTTGAACATGTTGCGAAAATCGTCGGGGGTGTCCTTCATGTTCTTGCGCAGAGCTTTCGAGTCGAAGCGGATACGATCGCTAAACTTGCGCAACGAACGAACAAACACGGCGTCGATGCCCTTGTTCGTCGAGGCGTCGGCAGCCACCAAGGCGTTGGCGATCGAGCGATACATGGACTGAATTTGGGCAGCAGACAAACGCGCTGCTGGGCTTGGTCGGAAAACGTCGAGGTGGTCGCTCAAGCCAAAGGTGAGGCGGCTGACGAGCGATGTGCTTCGGTGGTGGAGATTGCCGCTGTCGTGAATCAGTGGGCGCAAGAAGCAGCGGAGCGCCAGAACGTACAAGGTAAATTCCTGCGGGGGTTGATCAAAGATGGAAAGGGGGGTTTAGTGAGGGCAAGGATGTGCGCTGATCATTCAAAACAAAAAAAACGCCAAGAAGGCTGGTGGTGCTACCTCTGGCGACGAGCGAATGGGCACCGTGCGCTTGACGACAACGACTTGTTCCGGACGTTCTTCGATCTCTTCCTTCGGTTCCTGTTTTGAAAACAAAAAACAACAACAAGAGAATAGCGGTGTCAACAAACAGAGCAAAAGTAGATTGTGCAACAAATACAAACAGAAGACGATTCGTCACCTCAATTTCGGAAATGCTCGGAGGCGAGATGAGATCGGCAGCAGCCGAGGGCTGCGGCGCTCCATTGGACGCGGCAAACACGCTATCATCGTGCAGCACCATGGTGGCCACAAAGTGGCTCGTCTTTTGGAACGGAACGACGGCACTCTTGACGGCAAACTTGCCCGCAGCGCCGAATTTCCTGTTTATCGCGGGTCAGAGGTGAGCTCTCTCGTCAAAGGCAACGCTCAAGCAAATAACAACAGCAACAAGGCCCAAGCCTATGAACGTACTGTCCGACAGCTGCGACACCTGCGGTAGCGTAGTGGGCCGTCTAGTTGTGCATCACAAAGAACAAACAATTCGTCAGTAAGATTATGATGTTGGTGTCACGCAAACACAACCCCACCTCCAACCAAAACCGCGACAAATAGTGCTTCTGATCCGCAAACAAACAAACCGCGCGCTCAGAGAGCTCGACACTTTTCGTGACAAGTTTGACTTGTCAAATTACCTTGAGCAGCACAGCGGTTGGAGCTGAGAAGGCGAGCGTCGCATGGGCCTCTGGAGACAATGCAGCAGCTGCATCTTGTTCATGGTGAGCAGCATGGCGGTGCGGTGCAGAGTCATTCGCAGCGTGTTCGCTTGGCGGCGGCGGTTCGATCGAAATCTTCATGTTGGCAGCACTCGAGCCAGATACGTTCGAGCCGCCCTTGCGATGACCCTTGGAGAAGAATCCCGTGTGGCCACCAGAGGGTGACGTGGATGCAGACCCAGAGAATGTCACTGCAGGGTTGCTGCTGCTGTTGTTGTTGTTGTTGTTGGTCGGTGTCGGCGAAGTGGTTCTGCTGGCGGATGTCGAACCGCCGACGCCCGTCATCATCACTGAGGGCGACTCGAGGTGCAGATCGCTGCCCGTGGTGGCACTTGCATCGCCGAACGGGCTGTCTGAGGGCGCAGTTGAGCTCGACGACGCAGACTTGCGCAGTCCGGTGGTGGTGGACGGGGCGGGCGAGCTCGAGTTGGAGCTCGGCGAGACGATGAGGAACGGCGCAGCAGCAACGTTCTGCGTGGAGCGACTCAACGACGCCGATGATGCTGCGAACGATGAGCCCGAGAGTGATGCCGAGGCTGCAGCTGCTGAGGCTGAGGCTGGGGTTGCGGATGGGGACGGTGCGCGGCTGGGATTGCGGGACGAGTTGGAGCCATTGGTCGCGTTCGCGTTCGAGCTCGCTCCAGTGCCACTGCTCGCGTTTGTGCCATTCGATGCGGACGCAGATGCAGATGGGGATGCGGATGGCGGCGGGGCGATCGAGTCGCGGCGGGCTGGACTGGACTGTGCGTGAGACCGAATCGACGCAATCCAGGCCTCGCCCGCAGCAGCACCGCTTCCACCGCTTCCACCGCTTCCACCGCTGGGCTGTGCGTTGGCGTCCGAGCTCGCCGTCGTTGAAGGAGTGTCTGACGCTGGACGCGTGTTGGGCGACCGACGACCGTCCATCATCGCTTGTGAGATTCAGATTGAAAGAAAAAAAAATTGCAATGGAAAAAAAAAAAAAAAAGCAATAGAAAAAGCAAAAGAAAAAAAAAAAAAAAAAAAAAAAAAGGAGAATGACGAATTATTCATTCAGTTCAATGCAAGTTCAATAGAAAGCTCAAAGAATCCCATTCATGCATTCAAGCCTCCGTTTCATGGCCGAGTGAGCCTGGATTTTGCTGCCAATCCAAGAGCTCAAAATCCCTTGCTGCTGCATTTTGTTCATCTGTCTCGTCTCATCTGCTCAGAACAGTCCATCCTTCCATCCTTCCATCCTTCCATTCCTTCCATTCATTATTTAGTCCATCCTCTTTTTCCGTTTGTTTTTGCTCTTCCATTTGGTGTTATGGATTGATGTGTATCTGTATTTGGAGTGTGTTCACTCGTCGCTTTGTATAAGTGAAGTCTCTTGTTTCCCTATCATCACTCTCATCATCAACCCATTACTCGTATCTTCGTGGAAGGATCTCTGATCATAACACTGCGACGAGTCTCGAGGGTCGAGTAATTGATGTCTAAGGTGACGACTAGAGTAGGAACCAGGAAATTGAATCAGAATCAAGCAATGCCCAATAACGAGCAGGGCGTCGATACGACGGCGCCCACTGCGGGCACGTCGAGCGCAACAAGCGCACCAGCTGAACCAATGAGCGCGCAAGAGATGATGCGAATGATGACTCAAGCGATGGTTTCCTCAATGCAGGAGGTCGTCAAGGAGGCGATGCGCAAGGGAACCGCTGAGATCGCTGTATCAAGCCATGCGGCCTCCACCACCACGGCAAGCCCCACCACCAGCACTGAACTGTGGAGACATGGCATGCAGGTGACACCCTTCGATGGGACGCTGTTGGATCTGGAACGTTTTGTCACGGACATCCGACGCAAGCTTGAGTCAGTGACGGCACCCGAGAAGGACAAGGTCGACTTTGTGCTTGGTCATCTGGGTGTCGCAGCGAGGCGTTACTGTAGCCATGTCAAGTTCGAGACTGCGGAAGCTCTGCTGGAGTACATTATGAATGTGTATGGCGTCAAGAACAGCAAGAATAACGCACTCAGGGAAATCATCCAAGCGGTGGCGGATCCAAAGATTTCTGCGAGGCACTTCAAGAAGGTCATGCTGTTGAATGTGCCCAAAGCGGAACTTACGGATGATTTGGTGAGGCGCTTCATTGTGCTGCAAGCGGAAGACAAAGGCGTGCGCGATGTGGCGAAGGAGCTGTGCAAGGACACCACCGAGATGACGTGGATTGATGCATTGAACGAGTTGGTCGAAAGCATGCCGAGCAAGGTACGAGCGGAGACCAGCACCAGTAGTCAAGCTCCCAGGCACGTCCAAAAGCCGAATCGAGACAAGAACGGTCATCACGCAGGCAAGAGCAAGGACAAGGACGTCAAGAGCTGCAAGCACTGTGGCAGGACGAACCACAAGTCGGAGGCATGCTATTCCAAAGGCGGCACTGCGGCTGCGGCTGCGGGCAGTTCCGAGGAGGAGTCTGATGACTCGGACGATGCTCCTGCTCCCAAGAAGGCTCCCAAGAAGGCTCCCAAGAATGGCCAGGACGGCCAGGGAAAAGCCTGAGGGTAGACACGAATTTGCATCCTTCGCGTGTACTACTCAATAAAATTCTTTCAAAGAAGAATGCAGTGCAATCTACGGTGTGCATAGGCCGCAAGTTTAGCAAGACCACACCGACCCGAGCGCTTTTCGACTCGGGGTCGACGCGCACGCTGGCAGCCAGTGCCTCGGTTGAGGCGTGGGGCTTGGAGCCGCATGTGCTGGAGCGGCCGATGACGGTACGCATGGTCGATACGACGACGCGCGACATTACGCACGCGGCCTGGGCCAAGCTGACGATCGGCAAGTGGCGTGGCAAGGTGCTGGTCTACATCCTGCCGCAATGCATCATGCCCCTGATCATAGGCATGGATGTGTTGCAGCGGATTACGGACAGCGGCCCGATTCGTGTCAAAGCTCAAGAGGCGGAGAGCGCAGCGTTGCTCGTTGGGGAAAAGGCATCGCCACAGCAGCCGTTCGATCCGAAGGCCATTCCGGAAGCGTTTCGGGAGTTCGCAGCCTTGTTTGATCCAGCGGCAGCGGACAAATACCCTCCCAAACGCGGTCCGCTGGACGTGAAGCTGCGGTTCGCGAGCGGTGACGTCGAGACGCCATATCGGCGCACCAAGTACAACGAGGAGGAGCGAGCGGCACTCGATGAGATCATTGACAATGGTCTTCGCACGGGTAAAATAGTGCCGGCGCCTGGAGCAACGAACCCATCGTCGGTGCTGTTTGTGAAAGAAGAACCGGAGAAGAAAATCATCAACCGGGTGGTATTCGATCTCCGGGGCCCCAACGCAAAGATTCTGTCTGAGGTCCACGATCTGCCAACAGTTGAGGATATCATGGAATCGATGGCGGGCATGACGATCTTTTGCAAGCTCGACGTTTCTAAAGCCTTTAACTGTATTCGGCTTGCAGACGAGGACTCCATTAACGCGACGGCGTTCAGGACGCACCGTGGCGTGTTCAAGTGGACGGTGCTACCCTTCGGCATCAAAGTCGGAAGCGTGCCCATGCAGCGTTTGATGGATGCCATGCTGCGTGGGCTCAAGGGCGTCGCGGCGTATCAGGACGACATCATCGTGGGTGGCAAGAACAAGGAGGAGCTGATCGAGACACCCGCGCGGTGCTGCGTAGGGTGCGCGAGTTCCAGCTGCACTCAACTGAGCAGTGCGAGTTCTTTGCAACGGCATGGCCTCTGCTTGGCTTTGTGC